GCTACAAAGACCCACCATCTAGTCCCCTTTTTTACCATTAATGCCATATTATAGTAGTGAAAGTGAGGCAGAGGTTGGCTACATGTTAGTGCATGCAAACGTCTTTTTCTGCAAGTGGCTTGTCTGAAGTTTAAATCCCTGCTACCCCCTCCTGTGGTTCAGGTATTGTTGGGTCTCCCTTGCTCTCATCAGGCTCTCTGCAGGCTGGATAAAGATGACTGGCTGAAAAGCCTTTCCTGCTCAGAGACAAGCGTCTGTTCCCATCTTTGATTCGAAAATTAAGTTCTGTAAGAGGAGAAAGAATGGTGAACTAGCAAAAAACAAGCTTTTCTTTCTCCTCTTTGCCTGCTCTTTGTTTTATCAAACAGGATGATTATAAACATACAGCCTGAACTGTTTGGTTTTCAATCAAAGCATCGTTGAGTGTAAAAGTGGCGCAGACCTAATTCAGCTGAAACTCTGTGGCGATACTCGAAAACACTTGATTTTTACCGACTCTTTCTTTCTGTCTGACTGATTTTGAGCCATTTTAAAAGGAAAAGGGAGCAAACGTTTGTTTTTATAGATGTCCAAAGCTGAAAGAGACAAAAAGATTTCAGCTGTACCTCCAAGTAAAGGGGGTTTTAAAAAGTGTAAAACGCAACAAAATAAGAAAAAATAACATTTTTGTGCATATTTATAATTTTCCTTTTACTTCATGCAGTCATTCGAAAGCCACAAAGAGCGTTTCTGGTTGGAACATGACAAAGAGTATTTTAATTTTTATTTTGCAAGGCAAAGAGCAAGCAGCTGTTTGCATCAACTGGAATGTTATTAGGATCACAGTGCAATCACAGTGGCCGGGATTTTCCTTTAATAAATTCTTCAGCTTGGAAAAACAGGGCCCCAGTCCCTCAGCCCCATACTGTCCCACCAGTTGGTCCATCATTAGTTACTCTTTGCTTTAAAACACTGTTCCCTTTCATAACAAGATTGGCGCAAACTGATATTACTTAAAAGAGAATGATAAAGGACTGCTTGTGTAAAGAAGCTGGATTTTTCAAGGATTTAGATGTTCTCTCAAAGCGAATGTTGGATCAAAGCTGATCAGATACGCTTCTTAACGAAGCTGGCAGGGACCTGCTCCATTACATCAACATTACGTCAAAGTGTCCTCAGCCTGCTTCCTGCAAGTTTGCAATTCTCTTTTCAATCTAGGTAGATTAGTACCAAGATGCATTTAATTGTTTTGTTTTGTTTTTCTCCCCTCCGTGTGCACATTGTTGATTTTCTTGGAATGCTTTTGTACACTTCCAAGTATTGTTGCAGTTTAGGTTTCGTGGATACACGCAATATACCACCCCAGAGGAGAATTAGCTCCGTCCTCCAGAGGCACGTGAGAAAAACTGTGCCACTGTGAATGTGTCAGCGGCGTTTCGACTCATGGGCAGTTTTATGTTTCCCTCCTGTGAAAATTGTTTAGCAGGTGTTTGAGTCACTTGTTTTTGTGGGTTTGCTCGTGTGAAAATGAACAAATCATAAAAACATTACTCCCATCTGAGGCTGACTGGGTGAAAATGTCGATCCCTTTAATGATGACTCTGCTCCTTGTTTTGATTGGCGGTTTTGGTTCAACCTTCGCTGTTGTCCCACCACATCCCTCTGTAATTATATCTATGTATAGGCCTGCAGGTATTGCTATATATGGGCCACACATAACCACTGCAGCGTATCTAATGCTGCTATTTCTACAACTGTCTGATCCCTGCTTTTCTGTATAAATCCATGTTAGCTGTGACCTGTGGAATTTAAATTCCTCACCCATTTTCTAAGTGGTACACCTCAGTCAACCTCAACATTATGAAATACCACAGCTAAAAAAATACTTGGTTTCCAAAAATATAAAGTAATATTTACTTGGTTCCACTGATCCATGCTGTGGTAAAGTCATGAGAGTTTGGTTCCTGGAGAGGTTTGGAAAAATAAAATGACAATATTGAAACAATTCTGTATGGCTCTGTTTAATTTTCTAAATGCTGTCCTTCCTTTCTGACTCCTTCCCTTCCTATTTTGTGTCCTATGCCCTTCTTTTGACTCCTACTTCCCTTCTTTCCTCTTTAGTGTCATTTTTCCTTCTTCCTTTTTTCTTTCCTCGCTTGTGTTCTACCTCCATTCCTTCCTCTTTTGTTTCCTCTTTTGAGTCCTACCTCCCATCCTTCCTTCTTTCTTATCTTTCCTCCATTGAGTCCTCGCTTCCTTCCTCTTTTGCCTGTTTTTCTACTTTTGTCTCCTACCTGTCTTCTGTCCTTGTTAGAGTAATTATTTCCTTCATCCCTTCTCTCTCTCCTATCCTTCCTTGCTCTTACCTACTTTCTTTCCCCCTTTTTGTCTGTCCTTCATTAATATTTTCTGTCCTACTTTCCTCCTTCTTTCTTTTCTCTTTTTTATTTTGTCCAAACTTTTTCTTTGACATACCTTCTTTCTCTCCTTTCTTCCCTCCCTGTGGCTGTCCTTCATTTTCTTCCCTCCTCATGTCCTACTACTCTTTAGCTTATTCTCTCTTTTTCTTAAACTCTGCTGCTCACTGTGAAAATATCTGCTTTAAAATCACGATAAACTTTATTTTTTTATATCTTCTAAAGCCACGTTGAGTATAGAAAAGTCAGGAATGCTTACATCAAATATCTGAAGGAACCCAGTTGGTGTAACAGTTGATTTGTTCCCTGAACATCGCGGAGTGGACCCATCCAGCCAACCATAACAACATTAAGGAGGCATGCTGGGGCCAGTGTTGTGTTATTGCCCAGCAGGATAGTCATAAAAATCAAAATGGCTTCCACTGCCAGCATGCAGGTGCCAACTAAAATACACAGCTTTCTCGTTCGCCGGCTCTCTTGAGGAGAGTCTGGTGTAGCGTTGAGGCCTACATTGTGTACAGTTAAATCAGCCGGAGACAACAGGGATTTGCTGCAGGCGGTGATTTTGGCAGCTGATGATCCACGAGAGGTCCTGATTACAGGTGTCAGGCTGTTTTAAGCACAAGTTGCGGAGCAGAATAATTCTGGTAAACAGATATTTTGGATTAGGAGGGGCTGCAAACAGATGATGACAGACTACAAAACTGTGTTTCAGGAATGACCCAATAACCTTCTTAGTGCAGTTTCCTTTGAACACGTTTCAGTTTTAGCTGCTTTTTTTTTTTTTTTTAAATGTAACATTTTTATCTCATTCCATGATCTGAATTCTTCTTTATCTTATTTGCTTACTGACCGCCTTGATTTGTTGTGTGCCTCGTTTTTTCCCGTCAGCGTGTTTATTTTTCCCTGTGACTGTACAGTTTCCCTAAATTCTTTGTTCTGCCTCGGCACAGTCGTGTTTATCTAGCAGCCATGTACGCCGCTTCTGTACATCGGGTGTTTTTGCGTACATGACCAAAGGGGGGGAAAGGAGGCTCAGGTCCGGTGTCACGCTCTCCTCTGAGTCCTGCAAAGCTTGTTTGTTTTTAGATCTGCCCCACAACAATCCCCCACACACACTCAGCGTCCAGCGTTCACTGAGAAAACAAGCCGCCGCCACAACATGGACTCCAGCAGGCCAACCTGCGCTCACTTCCCCGGCTGACTCATTACTGTCCCATTATGTACGCCAGCACATGAAAGTCCCCCTAAAACAACACTTGGCATTTCTTGGCTCCTTTATGTAAACCTACATTGTGAATATGAAAAATTATGCTCTTGAGAAAACAAAAGAAAAATGCAGCTTTGATGTTTAGAATAATAAATAATGACATCTGTCCCTGTGGTAGCAGAGAAGAAAGCTCCTTTGTTTTTACTTGTTTCTTTACCGGCCGGAGAAAAAAAAAGGAGGGAGAGCGATCTTTTTCTGTACTTATTAAGAGCTTGAATCCACACACAGACTGTTATTATTTCACCTGTATGCTGCTTTGCTCTCGTGCCTTTTTCCTCCATGGCAGAGCTTTAATTAAAAAAGTGTTACTGCAACAACAAGCTCTTACGCAAACCTGAAAGCTGCTATAGAGTTTTTAAACCTGCTGAGTGAAAGCTAGATCTGTTATTTTAACCGTTTAATAGAAATGGATTCTGTTTCCTCAATTATGAGAATAAAGTAATTATATTGTGACTTTATTCTTGTCATAATATTTAATCTTGTAATATTTTGACTTTATTCTCATATTACAATTTTATTCCCCTTTTATTTTGACTTTATTCTCAAATGAGAATAAATACTTTATTGTCTTCATGACTTAATTTTAATATTATTATGACTTTATTTCCTGACTTTTATGTGTTTTTTCGGTTATCTTTAAAGTTCACCTTACTCCACAATGCGTCATGCAAATATTCATGAACTGTTTTGTTTCATCAACTTCTAACTACAAACTTATGCATTTCCTTGATATTTTTGACACAAACGTTTGAGCATTATTGTAAGGTGAAAGGAGAACATGAAAATATTTCAAAATCAAGAATCTATTTATCCCTTCCACCCAGATACCCCTAAATAAAATTCACCTGCATTGATAACTTCCACAATCAGTAAATAAAGTTAAACTGTTTTATTTGAATAAATCCATGTTATTGGTCTCTGAGACTCTATTATCCTGACCAAGATTGAACTGTTTTATAAAAAATGGACCAAAATTTAAATTTTTTGTAGATGTGCAAATATAGTTGACAGACAGATCCCCAAAGATTTGCAGCTTTAATTGTTATAAATGTTCTGCAACATGTTGAGTGCAAATATATGCCAAAGGTTTTTAATGTGTTCTTCAGTCAGTGGTGAACTTTTATCGTATTGCTTATTGTTTAATTTATTGTCATGAGGATTTAGACTTAAAATTTTCACAATAAATTTTATCAAGGTTTATTATCTTTAATAATGTTAGTTTTAATTACTAAACGTTGGCAGAAACTGATACATTCGGAAGCAATAGTTTGTTTGTTTCCACCTGTTTCTGCTCCTCAGTCTCACGGTTTGTTTTCCTGTCAAACTCTCATCAGATCCTTGATGAAATCGCAGAGCACGGCATCAAAATCTATCAGCTTCCTGACGCTGACTCTGATGAAGACGAGGAGTTCAAGGAGCAGACCCGAGTGCTCAAGGTGGGAGGACAAACATCATCAAGATATTCCTCCTTGTTTCTCTGGGCAGCCACTGACTTTTACCATCCTTTCTGCAGGCGAGCATCCCCTTTGCTGTGATCGGGTCCAACCAGCTGATTGAGGTGAAGGGGAAGAAGATCCGTGGCCGCCTGTACCCGTGGGGGGTGGTGGAGGTGGAAAACCCAGAGCACAATGACTTCCTGAAGCTACGCACCATGCTTGTGTGAGTCTCCTTGGTAATAAAACCTGGTAACTTACTGGACTTTTTAGAGCAAGACATGAAAACTTCAATAGAACCAGTTAAGTTTGGAAAATGACTCAGAGCAGAACGTTACTGCCCTCTTGTGGCCATCTGAAGCCTATCAAGAGCTCTTGAAGCTTCTGAATGAAGCTGTCTGAATGTTTGGTCATTTTAGGACCCACATGCAAGACCTCCAGGAAGTAACTCAGGATCTGCATTATGAGAACTTCCGGTCCGAGAGACTGAAGAGAGCCGGCAGGTGAGACGCTGATCAGATCAACAGGAAACCCTCAGGTGTTTTCATTCAGGTTAACTTTTGTTTTTCTTTCCTGCAGAGCTGTGGATGAGGATGTGGTGGATAAAGACCAGATTCTGCTACAGAAAGAGCTGGAGGTAAAAACAGATCTGCTCTCTCTGCACTGCTGTTTTCGGTGGCGTATTACTGCTGATATAAATAAAAAAAAGAAGAGTACATTTCTACCACAAAATCTCAGAAATGTTATAAAAAAAACAAAGTTTCTGAAGTCAGAAATTTGCTATAAAAACTACAAAATTTCTTATGGCACCTTTAAGAAAAATTTCTCAAACATTTTTGTTTCAAATGTCGGAAACCTGCTGACTCAGAAGATTCCATGTTGTGTTTTTCGACAAATTATGGGGCTACTGTACAAAATTTCTGTTTTTTCTAATAAATTTTCAACTTTACAATATCAGAAATTGCCAAGTTTTTTCTTGAATTTCTGAGGCTAATCTAAAAAATTAGACCGATACAGAAGAGTCACTTAGCAAGGAAAACATCCTAACTTAATGTTTTCTGACTGCTCTTGATTGGCCTGCTGCAGCTGGGGCTCAATCACAGTTGTTTGTAAGCAGTGTGCCAACAGGATATGCCATCACTTCCTCCCTGCATGTCCTAGCTGAGTTTTATGGTGGGAGTCACCTCCGTAACCTCCAGGCACTCAGCGCCGGCGAGAAGAGCAGCTTTTCTCTACATGCTGTAATTGTTGCAGCAGGAGGAAACACCACTGCAGTCACTTCCTCTGCTCTTAAAATCTAAAGTTACTAGAAAGAGCCATGCACTAAAAAGGGGAACTGATTCAACTGCTCTGTTCCATTAACTGGGTTAGTTAATTAACAATATTTAATTATTATTTGCTGCAGTAATTAAATAGGAGCTCAAATAAGAGATTGAAAAGGTTTTCAACTTGCAATGTTCTAATAAAAATCTGTCAATTCACAATCCGTACCATCAGCTAATTCGCCTGTGTGCAAAAAGAAATTCTGCCTGAAAGGGCATTTTTATGTCTTTTTAGTATATTTAATTGTGACTGTGAAAATAGTATATGATTTAAAGATAGCAAGAAATAAAGATTAATATAGTTTAACTGTACTTTTCCAAACTTCTTCTGGAAAAAAGTCAAGTAAGTGTATCTACCCAGGTACAATAATCAGAGTGCTAAATTAATGTTTACTGTTGTATAGGACCAACTACACCTTTAATTAATCACTTATAAAATTAGATTATTAGAAATTTGGACCACTAGAGGGCACATTGATGGCGTAAATACCTTACAGTTCTGTACAGAATACGCAGTTTTTGACCTAAATTATTACAAATATTATTCATCACAATGTCTAGAAAAATAGATCATCTTATAGGTGATAGGGTCTATTTATTAAGATAGTTGGTATTTTAATGAATAAATATGTTATTCTTTATGTACATTATAAGCATTTCTTCAGTGCATGTCAAATGAGCTAACAGTACGGATCATTCAGTGATAAAACCTAGAGTTAAGTTTAGTTACTGAAACATTAACTAAATGTTAATTCAGGAATGTTAAAGCTGATTTATTTGATTCTCGATGCCTGACATGTTTGACATGCTTTAAAGTCAGAGTCACAAAAACAACAACGATTCACAGAAATAAGGTTTTATCTTACTTTTGGGTTTATGACTTTGCTTCACATCCAGAAGTCCTTTCAAAAGCTTTTAAACATTTTAAAGAATGTAAAAGCGTTTAAGAACAATAAATCAAAGTGACGATAATGCTGAATGAAAACCTAATAAGAAAAAGAGATGAATGAAAAATACTATATAATCAGTCTGGATCACAGGAATCTGATCAGAGAGCAGTGCTTTGAAAAAGTTTTTATTGCTCTAAATACTTTGAATTTCGCCACTTTAAAAGTATCAAAATAGAATTTCTGCAAAATACTGAGATAAAGGTTACAAATAAAACATAGGCAGGAGGAAATAATACAAACTTTTCAAAATAAGAAAACTAGGTTTATTTGAGATAATATATGTATTTTCTCTGCTGACATAATCAAACACAGAAGAAAAAAGTTATTTTAGTACAAACAATAAAAAGGAAAATAGTATTTGGTGAAGTTAACGTTCACAGCCACAAGATGGCAATAGATATTTAAAAAGTCACCAAAACTCTTGTTTTATTTAATAATTACTAACTCTTGTTTTATTTAATAATTACTAACAAATACACACTTTAGTCACTTTCCTGATGCCATTACATCTGAAAATAATAAAAATATACATACATTTTAAATGGTTTTTACACTGCTAATTTATGAAAGATATTTCTTTAGCTGTTTGTTATAAACTGAAAACCGTCTTAATGTTTGTTTTTCATTTGTTATTTTTAATTGTCTGATTATTTTTGTTGGTTCTCCGCAGCTGCGGCGCATGCAGGAGATGCTCGCTCAGATGCAGGCTCAGATGAAGATGAAATCTGACGAGTGAAACCAGGGAAGCATCCGCCATATTTGCAGAAAACCCTCCAGCCAGGAGTCACACCTGGATCTTCATCATCTTATTCTTCCTCTGTTTGCTCCCGCTAAGCATCCATCCACCAGCTGCCTGGAGAACCACACTGTCCTGTTTTGTTTTATTCTCTAAAAAAGATGACTATCATGAACATTTATCCGTTAATTAGCCTCACGCCGTCGTTGTCTGTCAGTCTGCCATCGAAAACGGTACTAAAAGACGTCTTCACTAAAGTTTACAGGATGTTTGAATCTTACTTTCACCGCCAGTTTCTGTCTGTTTTGCTGTCAGTTTAAACTTTTGTTTTGTGTCTAATTCAACTTTCAGCCTCTTTTTGCCTTCAGTCCAGCTGACAGCAGCTCTTCGGTTTCATCTGGTTCATTTCAATTCAGCAGAACTTTAATAATTAACAATAAAATCCAACCAGACTCTTAATATAGAGAGAATCTGTCTCTAGAATGACCTGCTTGTTTGTGTCTGCAGTTTTAGTTCCAAACTGCAGACTGAAAACAGTTGTGATCATGTCTGTATTCGCTTCAGTTTAAAACTGTCTACAGGTTTCTTAAAAAGAAAATCTACATTAGAGACTTTATTTAACTTCTTCCATCCCCTCCAGATTGAATCTTTGTTCCCGCGCTGCTGTCCATCTGATGTGCCATTCTCAACTTTTTGTCTTTTTCTGGAGTTAACAATTATTTCTTAACTATGTGCCATAAAGGACTTGTATTTAGCTGTCAACAATCTTTTTTGTACTTTTCTGAAATAAAATCTGTTGATGACTAAAGTAATATGCTCTTTGTTGCTAATGTTTTTATTTATGCTGTTTAGGACGTTAGTTTCAGAGTTTAGTTAAAGATGTCAAATGTTTTCCAAACAGGATGTTTTTGTTTAGTCTGAGTTTTTTTTTTTTTTCAGTCTTGTAGGATTTCCTTCCTGTTTGTTGGCTGCAGTGAAATCCTCTGTGTGTAGAAACGCACTTTCCAAATTATTTTAAACATTTATAACATTTGAAATCACCCAATAAGTTCTTCAAATTCACAAAAAATACATCTAGAATTATTTAAATGTACAAGAAATGTATAAAATACTCAACCTTCCTAGAGAGAAAAAAAAATGCTACTGTTCCATCTTTCTAAGGCAATCGGCCACAATTCCTTCAGTCAGAGGCTTCTTCAGATTTGTTTGAATACTGACTGCTACCTGAGATCCTTCCTGCTCACAGCATCACCATAGAAAAAAAAGGCTGAATGAAAATATGAGTTAAGACTTTCCATTTTGGAAAAATACAGTAGTTTCAAATTGAATAAAAAAAGAGACTAAGCTTAAATGTCAAAATCACAAAAATCTGAATTTATTACGTGTCATCAGATAGTTTCTGTTTTCATTTGTTTTATATTTTGCATGATACGACCCACAAGGAAATTATTTACTTGTCTCCTTAAAGGGACCCTAAAATCTGATTGGCTGTTTTGACAGCGACTCCATCTGTAGACCAATCATATTATCTCAGAAGTGCTAGCCCCGCCCACTAAGAAGGCTAAAGCTAACATGAAAATAAAGGAATTTTTTTGCAGCACGGGGCTAAAATAATCGTATAAATATCAAAATGAAATAAGTATCTAGAAAATACAGATGTTTGTGATTACTTGCACTTTTATTTATTTTTTGATTGTTTGCATATTGAAATGATGGTTTTATTGTCGTATTTGGAGCGGTGCGTTCAGGAGCCTCCGGAGAGGAGGAGCCTGGCGCCGTCAGCTCCGCCCGCCCCCCTGCTGTCGGTCCGGGGCTTTGGAGGCGAGGCTGAGCCGACGCTTCAGAGGAAACCGAGGGAGGAAAGCGGGTCAAACATGACGAGCAACATCAGGTATAAAAGCCGGATTCCGGTGAAAACAGGTGAGCGTCCTGTTTCTGTTTTCGCTTTTTGATATTTGCAGTCTGATCGTGGAGGATTTGCGCACTGATTGCTTCATGTTTGCGTCTCTCTGGGCGTCGCTCCGCATCCCTGCACCTGCGCCTCCTCATCTATCCTCCAACAGAGGACAGCACGGAGGTAGGGCACCATTTAAAGCGTTTTGTTAGATTAAATCTCGCTTCCTGCAGGAGGTTTGAGCTGTTTGGCTGAATGCTGAGGGCTGCCATGCCTGTGCAGGTCGCTGCCTCCAGAGGCCAACACGGTACCGCAGCATCCTCCTCCAACATCCTCCATCCACAATTACCAGAGACTAGAGTCGCCTGATGATGAACTGACCTCATTTCAGATTTTACGTCATTATTAGCTGCTCGCTAATATTTAGTGGATCATTTCGGAACCATTGTTCATCTGGGAAGCAGCAGACACACGAACCTTGAGGGGAGGTCGGGTTTCTGCTAACCCCAGGCGCTCCTCATCCCCTCCTATATGGTAATCTGTATGTAGATTTACTATTATTATTATTATTATTGTTAGTCTCAATTCAGAAACTAGATTCATAGGTGTAGAACAGACCATAACCTAGAAACAAAAGATACAAACATTAAAACACTGAAAACACAGGATGATTTCAGCCAACAAATCTGCTAAATTATTCTCTTTTGTGATGTTGAGAAAAGTCTCAGCATTAATTCACGATTACTTTAAAATGGTGGTCAGACATTCAGAACATCAGATGACCTATGCAGAGGATGATGGGTTTTTTCAGAAATATTGTTAGTTTTTGACTATAAACAGAGACCTAGAACGAATTAAACAGAGTATTTCCCTAAATGTTTTGTGGACCATCAGGATGGGTTTTGTCCAGTATGGATGGATGGACATTTATGTTATTTTGTAAATTCTCCCATCATGTAGTTTTTTTCTGGTTTCCATTTTATTCTTGAATATTAGACACTGACTGACTGAATACACTGTTACTGTAAACGGTAATATTCTATCTGTACATCAATCTGGTTTTAGGGGAACAAAACAAAACCATTTTGGCTGCACTTGGTCAGAATAATTTTTTTTTATATAGTTGATGTTTTAAAGCTAAACATTTTAAACCTTCAGAGCAAAGAGTTTTTCAATTCTCAAACTATCTTAGTGACAGATTTCAGTGCATCAAGATGAGTCTGTGCTCTGAATTTATGCCAATTTCTCAAGGTGTTCCTCTGAGTCCTACATAAGGTCCATTTTTATTTTTATATAAAGAAACTGGATCAAAATGTGGCTGACACAAATTTTCACTTTTATCTTGATGTCAGTAATTTATTGCTTTACATCTTAAACTTATAAGTTCATGTCTTTCATAAAAACCTACTTCTTAATAAATGCTGGAAGTTTCTTTTAGATATTTAAGTCTAATTATACACTGCAAAAACACAATCTTACCAAGTATTACCAAGTGCAAATATCGTAGTATATTTGAAATAAGACAAAACTAATCTACAAACACTTTTTCAGTAAGATATAGCAGCTTGTTTAAGTCAATAAATTCTTAATACTTATGAAAAAGCACTAGCTCCACTGGCAGATTATTTCACTTATAAGATGGAAAAATAATTTACTATAAGTGAAATAATCTGGCAGTGAAATTAGGACATTTTCATCAATATTAAGGATTTCATTTACTGAAAACAAGCTCCCATATCTTGCTGAACAGTGATTTGTTAGTCAGCTTTGTTTTATTTCAAGTTTACTGAAATATTTGCACTAGAAACCATCGATAAAAATAATTTGAATCCTGTCTCAAATGTGGGAGGTTTTGTAGAAGAATCTTTTTTCAGATTTTTTTCAGAAATGGAAACAAAAGATTTCCCTGTGTGTCTCCACCCTGGAAATGGCTTCAGTGACCCTAGTGCATGGGCCTGAGTTAATTCATGATGTCGTAACCTCTGAGTGAGTCCTGACGGATGATCGATCCAGAATCATTGTTCCCCCCTCACTCCAGCCCTCAACCCTCTCATCACTTCACCAGCTGTCAGAAAGCATTGCCAGGAAAAAGACGGTTTTCCTTTCCAATACGTTTTCATCAGACACAAAGTGTGGCGGTCAGTCCATGTGTGGGCAGATATGAGCTGAACATCTCAGATTTGAGACACAAAAAAAAATCATAAATAAAACTTTAAAACTGGAAGGTGCATTCAGTTGAGTAACATTAGAGCAGGAAAGAAATCCCACTTGTTTCCGTTTGTATTAATTGTATTACAAAACGATTCACTATATTTGGAGCCTTTTGTTCATTACGCTGCATTGATAGTGTTTGTAAACTGCACTATATCTCCCTCTGGTGGTTGTTCTTTGACATTGTTTTGGTTACCATGAAAGAGCAAAAATAATCCAAGATGGCCGAACGTAATGCCATCTTATATTTAACTGGGTAAATATCTTGTCTTGCATAATAAGTCTGTTAGGCAGACAAAATAAAACATGGCTTTGAAACGCATCAAATCATCCGACAAACAGATCTGTAATTCCAGTCTCTCAAACATTAAACATTGTTGCTTTGGACGAGATTTGTCTGCAACAAATGGTCAAACAGAAAGAAACACTCAAGAGGTCTTTCTTCTATAAAACAGAAAAAACGAAGCCTTAAAAAAAAGCGAGAGCCCAAAGGCGCTTAGAGTAATCAGACTTGGCGACAGAAACTCAAAACAGTTCCTGCTTTCCACCAACAAACTGCGCATCTCCCTCCATTGTTTACATTTCTGTCGCTGCTGAAACTGTTGCATAGAGACGTTGGTCACTTGACAAGATGCGGAGAGGAAATACAATTCAATTCCAAAAGATGATAGTAACGCAAAGTGATTTCGTTAAGTAACTGTAGTCTGACTTCTGGACTTGAAATAGCAACGCGCTAGATTACTCGTTACTGAAAAAAGTGGTCCGACGTAACGAGTAACGAGTGCAAAATGTGACCTCTGGTTCGCCTGAACTCTTCTCTAAAAGCAGGAATCAAACTGTAACGCGGAGCATTCTGGGTAAATGCGAGTCTAATGCTAGCAGAAGAAATGGCTCATGGTCATTTACAAAAGTCAAAAGAGAAATAATACAACAGCTAAAATCTGACCCTAATTCACTTTCGTTTACATTTTGTGAAGAAAGAGATTGCGCTCCTGTTTTCTTCAGAGCTGTTTTGTGTCGTTTCCTTCAGTGGTTTTGGGTGCAGCGCCACCACAGGCGAGGAGGTGAACTAGTTTTTCAAATAGTTTGGGTTCATTTGATACAGTTCAGTGTGGACTATGTAGTGTAAAAACATCATCTCACCGTTCAGCCTCCTCCTCCGTCCTCTGTCTCCAAACAGTCTCACCGCCACAGATGGGACCTCAGTGAGGACCAGCTGCAGCGCAGGGACAGCTGTGTCTCTGGGGGTTGGGTGGGAGAGAGATTTAAAGCCCCCCAGTACGAAGGCAGCTCCTTTTTATGGGGTTGATGTGAGGTCTTCAACTTCTTATCTGATAATTATCAACCCAAAATTAGTTTACTTTCTAGTGTGACATCAATATGGTTCAGCAGGTGCTGAATTGTTGTTTCCAGAGATTCAGAAATGTTTCCTCAGATGCTAATGAAATCTACACAAACCTCTCCAGCTTCCTGATTTAGACGATAGACCTTGTGATGTGTTGTGTGAAAACAATAACTCTGTTGTTTGTGTGAAAATTTGCGCTGTCTCAGGACTTGTTGCCGAGCAAGCAGCTCAGAGAATTAACAAGTGTATCAAGGCACATTGTAACCTTTAGACTGAAAGCATGAACTTAAAGGTGATGCTTTGGGTTTGGCCAGAACCAATCACTGGATCCGTACAAAAGTAGCAAAACATTTGAGTCTTAAAGCAACCCGAACGGTTTAAAAAAAAACTAACTTAAAGCTGTGTTCTGATGTTAAGTGAATGTTTTTGAGCTGTTTCAAAAAACATTTTATCGCTAGTCATATTTGAAGGGCTCTGCACCGTTGCCTAGCAACACCAAGCCCAGCCCGTTACCGAGCAACCCAAGCGGAACTCCAGTATGTCTGGTCAGCTGGTTTGACCGCTGTATAATGGCTGCTGGAAATAACCAGTGTTTTCTTGACTTTATTCAGAAACCATTTGCTGCAATCTTCTTGGTTGTGCAGGAGGCTTCACTTCTGCTTTTCAGAAATGTGCCGTTGTATAATTGTGCAGCCATTTTGAAACATTGAGCAGCATATTTGGATTTAAAGCGACAAGACGCCCTAAAACAGCATCATTCTGAAAGGAGCTCAAAAAAGGCAGAATGGAGCAGACTGAAATCTCTTTATCTAAAAATGATTTAGTGCAACAAATGTAGAGAACATGTTTTGTGCAGCCCATAAAGTTATCCTAGCATGTTGAAGTAGGTCACCTTTAAGCTTAACTAAGTTTTGTAATGGCAGACAAGGATGAGCAAAATATCATCCAGAAAAACATCTTGTGCTCATTCAAGATCAAAACGGACCTTTTGGAAAATGGTTTCAACTACTAAGCCTGGCTGTAGCGTCTTTTCACAAAGTGAATGAAATAACCAACATGGAGGATTTTCTCTAAATTCTTCTACTCCTCCTCAGATCAATATTTGGACGACTGCCTGGCAGTGTGTTAGCTCTCCTTCAGCAGTTTGAGTAGTTTATGCCCTGCAGTCTGCTTTTCTGTCACACTGAAGCACTGAAGTGTGTGTGATCCAGCGGTGTGTGTGTGTGTGTGTGTGTGTGTGTGTGTGTGTGTGTGTGTGTGTGTGTGTGTGTGTGTGTGTGTGTGTGTGTGTGTGTGTACATCTTTTTATCTTCAGTTTCAGTCCTGGAGTGGCTTTAGCTCTCTGTTCTACGAAAGCTTTTAGAAAAAAGGAAAATCTTGACTATGCTACCAACCTTGCTTAGCGAGCAGTGAAGAGTTCAGCAGATCAGAGTTCAGTGAATTTTCTATGTATTCAGTATTTAACTTTCTGTCAGACATATTATCTATTGACACTGATAACTTTTCTATAATTTCTAGTATCTGTCAGCCTATATGCATCACCCTGAGGCAGCGTTGTAGCTTGGGGTTGAAATCTCCCTTTCATGTAATATCACATGAGCCTGGATTTCTGCTCTTCCTTCAGCTGTTTGCTGTGGGAAGTTGTGGTGTGATAAGCACTCTGCGGGTTGCGTTCACTGCTGTGGTTCTCTGGGAATCACTTCAAGTCTGAATAAGCGAGAGGAAGGAGCTGAGTGATGCCTGCTGATCGAGTCACTGACCTCTGGATCTTGGCCTCTGCAGGCCATCCAACAATCTGACAAATGCAGCAGGAGCCGGAAATATGCACTTCTTTGCCCACTAATGGGAAAGAAAAAACCACAGAAATGTCAGCAGCAGAAAGTCTAATGCTTTTGGGAGGCTCCAACCTGCTGAAGTTTACTTTAAGCTTTATAAATAACATATTTTATAACGTAGATAAGTAATAGTTAGGTTGTTTTATGTTTTTTCCATTTACAAATGTAGATTTTTTTTATCAGCAGTGATCGATTGGTAACAAATGAGCAGAAAATGACCCCAAAAAAAGGAATTTTAGCATTGATAAAAAAAAAATTGAAAGTGAAACAAAGACATTTGATATTGAAAATAATTAGTGCTAAAAATGTTAGAATTATCAAGAAAGAAAAAGGTTTTCTGCATTTATTTGAGTCCATAGTGTAAACTCCAGTGTTTCATGGCAGTGTTGAGTTTTTAATGGTGAAATTTTACCACTTATTACTCACAAAGTAAGAGAACAGCTTACTTTCACTCACGCTGAATATTTAATTGAAGTTGTAACAATAGACGTGTGGATAAGTGATTATATTTGGCCCCATTTGTCTGGTTTTGTGTTTATGAATGGGAGAACTGGGACAGCTGGTTGATGAGATGGACATACTGAGGGGGGGTTATATGGGGGGCCAATTAAATACATCTGCTCCTTTCTTTTGCTCAGACCATCACTCCCACATCGTTCCACTCAGACTCATAACTCACTCTGCTGGAGTCTTCACTATCCACCTAATTAATCAACCATCGTTCCATTATTTCAACTGGAAACGCTGGGATTTCCCTTTCCAATTTGTCATCCCGGTTTCGTCCTCTGTCGCCCTCTGGTGGTGAGCTGTAACATCCTGTACGTGGCATCAGCGCTGGTCACGTCAGCGGGAAGAAAAACAGTCCTTTTATTTCAAAGAATGTTTAACTTCTGCTGCCCACATTATATGTTAGTCAGACACACCCAACAGACACACACACACACACACACACACACAGACACACACACACACACACACACACACACACACACACACACACACACACACACACACACACACACACACACACACACACATGCCAGTATAACATCTGGAATCAATCAGCTTCAACCTCTGCCATGAATGTACCTCAGCTGCACACATATAGAAAAACTCCTGCAATGCCAAGAAGAGAAGACATGCTGGCCGATTGTTTCTTTACGTCAGTTGAACGCAACTTTTATCAGCAACTGCACGTTTCACAGAAAACTGTTAAACAGCCGAAACACTGACTTCCTTTAAATCTGTATTTGAAACGTAATCAACTGCTAATGTAATGTTGGAACTTGACTTGATGTCAAGTTTCGATTGTTGATTCTTTGCTGCAATTGCACAAAAATCCGTAAGGGACGACAGAGTCCCTGAGCGAAATTCTGTCAGAGATGTACGGAGCCTCGTGCCGGAAGCCCTTTGAAAGGCTGTTGGCACCGCTGTAAACTGCGTGATTGTGAGCATCAGTGGGATTAAAAATACCAACAGGTATTTTGATCCATAGAACACAGTAGGATTGTAACCAGTAAACCTTTTGTGGATGCAAAGGCAAGAACCCCCAACTTGATGACTTTGTGTTTTTGCGTTTGTTGTGATGTAAAGCACTTTGAAATGCCTTGCTGCTGAAATGTGCTATATAAATAAAATTTGACTGATTGATTAATTAACATTTTATTTTAGCTCAAATTAACTGAGCTGAAACCCATCATTTTGGGTTCGGCAACCCAAACAGAACTCCTGCAGTTTAGTCAACTGGTTGTACAATAGCAAAGGCAAGTGTTTTGTTGATAACTTACCATTCAGAAATGATCTTTATCAAATTGCCCCAGGGTGGCAGTTAGAAAGATATTAGGGAAGCGGCACAAGCACTGTTTAAAACAATTATCTGTCAATGTGCTATTGCTTTTTGCTTTTGTGCTTGCTGCTGAAACGAGTGTTGTGGCAGAATGTGTTGCTAAAACTACCAACTTAAACTGTTAATATGAATAAATAGTGTTTTCTGCATTCCATGAGCATTTCCTCAAGTTAAATAGTATTAAATATTTTTTCAAATGCATGTAATTTGACTGTGTACAGACAAAAACGTGCATCGATTTGAGTGATGAAATAATATTTATTAAAACAGTTGGTTATCTTAAAGGTTCTATTTATGAGGGCCACATAAAGACGCATTGCGGACCAGATTCGGCCCCTGGGCCTTGAGTTTGACACATGTTCCGCAGAGGTTAAGTTTGATTTAATAATAATAAAAAAATTGGGAAAACAAACAAACAAAAGAGGAGCTTAATTTACTCATCTTATTTGTTGAAGTATGATTACGTAAGACACAAAATCTTACCAAGTATTTTTTAATCTAGTTTCTAGAGGAAATATCTTATTACACTAGAAATAAGACAAAATTAACTTAAAAGTAACTTCAGCAGGATAAGTAGGCGCTTGTAAACAATTCCTGAATATTGATAAAATGTATTAGTTCCACCAGCACATTATTTTAAATGTTTTGTATGGGGGAAAAAATCTGCCAATTTTATCAATATTGAAGAATAATTTACTTAAACTAAGCTTCTACATTGCTGAAGTTACTTGTAAGTTAATTTTGTGTTAGTTCAAGTGTAATATTTGCAGTAGACTTATGTTTGGCAACACTTTGTTTTTGCAGTGCCCTGATCCTGGATGACGTTAATAAAATAGTTGTTATTTAAACATGTTGTGTTTTTTTTTTTCCGATTTGTACGGTTCAAATCAGCACATATATAAACCCGAGCGTTGGATGAGCGCAGTGATTGACAGGTTAATTTTTTTCATTGTGATAACATCACTGCATCTGTCTGTACTTGCAGCGTTTGTTACACCAAAAGCTTTTGTTTCCTTCAGGTTGAAACAGGTTCCTTTAGGTTTCGCATGTGGAGCAAACCAAAGGGAATGAAGCTGGTCATTTCAGAGTATTTTATTTTTCATGTGTCTGTCTGAGCAGGGGGAGGGAATCTGGACTGAATGAATGGGTTTCCTTCAGACTTTTGCCTCTTCCATCCCTCCCTTGTTTCCTCCCTCAAATTGCCACTTCTCTCTCTCTCTGTTTCTCTGTTTCTCCTGCTTGCCTCCGCTTCTCGAAGGGAAACTTTCTTCATACCTGTCTGAACAGGGAGAGCCGGACCGCTGTAGGGCACAGAAAAGATAGAATTAAACAAATAAGCGGGGCTGGGAGGAAAACAAACAAACGGGCAGGGAGTGTAGGACAAACGTATGCAAGGAGAGAAAACAGGAAAAGTTTTTTTTTTTTTTCTTCGTTCCCTGCTGGGCTGCTGCTTCAGTTTTGTGAGACCGGTGGCTATTTTGGTCCGTCAGTGTCGGAGCGGTTTAGGATGGATGCCATCATGCTGCAAGAGAAACTGGTGGAACGGCTTCTGTGCCCACGAGTGAGAACCGCAAGACAGAAGGTAAAGATATATATATATATATATGTATATGGATATACTAGCAAAAAGTTCATTTCAATAAATAAACAGACCATGTAATGTACTAGAAAGTGTACTTAGTCTAACTAAACTGGGGCTTTTTTAAGTTTTTAAGAAGTAAACTTAAGTGTACTGTTAAAAGGTCATTTTAAGTACCAAATTATGCATTCAATAGTTTACTGGGTTAATATTTGTGGCTTATTTATGAAAGGGACATTAAGATTTAGCACTCGTACTACTTACTGTAAACTTTATCACTGAACATGTAAGTTTATAATCAGTACTTTGTGGCAGAAATTAGCTTTACCAATGTACACATATAAGCTTTAGCATTAAAGTAAAAGTTTATTAATGTACTCAGTTGAATACTTTTTAAAATATTCTGAAGTATATGAAATCCAGCTTAAATAAAGTAATTTTTACTTAAGTTGGCTTTACACTTGAATAATCTACTTTTATCTAAGGGTACATTTGAACAAATGAGGCAAAACGTGTGAAAAATGTTGAAATGTTTGCATGATTATATATATAAAAAGAACTGAGGTGATCTTTCACTTTAAGATTTCTGCCAACTTATTTTTCTCAGACATATTTTCTGCAGGGAGTCAAGTTATTGCTGAGGGGGATTTCTGTCCAGCCTTCCCAGCGGCTCGTCTTCCACCTCTTTTTGTTTTGCATGCGCGTAAACGTTCATGTGTCTGTTTTAATAAACGTGATCCTCGGCCGAGGGAAGGGAGCCGCCGGAAACGCCTGTGACGAGTTATGACAGCGTGTGAGGACGCTCGCTGTGCGTCTGACTGGGTTAGAAAAGGAGCTTTTCAGGTCTGTTGAATGTAGCTTGTGTCCGTGTGAATGAATGCTCTCTGCAGGGCTTGAATGTTTGTTTATCTCTCCACATGTCAGCGCGTCGTTCTGTAGGGTCGGGGCGACGCTCCGCCAGATGCAGCGGTAGCAGGAGCTGCTGTGCCACACAGTAGGAGCCTGGCATCCTGTGGTTCTCTTTGTGTTTCTGGAAAGTCTGAGGCGTTGGTTATTCTCAGCCGCTCTCAGAGGAATGCTCTGCACGAGTCTTTCCATATACTTGAAGCTTTTCTGTCTGTTGTGGTAATTTTATTGCGGCACAAGCTCCTCAGATCTTTGGTTTAATTTGTCTTTACATCAAAAGTCCTCTCAGCTAATTGGAGCCTGCTTCTGTTTTTGTGTATTATTTTGGAGCTAAAATTGCAAATCAGTTCTTTGATAAATTATGTGGCCCAACTTAAAAGACTTCTTTTCAAGGGAAACTTTATGCAAAATTCACTTTTTGTATGTTTTTATACCATTTGGGTCTCAGCTGCTCCTAAAAACAGCCCAAGTTAATGTTTTTTGGTTTTTGTGAAGTTACAGTCGACTGGCTGTTACCTAGCAACCCCAGCCCGTCGCTTAGCAACCCAAGCTGAGTTCCAGTACTTTTGGTCAACTGGCTTTTGCGCTGCGGAAAAACACTGTACAGCACAGTGTTTTGTTGCTGATTTTCCTTTAAAAAAAAAAAAAAAGATGTTTCACGTTGTAAAATAAGACAAAAAGTACATTTTTAAATAATGATTTTATTTATTAAGTGTATGAAAGTGTCAGTTTGTGTTCTCATTTGATCATTTATCAGTCGTTCATGATCTCTCGGAGTAATTTGGGAAGGTTTTCTTGTTCCATGTTTTCTCCACTTGTGGATCGCGTCTCTGAATGGGTTTCACTGGAGTCCCAAAGCTTTACTATGATCTTTCCCCATCAGTCACTGTCAATGGCGTCAGATGCTGGACCTACTTCATGTTGTCAAGCAGGTTCTGTTTTACTGATTTCCTGATTTTAGAGGTCATGCAGTAAAAAGGGATGGACTAATAAAATGGAACTGAGTTGCCAAAAAACTGTGGTTAGTCATATTTAATTAATGAAGCATCAATTATATTAGTAAAATATTATCTTATTTTAAATAGTTTGATGAGCTGATATATTTGTTGTAAAAAAGCAAAAAAAAAAAAAAAAATAGCTCTGTAATATTTTTAAGTACTATTTTTAAAAAGATTAATTAAACTTATGTTCTTTGTATTTTTTTAATTATGTTTTTATGTCCTACTTTGACATTAAAAAAGCCTTGTATTATAACTACACTGTAATTTAGTAAATTTACATAAAGAAAAATCAAAATATTTGCATATTTATAATTGGAACATGTACAAACTGGTCAAACCTGGAAGTCAAAAAAGTGACACCAATATGCAACATTTTGTTGCTTTGCTTTGCCAAAGTCTGACCGAATTATTTTATGTTTTTATGTTTATATGTTTACATAAAAGCAGATCTCTCGTGACAGTGAGAGCAAGAACAACTTGTTTATAAAAAAAAGGTTTTTTTGTAATGTTGTAAATAAATCAATAGTTTTTTGATTTGATTCGAAGTTGAAACGATTGTATTTTTGAAACTAAGTGACCCAGCTACAAGCAAAACAAATCAATAACAGGCAGACATATTTCCCAACTGTCAAACCGTTTGGCTTTAAGCAAACAAAAAGTGCACAGGCATCCTGAAGTCTCCTCCCCCACAGCAATATGTGGGGGAGGGTTAGTGCAGTGTAACTCTACCATCACATTAAGAGGACCTTTTTCTGTAGAAGTGGTTGAATATTTTAGCAATTTTGAAAACTCTGCTTTTTAACACCTTGGTTCACATTTCATATTATGGCGGCCATATTGGATTTTGATATATTTTGGTGGCCATATTGGATTTTGATGGAATTTTTTTGAGAAATTTCAGAAATTCCAGCCCAAATTAATTCGTATTGGTTTTTCTTATGTACAGCTAAAACAAATTTGACAACCGAGTACAAAGATGGAGATGTGGAACAATGGTCTGTAATGTCCGTCTAACATTTAGCATCCTCCATGTTTTGCATGTTTCCCTGCTTCTTCATGCCTGAATCAGATCAATGGTTTCATATCTTTCTGAAAGGATCAGGGAGATTCTCATAAGAAGTTGAAGCAACTCCTTGGTGGTTTGAGTCAGATGGTTTAATACACAGAAGGCTTGTGGTGCAACATCATGTAGGAATGTGAAATCAGTTCCTCTAAATTGTCTGACTCAAAGTGACGTGTTATAATCCACATTACAACATTCAGAAGAGCTGCTGAGACAGTTATGAGGTTTTCTTTGGACTTTTAAAGATGGCAAAACCAAAAGCATTAATTTATAAACCTAAATTTCAAATGACCTTTATTTCCCTTTCTGTGTTGATCTTGATTAGACGCCTAAAATTCTACCACCTAAAATAAAATAAATGCAACCACTGATAGCAGTTACACTTTACAAAAAATTCAAACCATTTCTATGAAAACCAGCAATTACACGTTCCTGTGTCTCTTTGTACACATCAAGTCTCAACTCTCAAAAAGACAAACGGGGCCACAAGGAACGCAGATGTTGCCACAACCTCTCTGCAGAGGGATTAAGCAAAACAAGTTCCTAAAACTGCGGGTCATGTGACATTCCAACGAGCTCAGACAGAGACTGTACGGTTGAGAGAAACACACGAATTAAGAACTGTTTTTGTGAGCTGTGATCTAAAACTCAACATAATAAAAGAAACGGAAGAGTTTTTTGTTCCTGAGGCTTTCAGGATCAAGACGAGTATTCACCGAACCCATATCTGGTTTTGTAGAACCGGCTTCTTTGTGTGTGGAAATAATGCCTTCTTAGTCTGAAAAATACAAAATCTCACCAAGTATTTTGGTCTAGTTTCTAGTGCAAATATCGTATTACACTTGAAATATGACAAACTAATGTATAAGTAATTTTTTTTATTAAAATATAGAAGCTTGTTTTAAGTGAATCAACCCATAACATGGAATGAGTTCTGAGTTATTTACTTAAAACAAGTTTCTATTTTTTGCTGGAAAATTACTAGGTAAGTTAATTTTGCTCTCATTTCAGGTTTACTAGAAACTAGACCTAAAATTCTTGTTAATATTTTGTGTTTTTGCAGTGTAATAAATGTATTTCTGCTCTTATGGTCAGTAAATCCTCACAATTGTTGCTTTAATGTAATATTTCTTATTTTAAATTAGATGACTTGTTTGTTTGCAAAGTCCACTGTTTTAAGATTGGTTTAATTTTAATAAAAACTGAAAATAGACAACTTTCAGTAACACTTGTGTTTTTATTTTATCTTCCAGGAGAAACAGTATGTGGGTTTTGCAACTCTGCCAAACCAGGTTCACAGGAAGTCTGTGAAGAAAGGCTTCGATTTCACCCTGATGGTTGCAGGTCAGTTTCTAGGATGTAAACAACTCCATCATGTCTGTCAGTTTATTAGAAAAATGCTGAACCGTCTTCCTTAAAGGTTACACTGTACAGCTTTTGTCTCCAGATTTGTAATAATCCAGAAATGGATCTTTGCTGGATTTTTTGGCTTTTTTCTAAATATGCTGTCACACGTCTGTGTCTCACAGGAGAGTCTGGGATGGGAAAGTCCACTCTGGTCAACAGTCTGTTCCTCACAGACCTCTACAAAGACAGGAAGTTACTAAATGCCGAAGGTGAATCTCCACTTTGTCTTATCTTTGTTATTTAAAGTTTTCCGCTGGCTCCGATACAAGCATGCAATTCCAAACAGTTCGGGTTTGACAAACATCCTTGCATTCATGTTCAAAGCCATTTCTTAACGTCCAGAATTACTAATATTATTTTTAGAGGTTATCTTAACGTAACCCAGCAGCAGAGCCTATTTTGCTCTGTCCCTGATGTATTTAATCCAATTTTCACTGACCTTCATGCTGCGCTGACGCTCTGCAGAGCGGATTAACCAAACTGTGGAGATCATCAAGCACACCGTCGACATCGAGGAGAAGGGAGTGAAGCTCAAGCTGACCATCGTGGACACGCCGGGGTTTGGAGACGCCGTTAATAACAACGAGTGGTGAGTTGGGTCTGCAGATGAGCTTTTTTGCACTGTTTTCGCTGGTTGATGCACTGAGATCGCATTGGTGCAGCATGTTTTGAAGATCCACATGTTACTCAGAATTCACCTTTTGCAGATTTTTGTATTTCTATTTGGGTTTTTACAAAAACAACCCAAGTGATAAAAAAAACAACAATAAAACACCCGCCATATTTTTAGTAATAAACTCATGTTTTTTGTTGCTTCAAAAACCTCCAAAATGTAACCAATCAACAGGCATTGCCTCGTTATCTGGCAACTTCAATGAAAGCCTGGCTGTTTCTTAGCAATAGAATAGATTAGAATAGAATAGAATAGATTAGAATAGAATAGATTAGAATAGAATAGAATAGATTAGAATAGAATAGAATTGATTAGAATAGATTAGAATAGAATAGAATAGAATAGAATAGAATAGAATAGAATAGAATTGATTAGAATAGATTAGAATAGAATAGAATAGAATAGAATTGATTAGAATAGAATAGAATAGAATAGAATAGAATAGAATTGATTAGAATAGAATAGAATAGAATAGATTAGAATAGAATTGATTAGAATAGATTAGAATAGAATTGATTAGAATAGATTAGAATAGAATAGAATAGAATAGAATTGATTAGAATAGAATAGAATAGAATAGAATTGATTAGAATAGAATAGAATAGATTAGATTAGAATAGAATAGATTAGAATAGAATAGAATAGATTAGAATAGAATAGAATAGATTTGAATGTATTGATCACCCATTCGATGACAAGCTACTCCATTGTTAACATTTAGATATAAATATATATATGTGGTAATGAGTGATGTAAGTAATTCAATGACTGAATAATAAAGAAATGCACTTATTTGTATGCACATGCAAATATGTTTATCTAAAAATAATTTATGTGCTGTACAATGGCAAAAGATAAGTGTTTGTTGTTGACTTACCACCCAAAAACCACTTGTTGCATTGTTGTTGGTTGTGCGTGAGGCTCTACTTCTGCTTTTCAAAGAAGTTGCATAATTGTGCATCTATTTGCAGCCTTTTTCACCTATGAGTGTGAATAGCTGAGTTGGGGGCATGGCCAGGATTTAAAGTGACAAGATAAACAGCTCATTCTGAAAGGAGCTTAAATTAGACAGAACTGATCAGATGAAAATCTCATAATCAAAAATTTATTTTGTACAAATAAATGCACTGAACATGTTTTGTTTATAGATCTACCCTAACTTGTTCAAGGAAGCATAATAGGTCACTTGAAAATGATCAATTTCTCAACAGCAATGCAGATTAAATGTCTCTGTTGGAGTCACTGTTGCCAATGATTGGTTGTTGAAGATGGGATTCTGACTATTTAAAAAGACTGGTTAATTTTTATGTTAATTTCTTTTTAAACCAGTTAGGATAATTAATTTAATCCGGGGGATACCTATGGGAAATGATAAAAGGGTAAACTTTGTATTAGAATCAGTCAAATGTAAATTGATTGTATTTTCTTCTCATTTTTTGTACCCCGACAAACTTTTTGCACTTTTGTCTTCAGAAAAGTCCGTCCAGATGTTGCTGCACTTGTATTTTCTGCAGATTTGTGATTTTGTATTTTTTAGTCATCAAATCTTTAAATGAGCTGCTTCCTACTCTTTTTATAACAACCATAAGTACTTTGCATCAAGTGGACAACTTGAACAAGATGGTGCAATATTTGTACATGAGCTGAGCTCTATATATGCTCTCGACTGCGCTCCGCCCCTTGTGCCGGTTCTCCTTCTCCCTCGGGGGAGCAGTAAAGGAGAAGCTTTCAAAATCGAATTTTCTTGCGCATTAATGGAGTGGTACAAGTAAATGTTATCTTCTTAACTTGTGTGTGTTCTAGCTGGAAGCCAATCACAGATTACATCGATCAGCAGTTTGAGCAATACTTCAGAGACGAGAGCGGCCTGAACAGGAAGAACATCCAGGACAACAGAGTCCACTGCTGCCTCTACTTCATCCCTCCATTTGGCCATGGGTAATCACACATATTTATGCAACCTGTACATATAATCAGGCCTAAAAGAAAACTAAACTAGAGTCTGGATTTTCCTTCACAGCTTACGTCCTGTGGACGTGGAGTTCATGAAGGCTCTTCATGAAAAAGTGAACATCATTCCTCTCATCGCGAAAGCCGACTGCCTCACTCCCAATGAGATAAAAAAGCTTAAAGACAGAGTGAGTTTCAGACCAACAGATTCACTGATTTGACAGCATCCTCTGTATCCGGATAAACGGAGTCACCTTTGTGTTTGTCCTCTGACAGATACGAGAGGAAATAGACAAGTTTGGGATCAAAGTGTACCAGTTTCCTGAGTGTGACTCTGACGAGGACGAGGAGTTTAAACAACTCGACAAAGAACTGAAGGCGAGTTTCAGCCGTTTACTGCAGCAGCAACATTAATGTTGCAATTAATGTTCAGTGCAATTTGTAAAAACACAACCTTTATATTGAATGCATTAATAAAGTTGGTAAAGAAATTCAACACCAGAAATAAATTGCTTTTGTTTTTACAAAATCTGTGATGCTACTTTTTTGCATCACAGTTTTTGTTTTGAAAATCTGGAATTTGGTCTTGATAACAATAATTGGTCCCGATAATTATTGGAATAAACGATAATATTGTTGTTTTGAGACCGCGTATTGATAATGGCACAATACGCTACTACCAAGTAAATGCAGTCATAGCAATGCCTCCAGAAAACATTAGAAAAGTGTTCCAATAATGTGCTTAAATTAAAGGTCAGGTGTTTGGGATAAAGAGTTTTTTTTTACAAAAGGCTTTTTTTTGTCTTGAATTGAGCAGCTCCAGTAAAAACAGATTAAAGTTGCATAATTTTCTGCTCATTGTGAAAAGCTGCAGCTGAGATCACTCTCTCATAGCTGTGTGTAAAAATCTGAGCACACAATGGTGGCCTTGTCTGAGCGCAGCCAAGCTGTGTTAATTTAAGCATATTTAACTGTTGGTTTGGCAGGAATTGCGCTAACATTAAGAAACTTTGTCTGAACCATGGAAAATGAATCTTCTGGAATGGATATGAAAGAGTTAAAACAATATCACTGATATTTAAACCTTTTGTCATGGAGAGAACTTCAAACCTTTTACTATCTTTGTTTTTGATTATAATTGCAATAATAAACTACTTTACAGCAAACTAAACATGACATTTTAATATTAAATTTTTTTCATAAATTTATTCAGTTTTGCTATTGTTTTTGTAGAGCTCTTTGTTGCAGTTTTAACTTGCTTTTAAAATTGATATATAAATAAATCTGATGTTGATATTGATTATACTAATAACTAAAGCAGTCACAAAGCAATCCATAAATTATTGTATATTGAAAACATAAATACGTTTTGCAGGTTTGCTAGATTATTTAAAAAAAAAAACACATCCTACATTTTTCTAGATTTTTTGTGTCTTTTCAGCAACATAAACAATTTATGGCTCACTCTTGCTTTATATTAAACAGGAAAAGTCACTGGATGTTTGTGTTTATATTTTACTAATAACTATATTAAAAGCAAAAACTTGAATGGATATTTTGGTTGCATGTTACATTTTCCTTTTTCATATTTTAAGTTGTTTGTCATGGCATCAGTGAAATTGTTTACATGTATCCACTGCCTGAACTACAATTGAATTGTGATAAAGAGTCACACAAAATCATTTCAAGAGTCATTGTAAACTTTAAATGCTTAAAATATATTCACTCTTCAAAAGTTGCAGTGTCTTATGTGCAACAAATAAAATTCTTTGGTGTGAATTTGCTTCATCTTCCTTTAAAGTGCCAGAAAATAAACAGCATGCAGTTTGTTGCGTGTCTCAACAGTCCCAGCGATGCGTCTCTTCGGCTGCATGCGTCTTCAGAGAATGTGCCTAACTATGTGAATGTGCACCAGCATGCTCAGTCAGCGTTTCCTCAACAGACTGGGGTCAAAATAATAACCCGTCCTTATGCGTGCAGGAGTGCACGCCTTTCGCTGTGATCGGCAGCAACACCGTGGTGGAGGCGAGAGGACAGCGGGTCAGAGGAAGGCTGTACCCCTGGGGGATCGTTGAAGGTGAATTCATGATCCATGCATTCTGTCAGCTGCTTTTCCATTAAAGCTGTGGTGCCTAACTTTAATAAAAGATTGATCTCCTCCGTGATCGATCCCTGAGCCATATGAAGAAATTAATCGCTCAAATGGAAAACCACAAAACAAACACAAAATCTTACCAAAGAAAGTATTTTTGGTTTAGTTTCTAGAGAAAATATCTTAGTAAACTTAAAATAAGACAAAAACAACTTGCAAGTAACTTCGTAGCAAGATATATAGACCTATATCTCTTAATATTGATGAAAAGATACTTGTTTCATTCACAGATAAATTAACTTTTAATAGAAAAAGATTTTTATCTGATCAAATAGTCATTAGTTGCAGCCCTACATACATAGGGTTGGGTAGTAACTAGTTAAATTTACTCAATTTACTTGAGTAACTTTTTTGGGAAAAAAAAAATTTTAGAAGTATTTTTTCAATGTTTTTACTTGAGTAATTTTATGAATGATTTCTCTTTCTTCAGTAAAATTTCTGGAATCTCTTCCCACTGAATGTAAAACAAACATGTTTTAACCAGACAAACAGACACATGTGCAGTTTTTATTAAAGCTTCATGCGTTTTTTATTGAAAGAAACTGATTTGGAAAATGTTATTTTGCCTGATTTTGTTATTTTTCTGTTACTTATATGAATTATTGTGATATTCGTTCTTAAAATACCAACATTTCCCCTTAATTTTAGATTCTGGTCCATGTGATTATGTAGTTTTTAAATATTAGATGACTGATGAATTGATCAGTTACTCAAAAACCTCCTGAATGTTACGTCACAAATCAACAGGCGTTGCCTTGTTACCTAGCAACTCCGGAGAACCCTGGGCCGTTACCTAGCAACCCCAGTAGAACGCTGACACATCAGTTACTTACCTTTTTACTCTTACTTCAGATTTTTTTTTTTTTTACTCTGCAAGCGTGTGGATTTAATTGATTAAATATGTGACTGAATTTTATTTAAGGGTATCAGTTCTTAGAGGTTTATGGAACTGATCAGTGGTGTGAATCCTTGTGAGGGATCGCTGCAGTCCGGCTTGTTGATTAAACGAAGATGTTTCTGCCCACAGTGGAAAACCAGTCACACTGCGACTTTGTGAAACTGAGGAACATGCTGATCCGCTCGCACATGCACGACCTTAAAGACGTGACCTGCGACGTCCACTACGAAAACTACAGAGCGCAGTGCATCCAGGAGATGACTAGGTTTGTCTCTCTGTGTGAGAAAGAGTCTGATGAGGAGAAAAGGTGCAAAATGGGAATGTTTCATGAACCTGGCGCTGACGTTTACGGATTGAAGAGAACGTTTCATCCCTCCTCTGCTTTCTGTTTCGTCCTTTAGTAAACTGGCTCAGGATAACCGGATGGAGAGTCCAATCCCCATCCTGCCGCTGTCCACTCCAGACGCAGACACTGAGAAGCTAATCAAGATGAAAGACGAAGAGGTGAGAAAAAGTCTAGACTTTTTATTTAGAAAAGCTGAAGAGGGCTGAATGGTGAAACAGCAGCTCTTTGTTTCCAGCAAGAACAAACCAGGTACTCATGAGTATTAATTAAAAATTCCCCCTTTTTTATATTTATCTGCTCAGTAAGGGGCAGATGTAGGAAACAGATCAACAAATCATTGTAGATACAAAACATAAAAAAGATCTTGCATATTTCTAAAGTTTTTAAGTTGATTGGTTTCTTAAGCTGTAAGATTTGCTTTTCAGTAAAATCTTGTCAATAATTGTAGTTTCTACTGTTAGGATTAGACTTGCTCCACTCTCTAGGTCAATTTAAATCACCTCTTAAAAATCATTTTTATTTGTTAGCATTCAGTTGAGGACTTTTCTGTTGTGATGTTTTAGGTTTTTTTTCTTTATTTTATTCTATTCTGTCCTCATGCTGCACTTCAGTATGCTATCAAACTGTTCTTAAAAGTGTGATATAAATAAAAGTAACATTGATAATTACTTCAAATTACAATGAATGCAAAAACTTCATTAATAAATGGGGACCTATTTTTTTGCTCCTAATAGTTTTTAATGTTATTTAAAAAGCTTTCATTTGTATCAACCAACTATGCTTCAGGCCAGATCTGCTCAATTCTAGAATTGAGGTCAGGGGGGCCGCCCAAAATCCTCCCGGGGGCCGCAAATGGCCCCCGAACCACACTCTGTACATTTCAGGGTGTAGCTCTCTTGGCCAGTGGCCGCTGGTGGTTGCAGCACCAGATAGAAGGACATAAACATGTCAAGAGTTAATTGCCTTTCTACTTCACGATCCAGTTCCATAAGATAACTTGAATGCATCACTGTGAATGCATCACAGTGTTGCAATAATTCCCAAAGCAATAAAGTCAGAACCAGATGGACTGTTTGTAATTGAATCTGCTTACATTTAACTGAGGCCGGGTCTTTATAAAAACAAATATCTCCGCTACATTGTCTAAAGAAATAATATTGAATACATTAAATGTTCTGTATTGTCCAAATTCGCGGCTTAGTGTTAATAAGTCTGGAAAAAAGAATGAGCCATCTTTGAATTTCAATTAAATTCAAGTCACTTTCATTATATATACAACAAATGTTGTCTCAAGGCAATTACAAGAAAAATTATTTTACTTCAGTCACACACACATTTCAATTGATCCCACTAATGCAGACAGTGCAGTATGATCAATTAATTATTCAAAGTAGTCATTTATATTCTAATTTTTTCCCAAACAGCCTGTTTATTTCTGAAAACACGCAGTTTATTTATGATGTGTTGACTCGTCCACTTTAATACTCTCTCTGCAGCTGAAAAGGATGCAGGAAATGCTAAATAAGATGCAGCAGCAGATGCACGACAAAGATCAGTGACACATCCAGATCTGCCCTGCAGCGCCACCTGTTGTTCCTCTCCTGGAACAACAGGGAGACCTTCAGACCTGGATTTGGGTTGTTCTGCGCGGGAAATCCCGGCGGACTCTGCATTTCTCTTCAGTTTGGTGCTCCATTTTGTCTGTCTGCCTGGAGGTTGTTTGTGTTTTCCGATTTTGAGCCCCTGGCTGTGACATCAACTCGAATAATTTTAAGATATAATTTAAATAACTTCTCAGTACCTAATTTATAATGCAGTGCTTAACATTTTTGGATATAATGTGAGGTGTTTTGTAAAGAGCTGTAGGCTAATGATTAGATTTGAACATGGGTGTTGTTTTTATTATGCAATTCTGTGTTGGATATGCGAGTGTATCATAATATTTCTTCAACTGCAGGTTTCCGTCCATGAAAGTCTGTATTTCCCCCATTTGAGGAAGTTCCAATTCATTGAAACATTTGCTGTGAATTCCTTCATTAACAGTTAGAGTTTCTTATGGTCAGTGTAAACATCTTCTTCCAGGTTTTTTAATATCCGGGCTTAAAATGCACTCACTGCTAACAGCTAAAATAAGGGTTTGAGCATTAAAGGGTGCATGTGTGCGCATGCTGTCATTACTCATATCTCCTGGAAGCTTTGGGCCTATTTTTTACTGCTTGTATTTAATGCCTTCAGCGTGCTGTTTTGCATCATCACCCCAGCATTATGGGAAATAAGTGATGAGGAGCCAATACCATGTCTGTGCTTCTGTTTTAAACTTATCGTTGTTCACTTAACATAGTGGAAAATCCATGTGAGCTAAGGCTGCAGTGTGTGTGCAGATGACTGTGTGACCGTGTGTGTGTGTGTGTGTGTGTGTGTGTGTGTGTGTGTGTGTGTGTGTGTGTGTGTGTGTGTGTGTGTGTGTGTGTGTGTGTGTGTGTGTGTGTGTGTGTACTTTACTGCTGCTGATGACCTGTACAGCCCTGAAGGCTATGAGCTCAGTCTTTGTGTCCCATTTTGCAAAGGTGTGATAAATAAACTCCTCAACAAGGCTGTTGTTTTTTCTGACTCATTGTTGTTTTATTTTTAGAGTTTGAGTCCAGTGTGCACATCACTGTGACCTTCATCACTTCCACACATCAGCTGGGCTGGAAGACAAAGCTTCTGCAGGAACATGATCTGCTGATTCATATTTATCTCCTGCAGACATTTTCCTCCCTCTGCTCACAGCGTCGTCATCCCGCCTGGCAGAGGATGCATGGATATAATATAGTGTGTCTGCACTATAGTACTGCTGTTGCAGTACGTTGTGTACTTTGTGAGCCAAAAACTATTTAAAAAAGGTTTTTATGAAGGAGGATTTTCTATTTTTGCAGAAAGTAAAGATAGATAAACATTTCCATCCAAAGCTACATAATCAAAATATATTTAAATACCTTTTCTTGTATGTTTTCTAATTAAGTTAAGTATCGAAAGTTTAGATGAAACAGCAAAGAAATAAAATGCTTCAATTTAAAATCCCCAGAGTCAGTCAGGAATCCTGCAGGAATCAATTTTTCAGTAATGTATTCATATAAAGTTTGTCAGTAACACTAAGGTGTTTTGCAAACTTAAAAATATTTCCGTATTTCTTCACAAACAGAGAGAATTTGCATGAGACAAACAGTAGGCAAAGATGTAAAAACACTTAAATCAACAGCGTAAAATCAGCATAATCAGCAGATTGATTTTTTTTTGTAAAATTCTTATCTTGAGCATAAGCAACAAAAACATTCATAATCACAGATTATTGAGCATGTCAAGGTGAGACTTTCAATTAAAATTAATAAAGTTCAATGAGTATCTATCTGGGAGAGACTTTGCAGAATCGTGTTTCCACCAGAGCAGAGACTCAAAATTGTCAACCGGGGGCGTCAGAGAGCATTCAAAGTTTTAGAAGTAATCCAAGGTTATTATGATACCTAACTAAAACTAACAAAATAACAAAAAAGTAGGAATTTTAAATGGAAATAAAATCTGAGGTGCACCATGTGAGCAAACATCCAAATAGTGATAAAAATACATCTGACATGAAGCCTAAGAACTGAAGCAGCATTGACTTAACATTCAAAATGTTACTAGTAATTTGCATTTCTCTAGTAAGAGTTATAAGATTTACCTATGGAATTTCTCTATTATTGACTATAGATTTCTGCTGAAATTTTTAATGGCGGTTAAGACAAATGTTTTTCTATGATTAGCTTTCAATTTGTTTTCCAGGAACGAGGAGGATCTTCTGACATACTCTGTTGTAGATTATCAGTGTGTGTGTGTGTGTGTGTGTGTGTGTGTGTGTGTGTGTGTGTGTGTGTGTGTGTGTGTGTGTGTGTGTGTGTGTGTGTGTGTGTGTGTGTGTGTGAACACAGCTCATAACTTGACAGCAGTATTTATCAGTGTGAGCCAGCTGTCACACTCACTATACTCTTCTAAAAATCAGCCAGAAGAGGGAAATTCGTCTCCAGAGAACGTCTAGAAACGAAGGTAAATGTCAAACTTTTATATTTAATTTGTTACATTTGATTACTTCTAATTTATGTTTCTTAGTTTCCGCCACATTTGTTCTTTAGTTCTATATTCATAGTTTATTTTTGTGTTCACCTTCCTGAATATTTCTATTATTTATTATAATTTTGTTTATCAATTATATCTATATTTCTGTTAAGGTCAGAGTCAGACAGTAACTAGTTCAGATACTTGAGTAACTCTTTGGAAAATATGTCCTTCCAAGAGTATTTTCACTATGCTTTGCTTTTTACTTTTACTTGTGTAATTTTATTATGAAGTATCTCTAGTTTTACTTGAGGAAAATTTCTGTGAGCAACTTCAGTGAATGAATCACAAGCTTGTTTTAACCAAAAATAAGATTTTGTTAAAGTTTAATACATTTTATATTGAAGGAAGTAATGTTTCAAAATTAATTATCTTCAGATTAGTCTTTAAAATTTTGACATAACTTTACATTTTGGTGCATCTGGTGATGTAATTTTTAAATATTAAAGCACTGATAATTTGATCAGGGACTCAGTGAGTAGCATTTTTGCCAAATACTTTCCTACTCGGACTTAAGTAATTTATTGAACGGGTATTTTTTACTTGAGTAAAAATATGCTGAAGTAGTGCTACTCTTACTTGAGTACAATTTTGGGTCGCTCTGTCCACTTCTGGTTAATGTCTTATCATACTCGGTTCAGTTCTCTTTCTTGATTATTGCTCAAAATGTCTTGCCGTATAAGTTTCTTGATTTATTCTTGAATTAAAATTTTTGTGCATTTCTGTTTCATTGTTCGACTTTTTTTAGTTTAATGCTACAGCTTTATTTCTCTCATGTCATCACAAATCCTGCACAAGTCAGACTAGAACCACTTCAAGCGCTTCTTTGACCTCAGTGACCTTTTGCTTCTTCCCTGCAGGTTGGTAACCATGACAACGTACCTGCTCCTGTGTCTTCTCTTACTCGGAGGTCACAGGTCATTGGCGTGCCCCCACCCTTGCTCCTGTCAGGGTGGCCGGGTGGACTGCAGCGGCAGGTCTCTCACTTCCGGCTCCCTGCCCTCCAGTTTCCCGACCGGAACCGCCGAGCTGCGTCTCCATGACAACCTGCTCAGCACCCTCCCCAACGGGCTGCTGGACGACCTGACGTCCCTGCGCTCCGTCTCCCTTTACGGCAACCCCTGGATATGTGACTGCGGCATCCTCTACCTGCGAGCCTGGCTGAGACGTCAGACCACCGACGTCGCGTCCTACCTGGCGGTGAACTGCAGTTCTCCTCCCAGCCTGAGGGGGCGCTCTGTGGCGTATCTGACCGAGGAGGAGGTGCTGGAGTCCTGCCACTACTGGTACTGCAACCTGGCCCTGGCCTCTCTGGGCTCCCTGGTGGTGTTCGTGGCGGTGCAGGGGTCTCTGCTGGTGGCTCTCATCGTTTTCCTGAAGCGGTTCGAAAGGCTGACGAAGGAGGCCAAGCGGACCACGGAAGAGAGCTTCACGGCCGGGGATGGACTCAGAGAAAACGACTATGAGCGTTTAAAGGACAGCAGCATCTGAGATGAATATGACCATAAATTGTATTTTTATCCAGTAGCTGTAAAACTGTCAAAACAATCTGCATTGAGTCTGTATTTCAGCTCCTTTTTCGAGAAACAATATCAGTTAGTTTGTTTATAACGGCTTTATTAGGGTCAAGAAGAAAAACAGACAAAAATAAAAAGTAACTTGAACATTTCTGAGTTTCAAAACTCCAAAGATGTTTGACTTTTTGAGATTTCTGAGTTTTTTTCTAGAAAATTGTTTCACTTTTAAAATCAGAATTAGCTTTTTTTGTGGAATGTTTTGGTCTTATCTAGCAAATTTGAGACTTTTCCCACAATTTTTAAATATAAAATATCTGAGATTCTCAAATGTTCTGTGTTTTTATAGCACAACCAGAATATTTGCTGCAGGTTTGCTATCAAACCCAGCAAATTTTTTTATGAAAAAATGGTGGGTCTGAAAACAAACTGGGTTTGTTGGGTTTTCAAACTCAAAAATGTAGAAACCCAGACTCAGACATTTACAAGCTTCTTTCTAGAAGAAATTCTGAGATTAATCTCAACATTTGTGATATTTTCCTAGCAAATTTTAAATTTTTCAAATGCATAAATTTTTACTTTTTTCTAGAAAAACAAATTTTCAACCTTTAAACGCAGAAATTTCCTTGTTTTTCTGAAAAAATATCTGAGATTATTTTCAAAATTTCTTATTTTTTTTGGCATTACTTCTTTTACTTCTTTTTATAATTATTGCTATAAATCTGTCTGGTAGTTATTTAGTCTATTATTTTTCTCTATCTGAATAGATTGCTCATAAGACTTTTATTGAGGAAAAGATCATTTAATTTTTGAATTTAGTAATTTAATATTGTTTACATTCTACAAACTTAACTCTTCCTAATTGTTTAAAATTTGTTAGATTACATCAAGACAAAAGAGATAAATTTATATCCACTTGTTCTCTTACACATGTATTTTATAAAAATGAATATTTTAGAATTCATAATAAACTAAACTTTGAAGTATTTGTTTTTGCCGCACTGTTTTACTGCTAAGCATATTTTATAACATTTTTCTGATGATTCACTGAACATTTTCCATTTAAATGTGCTTTTTATTTTTATCTTTTATGTTTTTTAGTGTTTTTTTCCCACCTATTTGTCATCATTTCTACATGTCTTTCCTTTTTTCATTTCTTTTTGTTTAATCCCTCTGTTTATTATTTTGCTTTCTTTTTCTTTTTAATTTATTTATTCTTTTAATTTTTATTTTATATTAATTTGGTTCGATAGTTTATTTTTACTTTAATATGATTTAATGTCACGGCGGAACACTTCTACGAAGTAACAGTTCCGGGGGGACAGCATTAACAGTCGGACCTTCACATGTTTACACATGAGGTTTCCACATTAGATCCTTCAGTGGCTAATTTATCCTTTTTCCACCCTTTTGAACAATTCTGCTGAAGACATAACGACTTTAAAACAATCATGAGTTCCGCAGCACAAAGGTTTATGTCGGAAACATTTTCTTTTCGTCGTTTTTGAGCTGCTGAAGTCTCAGCCTCGTCCGTTTCTGTATCAGAGCCTGTTGCCTGTGTTATATCCAGCTGTTTGTTTAAAATGGGAAAGCTAAGGAAGAAGCACAACTGGAAAGGAAGGCAGCAAAGTGAAACGCATCAACCAGCAAAGGAAGAGAAGACGGATATTGTGGTGGAGCTAAACGGTAGGAGACATTACTGTTATGAAGATGTTTATTCGTTCATTCATTGTTTTTAAAAAAGCAGCGTCCTTGAGGATCTATGTGGGTTTGTTGTCATTAGATGGGGATCGGATGAAAGGTGTAGACGACAGCAACGCTCTGGTCCTTCCAGCCTCCAAACACAAGAAGAAGAAAGAGGAGGAATCTAAGAAAAAGCCCGTGACCTCCAAAAAACCTCTGACGAAGAAACAGAGGAAGGAGCTTCAAAAGGTCCTGGAGCGCAAAGAGAAAAAAGCTCAGGTGAGACAACAGCAACAACTATAGCAGCATCAACAAAATATGTATGGAAGCCAAGAAAAAAATATTCAGATTCGACGATTTTTTTTTATGTACCTTATAACTCCGGTGTCTTTGACTAAATCCAGTGCCTTTGCATTATTTGTTGTAATTAAGTCAGATTAAATAAATTATATGTTCTTTGTTTTGTCAGAATAAATGTACCTTTTAAAAATAACAGCCTTTTAAGTGAGTCTTAAACTTGTGTTTCAATAAATCCACATTTCTGCATTAAAAATATCTTTTTTATTCGACTGATGTGAAACCTGTGTTTCATATGGTGAATTGAGATACTGGAATGAATAACATTTTCAATAATATTCAAATTCACCTACTAAATCTGAATACATAGATTTAATTGGACAGAATTTTATTTACAGACATCAGAATAGCAGGGAGAGAATGCAATGCAGATTTCAGAATTTTATTATACAAATACATTGATTTAACCTTTAAGACTTCCTACAATGTGTTGATGTATAACATCAACACATTGTAAAATCTCAATAAGATATTTTTAATGCTTTTGTCTTTGTTGTAAAATGTTTTGTATTAAAATATCGTTATGTTAAGATCTATTTTCAGGGAGACATACTTTTGTTTTTGTATCAAATCCTGCTGACGTAGTTCTATTAATTTGTCTTCTAGAGGGCAGACATCCTCACCAAACTGGCCGAGGTCCAACTTCCAGAGTCTGAACTGAAGCTTTTGTTCACAACATCCAAACTGGGAACAGGAGACAAGCTTTACCAAACTAAACAGTAAGTTCAAAGGTCATGAGCACCTGAAGTGGCACATGGCCTCCAAAACAGACGCACAACGGTCAAGACTTATTTTATTCACTCAAGAGTATATGTTTCTTCACCTGGTAGAAATTCTGTAAGAATATCTGTTAAGATATCGGTTAATTAAAAAAAAAAATCAGTAGCCTGTAATGATGTTAAGTCAAGCAGGAAGGACTGGGCTTTTGATGTTAAAATTAAGATTTTAGTCACTGAAGCACTTTTTGTTTCAAATCACCAGATAAATGCTATGTTATTGCATTTCAGACAATAAAATGTTTATTTATTTATTTTTTAATTATTATTTATATTTTTAAATGTATTTCTAAGATTGCATAAAATAAACTTAAGTATTTAAATAAAAAATCTGCAGAATGTGCAAATATTTTATACAATTAATCATCAGAATAGTCAAGTACTAAAGTACTCGTTAGCTGCAGGCGAAGCAGAATCCTATCATTGCTGCTTAGTTGTCTTAAAATGTTACAGTTTGGGACTTCAGATGCTTTTAGGTACAACTGTCTGCGGAAATCATTTAGATATGAAAAGAAAATCTCAGAAATCTGTAAAATCAGTGGCTCAAGAGTTGAATCAAGACAGCAACAGCAGCATGATTGTTTTGTTTCCCTTCAGGTCATTGGATGAAGAAAAAGATGGAGCTTCTGGTCCAAAGATTAGTAGTGTGAGCGGGGCAAACAGGAAGAGAAAATGGGAAGATGAGGAGGAAGAGCAGCAAAAAGAAGAAAGCAGTGATGAAGACACATCCTCTGATGAGGAGGAAGAGGAACAGAAAGAGGACGATAGAGAGGACAATTCTGTAGGGACAAATGAACATAAGGACGTTGATGAAACCAAACTGGAGGCGAAGCTGGAGCAGAACATTGCAGATCCAGATAAGCAAAAGGAGACGGTTCCTAATAAGAAGACTGTGCAAAGCAAGAGGCCGTCAGAGCCGGCTGTGTTTATTCCAGTTGACAGATCAGCAGAGATTCAGGTGAGGGAAATCATACTGTACATATTTATGACACTGTGTCTGTTTCTCTGCTTTGAGCATGTGTCAATCCATTGCTGCAGGAGGCTCGTCTGAAGCTGCCAGTGCTGGCCGAGGAGCAGGTCATCATGGAGGCAGTCAGGGAGAATCCCTGCGTTGTTATCTGTGGGGAGACAGGAAGTGGAAAGACAACGCAGGTGCCTCAGTTCCTGTATGAGGCTGGTTATGCCTGGTAGGTTCTCCATTTCATTCCTCCTTGACTCTCTGAACATTGACCCAGAGAAAAGCTCATAATACTGCATCATAAGAGGGTTCTGCGTCACTCTGGAATATATTATATAATAGTAAACATTATATTTTCCACGTTTTGAGAAGCAGAAAAAAAACTAAACAACATGGAGAAGTATAGTTATTTTTACACTTTGTACCACTGATGTAAACAAATTAGTTGTTGATTAATGGGTAATTAAGTTAAAATTTGCTCCAATCGATTAATACCGTCCACTAGACCTTCTTTTGTTGTTGTAGTTTGGCAGCCATCCCAGCAGAGGGGGCCGCTTGCCGTAGCGGAGCCAATTAATACAGGAATAAAGATGGTGGCTATTCCAGAACGGGGAACAGAAACAGTGCTAAAAACTAAAGTTTTAAGAAAATGACCTGATTAGTTGATTGATAAGATCAGTGAACTTTAGATTCACTCATTAATTGATAACGGTTTTCATAAACTTTTGTGTCCGTCTCATTGCTTGTACAACTATCCATTGCTTTCTCTTTTCATCTATCCTATTTCTATTCTTCCATCTGTTTCTTTGTCCTTCTTTCTGCCCCATCTGCTCACTTTTATCCCTTACAGTTTCCAGATTTTACTGCTTCAATATTTAAAACCTTTGGATTTGGATTTTGTAAAAGCTTTTGTCCATTTTTGCTTAAAAGTTGGTTAAACTTTGGGAATTTGGAATGCAAGGAAACTGACTCAGGTGATGTGCCAGTCAGAAAGTTATTTTTTCCTAATTTGTTTGTTTCCTCCAGTGACAGCAGGATAATTGGGATCACAGAGCCGAGGAGAGTCGCAGCGGTCAGCATGTCGCACAGAGTGGCCAAAGAGATGAACCTTCCCTCCCAGTAAGTGAAATATTTGACTTACTTTAGCTCCTAAAGTGATTTTTTTGTTTTATTGATAATACTTTATGTCTATGTGTTTGCTCAGAGTCGTATCATACCAGATTCGATACGAAGGCAACGTGACGAGCGACACGAAGATCAAGTTCATGACAGACGGTGTTCTGCTGAAGGAGATCCAGAAGGTTTTATTGTTTTATTTGTTTCATTAATTTATTTGTTAATGTTTAGTGTTCACAGACATTTAGAGATAACTTGGAATAATTATACTCTGTGTGTTTCAGTTTAATTTTCTCTGTTCTGTGTTACACACATCTGTTTAGCATCACCATAAGGAAAACACAAAATTAAATTAATATTTGTTGTATTTTCCATGTTTTGTTTTGTTTTCTAGGATTTTCTGCTTCAGAGATACAGTGTGATAATCATAGACGAAGCCCATGAACGAAGCGTTTACACGGACATCCTCATCGGCTTGTTGTCTCGCATCGTCCCACTGAGAAACAAGGTGGGAAAAGTTGCTTTGCTATGTCACTTTTAATGTTTGTGTGAATCATTTAGAGGAATTAATCATCTTCTCCTGAAGTTTGAAAGTTTGTTTCAGTCACCTACAGCCCTGCAGTGCTTCTGTATTGAATTAATTTTCTCTGCAAAGACGATGTTTGCAGATTCACCTTTCAGATCAATTTGCATCAAGAATCAGCGCAAAAATAAATTAGATGTAGCTGCACAACGTAAAAATAAAAAAAGCTTTTTCTCCTCGATTTGCTTCATGTCTGTTTTTCTCCATGCCCGGTTGCAGAAAGGAATGCCCATGAAGCTGCTGATCATGTCGGCCACTCTGCGCGTCGAGGACTTCACAGAAAACCAGAAGCTTTTTCAGATGCCGCCTCCTGTCATCAAGGTGGACGCCCGGCAGTTCCCAGTTACCATCCATTTCAACAAACGAACTCCGCTGGAGGATTACACCGGAGAAGCCTTCCAGAAGATCTGCAAAATCCACCGCATGCTGCCTCCCGGTATGTTTGACTTTCTGTCACTACTTTCAGTGTCTGCGCTGATAATTATGAGTGTGAAAGGGAAAATCTAAAGAAGCTGTTTGTGTCGCTCAGGGGGGATTCTGGTGTTTCTGACGGGTCAGGCTGAGGTCCACAGCCTCTGCAGGAGACTCAGGAGAGCGTTTCCTTTCAGGAAGAGCAGCACGGCCGCTGGTGAGCGGTTCATCTCGGTAGCCATCGATCAGGGAGAAAGTTTATTTCTGTTCTGAATTTTCCTGTTTTTTATGTTTAGCTGAAGATGAGGAAGAGGACACGGCTGAGGCAATGAGGAAATTTAAGAAGGCCAAACAGAAGAAGAATGTTGTGAGTTTACCAGCAATAAAAACTACATTTATTTTCTAGTGGGTTTGCAAAGATCTACGCCACTCACAGCTAAACATTCCCACCAAACAATCCCTTTCTAAAAACAATATTTCACTTTATTCATTTGTTTCTAGTTATCTTATTTTGCTTTCACTTTTTATGACATTTTAAAGTATCCAATGTATTCATACTTAAGCCTTTGCAAGAAATATTTCCTATTAAATATGTCAAATTCTCTAAAATGTTTTTTGGTACAATATTAGTTACTGCAGGTTTTGTCTCCAGCATTGTTTTGATAACCTAATTTTATATCACATTTATTTCTATGCTGTTTGCTTATAGCAAACTTATCCAGTGGCTAATTAGTATTTTTTAGGCCAATCATTTTAAAAACATTTCTTTTTACAAGCTGATTGGACACGAAGTAAAAACATTTTAAGTGTTTTTAACTCTGATTCCAGTCTCTGCCTCGGATCGACCTGGATAACTACTCTGCCCTGCCGGTGGACGAGGGCGACGAGGACAGAGAGGCTGGGATCAGAGATGAGGAGGACGGAGGCTCGGACCTCGAGATCGGGGACGATCCAACCGAGTCGGGTAAATTCATCCTCACCGATGGTTTCAACAGACAAGCTGAGTGAGGCTCAATTTGGCCATAAAGGAAACTATATTGTTTAAGGAACATTGTTTGGGTGTCTGAAGTTCCTGATTTATTCAGGGATTGAAAAGATCAGGTTAAATTTCCCTCTGAGTTTATTTTTAATGTTGCATCCACATGTTTTTATCTGATTCATTGTAAAAGTAACTTTAACTTTTTAAGGTTGACACCTTTTAACAGAATGTTGCTCTGTGTTTTGTTTTTGTAGAATGCAAGGCTGACCCGTCCATTCCTCTGTTTGTTCTCCCACTGTATTCGCTCTTGGCTCCTGAGCAGCAAGCTAAGGTAAGATTAACATTTTGGCGACTGAAATGTTCAGAAGTTGGTCCCCTGAAGAGAGAAACAGGGCAGTTTTGACATAACAGTTACAAAAAATCTCTTCCAACGCAACATTTCCTCTTTTACGTCATCAACTAGTTTAATGACAAACAATATCTAATATCTAGGATCCAGCCTCTGTGCTCAGGTGTCCTCCTCTTGCCTGTTTTGGGCCCCTTAAATCTGCACCCAGTTCGCGTAATTCCAGCAGAAGCTTCTCTGACAAATGAAGTCTGTTTTCATGACTGCAGGTGTTCAGGCCGCCTCCACCTGGCACTCGTCTCTGTGTCGTAGCCACCAACGTCGCTGAGACATCTTTGACCATTCCTGGCATCAAATATGTTGTCGACTGCGGCCGGGTTAAGAAGCGTTACTACGACAGAGTGACGGGTGTGTCATCCTTCAAAGTCTCATGGACCTCTCAGGCCTCAGCCAATCAGAGGGCAGGCAGAGCCGGACGAACGGAGGCCGGACATTGTTACAGGTCAGAGCCCTCGTGATAACACAACATATTGATATATAGAACTTGAAATGAAAGTATTAGTCTGTTTACCCATTTTCCTTGTTCCTCCCAAAGAGAAGGGTGGCATTGTTTTACAAGAGACTGTTCAGATAAAACCATAATCTACTACTTGGGGCATTTTGAGTTATTTACAGATTCTGAAAGTACGTATTCTTGCCCAGTTGTCCAGTAATAGAAAACACATGGAAATTTTTTACTGCAAGTGTTGTGTGCATTAATAACATTTCGACAAACACTCGATTTGTAATTTAGAAGTGAAATTAAAAAAATAGACATGAGTTGCAAAAACAAACATTTTCTTCCAGCCAGCACATATCGTAGCATAAATAATTTTATTTTTGGTGTCAAGAGGCAGTTTGTCAGTGTGGGGTGCAGCTTCGTTCACTGCCTTGTCATCGGTATATTGCATTCAGCACAGCATGTGGCATGCAATGCATCATAATAGTGTTCAAAAACAAAAGTTCTGCAACTCCCCCAGAGAAACCTTCCACTGGTTTATTTTATTTACCACATTATGTTATCAAAATATGGCATCCAGACAAAAGAGAATACTCAGATTTTTAAGAAAATTAATTGTTAGTCTATGAATGAGATCAGTCCACTTGAGATTAACTCATTAATTGATAACTTGCTTCTAGAGTGCATTTTTACCTATTTTTATTTTTTTTCTTGGTTCTACAACACAGGTTGTATTCCTCTGCGGTTTTTGGAGACTTCAGTGAGTTTTCTGAGGCAGAGATCACTCGCCGCCCCGTAGAGGATCTGGTTCTGCAGATGAAGGACCTCAACATCGAGAAGGTCTGCAAGGAGACAAATATTGTTTTGAAGGGAAAAAAGACAGAAAAGCAGAAAACTGGATATTTTTAATTTCTCGTTTTGCAGGTGGTTAATTTTCCTTTTCCCACACCTCCATCCACCGAGGCTCTGATCGCTGCAGAGGAGTTACTGGTTTCACTGGGAGCTCTGGAAGAGCCGCCTCGCTCTGGAAGGTAACTGTGCTGTTTTTACATTTTTACATGCATTGAAAAAAACTTTTTGTTTCATTTGTTTTGATTATTTCTTTAAATATTTATGATGCAGTTCAAGTCAAGTTTATTTAAATTTAAAACTATCATTATATTTTTAAGCTCCTCCCCTTTTTTCTGACTTTAATGGTAGCATAACAAGCAGAAAAAAAATCTGAGCAAAAACAAATGAGTACATTAAATTATGTAGAATATTGTGTTTTGGGTTCAGTTTTAGTTTTCTATCTTGTAAGTAAGATTGTTTTTTTGTTACAATGTCCACTGACTTCAAAGTTGAAAGTTGGTTTTATTAGATTTCTGCTCAAAAGATTTGTTTTCTATCATATTTTTTTGCAATTTCATCTTATATTAACTTGTAAAAGTCTTCATACCCCTTGATATTTTAAAATATTTTGTCACAACTACAACACTGAGCTCTTTTGGAGTATTTCTCCACCAGTTTTACATTTATGGACTTATTTTTTGTCCATTCTTTATTGCTGAAACCCTTTATTTAGACTGAATGCAAAAGAGTTCAAGGGGGTTGAATTCTTGAGCAAAGTTTTGTCATTTTCTCAAGTTTTACATTGTATGTGTGTTTGTTTTAAACTGTAAGAGTTTTTATTTGTTTTTATTTATTTTATGTACAGCACTTCATATCAGCTGTGGTTGTTTTAAAGTGCTTCATAAATAAAGTTGGTGTGGTATGGTATTGCACAAATATCCGAGTTAACTATCAGTTAATGTTTTATCAGGATAAAAACCTTGCAGCAAGCGAAGTTGAGCTGTCCCATCACCTCGCTGGGCAGAGCGATGGCTTCATTCCCCGTGTCGCCACGTTATGCAAAGATGTTGGCGCTCGGGAAGCAGCAGGACTGTTTGCCGTACATCATCGCCGTGGTTTCAGCCATGACTGTCCGGGAAATCTTTGAGGACTTTGACAGGTGTGTACATTCACACTAATCATTGTTTATATTTCATTGTATCAGGAAACTAGAAAGAAGGCATCCAGTGGGAGATAGAATATTGTAACATAACACGACACGTTGATATTTACCAACTGATTGATTGCTTGTTGTTTTCTCATCTCTCCTCAGACCTGCTCGTAGTGACGATGAGAGCTCCAAGCTTACCCAGCGTCGAGCTCGGCTGGCCCAGATGAGGCGCTTGTGGGCGGGGCAAGGAGCTTCACTCCTGCTGGGGGATCTCATGGTGATGCTGGGTGAGAGTACTGAAGAGAAGGAAACATTAATTTAGCATAATTCTAGCCTGGCCATGGCCTTCCTATGCAATTCCCCTTCATTCTAATCTCCCTTATAATGGGATTTCACTCCAAGCTGTTATTTATTTTAAGCAGTTATGAGGCAAAACTTGAAACTGATGTTGTTGCTCGGTAACTACAAGTTACTCCACAGGTTGTTGCTAGGCAACCAAAGATTGAGTGAGTAAGTTGATTCCACCAACAGCTCTTTCCTCTGCCTACATCCCCCAGAATGCTGTGGGGTTCTGGGTCAGGGTTCAGTGGAATTATTGAACATTCTATCTGGCGTGTTTTCTATCAATATTGAGCACAATATTTATTGCTTATTGATCAGCCCTCTGCTATTCTCTGGCGAATGTTACCCTCTTTATTTGGCCACAGAAACGAAGGACGTCCACATGTTGCTAAGTCTTACTGTGGTTCTGTCTGCGCCGGACTGCAGGTGCTGTTGGTGCTTGTGAGTTTGCTGGCTGCACTCCCAAGTTTTGTGAGGAAAACGGACTGAGATTCAAAGCAATGGTGGAGATCAGGAGGCTCAGAGGTCAACTTACCAACGCAGGTGCAGAAACACACTTTTTCTCGCACACATGTGCAAAGTAACATAAACCTGCGGCAGAAACTGAGCCAGAAATTCCTTATTTTTCCCTCCTCGCAGTGAACGCAGTGTGTCCGGAGGTGGGCGTATTTGTGGATCCAAAGATGACTCCACCCACTGAACATCAGGTGGTTTGCCTGCGGCAGATTGCTCTGACCGGACTGGGAGACCACCTGGCGAGACGTGTCCAAGCAGAAGACATGCTGGACCCGAAGTGGAAGAATGCATACAAGGTGAACAGATCCTGCATCTTGGATTGTGAACAACAAAATAACATGTTGTTCATGTTATTTTCTTCATTTTGTCATTTTTGTCTGTTTTTGTTCTTCTGTGCAGACTCCTCTGATGGATGATCCAGTGTTCATTCATCCAAATTCTGCTTTGTTCAAAAAGCTGCCAGAGTTTGTGGTCTATCAGGAGATCATGGAGACTTCCAAAATGTACATGAGAGGTAAAGAAACACCACAGGGCTGAAACCCAAACATTAGGGATAAGTTGGTTTTTAAGTTTGAAATATTCCACTGATTCTGGATAGATTCAGTATTTTAAAGATCTGGAAAAAAGAAAACAGGGTTAGACAAATGATTGTGTTTCTAATCTCAGTTTTCTCAGTAAGAAAATAAGCATTTTATTGCCTAAAATGGGAAAAATAGTGTTCCTCTAGTGAAGCATGTGAAGCTAAAGCTGCAGCTTGAGCTTTGGATAAAACATAAAACAATGGTGTTTTTATCTTGAATGCAAAATGTGTAGATCTTTTGCATAGTTTGGCTTAATTACTGCGCTGAATATGTAAGCCTTTCATAATGAGCAATAAATCAATTAATCACATAGATTAAAACAAATTCAATTACTTCCATTTGCATGACTTACAGTTTTTCTCTTTTCTCTCTTTTTACCAATAACTGGATGATGAAAGTCATAAACCTCAACTATCCCTTTTGAGGGACTTCTTTTTTTAAACTTTATAATTTTATCTTTTGTTTCTGTTGTTTTGTTCATTTATTTTGTATATTTAAAATGTATGTCTAACTCCAGTTAACGTTGATTAATCGATTGCTAAATTATTTTAATAATCGACTTTGATTAATCGTTTCAGCCTGAGTAAAAACTGTTCAGAGGGAACATCTTTTATCTCATAACGTTATCTGAGAACGCGTCTCGTTTTTCCTGTCAGGTGTTTCAGCAGTAGAAGCAGACTGGGTCCCTGAGCTCCTGCCTCAGTACTGCCACTTCGGCCCTCCTCTGGACTCACCGGCGCCGTGGTTCTGCTCTTCCACCGGCACCATCAGATGCCACAGATCAAGCACATTCTGTAAGTAAATTTTCAGCATAGCAGCAAATTATAGCGTCTTCTTTAGCTTTCATTCATTTCCTGTGTGTGTCCTTCAGTCCGGGTGGGTTGGCAGCTGCCGGCAGTGGAGATGGAGTATCCTGAAGGTTTGGAGCGCTACAGGCTGTTTGCCAGGTTTCTTCTGGAAGGACAGGTACTGTTGCATCTTGATTCATTTCATCTGTTTTTACTCCAAATCCGTCTAATTTATCTCATTGCTGTAAGCCGAAAACTTGCATGTCAAAAAGAAAAAACTATTTTCTTGTAAAAGTTAATTTATACTCATTATTTTATTTACTGGGATCTCCATTAGTTTCCACCAAAATGCTGAATAATGTTTCCGGGGTCCATTTGCTGAAATACAAAAATATTCGTAAGTTAGCCTATAAAATGCACACAATTGGTCAGACATGTTACAAATTACAAACAGAAACCTGGATCTAATAAATAAGACTTGTATCTTCTTATAAAATAAATTGTGCTTTTTAAATCTCTGATGGTCTTATGTAATTTATTCATCAAAGTCAAAAGCTGATTTTGAAGATTTTCAATGGATTTTTATCAATGAAACCACAAATGGATGTGAAAGAGGTACGCTGAAGTTTTTTTTTAATACATAGAAATAGAGATACAGTGAAAGTATGTTATCTTTATTCTCCCATCCTTGTGTCTTCTCATGGTTTCCATCTAAAAATAACATTAGAATAAATAAACATCTTCAATATTACACATGATTAAGAATTATTTCTATTCAAGTAACAACTTGAACAAACATTTACTTTATATGTTTAACAGGTTTGTCCCAAGCTAAAGAAAAACACGGGCCACCTTCTGTCAAACCCCTCCATCATGATGAAAACTTGGGCAAAGTAAGTCTTTCCTCACGCATGGGATTATCTTAATTACCAGAGTAGGTACAATAGGCAAAACTATTGTGATTAGCTTGGTCTAATTATAGGGTGAAAAAAAGCAACTAGAGCCACTCTGCTGTCTGAGCAATTTAATTTCAAAAGCACTAACCAGGTGAAGACATTTTCATTTATTTTAATATCACATTTAACTGCATTTGCAAGTGTTTTAGTAAAAGTTAGAATGTTGTTGACTATTTCTATTTGCACTGATAAAAATAATTTTATGTTAATATATTAGAAACAACAACAGTCTGAAATCAGAAGATCCTTTATGAGAAGTGGTTGAGAGTTTTCTAGAAAAGTCTTAGATTTGTTTAAGAGTTAACAAAGCCTTATATTGACTTTTTAAACTTTTTCCACATCCCAGTATTTAAATATTTAATTCATGCATCTTTAAGAAATTACCTGAACATTTGTTAGACACAAAAGGTTTGAACTTTTGAGAAAGAATCCTGTGTAACGGATACGTAAGTATCACACCTGAATGTATACTCTTATTTGCTCTTACTGTTGCATCTTTGCTTTCTTAGACTCCAGCCCAGGACAGAGGCTTTACTGGGACCACTGGTTTCAAGAAGGGTTGACAGCAGAGATGCTCTCCATTCTATCTGGAAGACTGAAGATAAATGTGAGGAATCAATGTGGCTTGTTGTTTTCCTCTGATTTGATTGTTGTATATCTGTTTTGTAATTTCTGTTTTGCTCGCTGCAGTTCTGTTGTCTGCATACTGCCAGTGGTTACCTGAGGCCACACACCAAGAAGTCGCCAAATCCTGGCCTCCAATTTAAATGCCAGAATCACAGCAGAAACGAGAGATGAACTGACCAGAGAGAGAGATGAGACCGCCTGCCTCACCCCCAAAAAACGATTTGGGTCATTTTTTGTAAAACGTTTCTATTGTGTATCTACAGCAGCACCACAGCTACTTTTCTCAGCTTCATGTTGTTTATATGAAGTGTGAGTTTTGTAGGAAGGAATATTATTTTTCTAGTTCTGTACTGATGTTTTCTGTGTGTTTGCTGCTGTAAAAAACTTGTACTGCAGTATTGGTCTTCATAAGACTTTATAAAACATTTGATGTGACAAAGGCTACTGTGGGATTTATTTCTATTTTATGTTATTTGAATTACGCATACATTTTATTGTCACAATACCATATTTTTTATTTATTAATTGCATATGCTATATACAGGATATCACTACTTTTTAGAAGTTACAAATATTTTTATTAAATTTTTTTAAAGTTATTCTATAATTGCACTGTTGAACTTAGTTCTGATATGTTTTTTATTATTTTTTTGATTCAGGAATTACTCTTTTTCGAGTTACGCCTCCAGTTTTTGGATTTTGTGCAGGTGGAATTGTTTTTGATGTTTGGATTAATAATTTGTTTCATTAGATGTAGCTGTGGCAACAGTTTTATTTTTACAACCCTGATTAGCGTCTCAAAAGCTCAAATAACACCATATCTATGACCTCTAATTGGAGCCTTCATGGAGGCAGAGCAGGACCAAAGTCCAATGTCTCTGTCTGAGTTTCAGGCAAAGGTTTAAAGATGCGATATTACGTATTTTTCAACAACATAATGCCATTTTGTAGCACAATTACCTAACTATGTTACAATAAGTTGTCATAAAAATGCAGTGCCTATCAAAAATATTTTTTAGCCTTATTTTAACTATCTTCAGTGAGAGGCATCTTCAGACTTCCTGAATGGACTGACTATCGGACATCCTACATTATCACATATGACATTTAATTTCCCTATGGGATGCATACAATATTTTTTAATTGAATTGTTTGCAAAATCATTTCTCTGTTCTGTTAGTTCTTCTACTTAATATTTTACAATTCCAATGCATTTTCTCCACAAACCATTTATTTATTTACATTGTTTTGCGTCTGGAATACAGTTTTAAATTATTAATATATACTTTGCTGGAAATAGGTATTTTCAATAACAGCATTTAAGATCTGCTAATAACAGACAAAGGATTGTTTTTATATCTAATTAGGAACTAAACGTTTGTCTTCTGCTAATACTTTAGCTTTCGAACACTGATTTTGAAGTAAACAGTAAACTGTGAGGAGTGACACGTCACTGCTCACACCTACTCTGATTGGCTATTGGCAATTGGCAATGAGGACGTCATTTCCCCTTGTCAGCTCGAACACTTCCAGGAGAAGAAGGAAGAAAACAAGAGGACGCAGAAACAACAAAAACAACCTGAAACGGCCACTTTAACTTAAACCTTTTTAACAACCAAGACCTAACGAAGTCACTATGGTAAGCAATGTGAGTTGCTGCTCCTCTCCGTTGACGCTAAATATGTACGAAAAGTTGTCATTTTAGCAGTTGGGCTAACTAGCGGCTAACAACAACACTGGCGCAGAGCAGAAAGATGCTCCGTCATCATGAAGTTAAAGTCATTCCCCGATGTGAAACACCAAAAATTGTTTTATTTGTAAGCTGTTAATACATCGTGTTTGAACTCCACAGTTTTCCTTCCATCATGTGTTCGACCACCCAATGGCCCGGGGCTTTCCGAACCGCTTCTCCACTCAGTACCGCTGCTATTCGGTGTCCATGCTGGCTGGACCCAACGACCGCTCCGATGTGGAGAAAGGAGGCAAAAGTGAGTGTCGTCACTATGATCAACGTGTGCTATTTCGCACAGTATTAGCAGAAATACAGTGTATAATATAAGTTAGTTAGCGGTTCAAACTCATATTTTTATTGCGTCAAAGTTCTTTACCGAAACGAAAGACACGAATAGACACAAGTATATTTAAATTACAATGCTTCATAATCTGAGCTGGCAAGATGTGTAAAAATAAAAAGGTCCAAGAAAAGAGTCTTGAAGAACTCCACATATGATCTGTGCTGAGATTTACGAAACAAATTTAGAATCTGTTCTCTGCGTTAATGAAACCAAAGGGTTACAGTGTAGATTAGCAGTTAAATAACTGTTTTGTAGATTACAATATGTAATCTAGAATTACATATTGTAATCTAGAACTCAATTGTTTACTGTTTCCTTTAATGGGACCTAAAATTCTAATAATACTGTACCATAATTAGGGTTTGGAAGAGGGTTGGAATTAGATAAGCGGTTGCCTTAAAAAAACTTTTAAAAAATTCTAATCCAAGTCAGAATTCTTTTTTTAAATGTTCATGTTTTTTAAATCAAATTTAAAGAGATTCATTTTTTTATATGTACAAACATTTACAATTTCTCCCTTTTTTTCCCTTTAGTAATTATGCCACCTTCTGCACTTGATCAGCTCAGTAAGTCCAAGTCAAGCCAAGTGCTTCTTTTTTCCTCCATTTTGTTTCATGATCAAAATGAAACATAAGAAAAATGAGAAACGTTTTTCTTACGTTTTTATGTGAACAGGCAGGCTTAACATCACCTATCCAATGCTGTTCAAACTCACCAACAAGAACTCAGACAGGATGACCCACTGTGGAGTTCTGGAGTTTGTAGCAGATGAAGGAATCTGTTACCTTCCACACTGGGTGAGGAGGAAATCAAATGGCACACTGAGTGGTCTACTGTGACAAGCTGTCGAGTTTTATCATATTGTTTCTTTTGTGGGAATGTGCATTATTTTTTTGTGCTGGTTCATGAATGAATATTTGTTCTGTGTAAGTAAAAGCAACTTGTAGCAAGTACAACAGTAAATCAAAGGGTCTTAGAAATATTAATTTAATCCCAGATCATAGATTAACTTTTTTTATTGTTTGAACTTCTAACAACAAAAAACCCAAAATTGTAAATATACTGTTAACTCTGCAAAGTAGTACTTTAATTATATATCTGACATGTAAATATGTATCTGTCTTTCATTGCAGATGATGCAGAATCTTCTCCTGGAAGAAGGGGGTCTAGTTCAAGTGGAAAGTGTCAACCTTATGGTGGCCACATATTCAAAGTTTCAGCCACAGAGCCCTGACTTCCTAGATATAACAAACCCAAAAGCAGTGTAGGAAATCGGTCCACTCTGTTGATTTTTCTTTTCTTTTTTTGTTTTAGCTGAGCGATATATAAACATAATTCTTATATTTTCAGTCTGGAGAACGCTCTGAGAAACTTTGCGTGCTTGACCACTGGTGATGTCATAGCCATAAACTACAATGAAAAGGTAAAAATGTTTATTACAAAATAATAGATATTACTTTTCATTATTGAGTTGCATATCATGCGTTTAAAACTTTAATGCTTCAGATCTACGAGCTGCGGGTTATGGAAACCAAACCTGACAAAGCTGTATCCATCATCGAATGTGACATGAATGTAAGACTCTTATCGTTATCTCAGGCAGTAGATAAGTAATATAATTATGTTCATTGCTTCACTCATGTCATCACTGTACACTTCAGGTGGATTTTGATGCTCCTTTGGGTTACAAAGAGCCTGAGCGACGGACTCAGAACCACGATGAACCGACAGTAAGACCCCAAAAGTGTCTGAACGTTGTATGTTCTGAGCAATGAGATAAAACTTGTTTCTTGGCAGGAGGAAGAAGGAGACGCCAGTAGTTATGCTGACATGGACACAGGATTCAGAGTGAGACCCTACGGCTGTTAGACCGAGACAAAACAAAATGTCAGTGAAGGTGTTGAAGTTATGTGAGTCATGGATTGTGATGTCTTGCCAGGCTTTCACTGGCTCTGGAAATCGCCTAGATGGGAAAACAAAGGGAATTGAACCCAGTCCTGCTCCTCTAACTGCGAGTGACATCAAAAGGTGAAAACATGCATGCATTAAGAAGCAAATCCGCAGCATTATGGCATTTCTATTCACTGTAAAAACAATTTCAAGAAGTTGAGAAAAGACCAATGAACACATATTGCAGACACCTAAAAACTGCTGTTGCACAAAACTAGTTTTGTAATCTCACTAACAGAAGAAAAGCATCCAAGCGTCTACTCCAAAAACACAAAATCTTACTACCGTAAGTATTGTTGGTCTAGTTTATAGAGCAAATATCATAACATCTTAGCACACTTGAAATAAGACAAATTAACTTAAATGTAACTTTTCAGCAAAATATAGGAGCTTGTTTTTAGTAAATAATTCCTCAATATTGATGAAAAAGTACTAGCTCAATTTTTCAAATAAATTAACATGGGAAAAAGTTTTGTTATTAGTGAAATATTCCTCCAATGGAACAAGTACTTTTTCATCAATATTATGAAATGATTTACTTAAAACAAGTCTCTGAATCTTGCTAAAAAGTTACTTCTGTGTTAGTTTTGTATTATTTCAAGTGTACAAATATATTTACTCTAGAAACTAGACCAAAAATACTTGGTAAGATTTTATTTTAAGTGTAAGTGTTTTCACTTAATCTTAAAAAGTATGAGAGTAGATTTTTGTGTTTTCCAAATTTGGATGCATATGATTTAATAAAATAGAGTGCAGAAAAACATTTGAGTTTTCAAATTAATTTCTTTTTCATTTTTTTTTAATGGCAGAAACAAGGACATTTCACCCTGTTACTCAATGTCAGACACATCAGTTTCAACAATGCAAGGTTTAGTGTTACATCGATACATTGGGCCATACTGTAGCACAAATGCACTTAAACCTTTGTTTTGGACAGTTTACTGTTGTTTATACACCTCGGAAACTGCTTGGAAATCACTGAAAGCCTAATATACAATGTTTTATCACAGAGGCATTCCAAACTATGACTTTAAAGTCGGCCGGATCACCTTCATCAGAAACTCCAGACCTCAGCCCAGGAGAAATGTAGAAGACGTGAGTAAATATGTTTTATAAAGTATTTAATTACTTAACCATCATGGTTTTTTTAGTGTTATATGTAACAGAGTTACAAACGTTACATATACATATAATCTGTTACATATACACTGAACATAGTGTTTTAATTCCGCAAAATAAGGCATTGAAGTGGTTTTGGTTTCATTAACGCTCTCTAAATATTTGTTTTCTTTCTCACAGGATGACGCCATGAACAGATTTATTGCCTTTTCTGGACAAGGACAGTCATTGCGGAAGAAGGGCAGAAAGCCTTGAATTACTTGAAATGGATATTCGGCTTGTGTGACCCCATAATCCGACCAACAGCAAAGTTTAAAAAACAAACAAACAAAAAAAAAAACATGATGTGAAGAAACACTTGCCTCTTTGTGTGTTATATCTGAACTCAATCATATTTTAAAAACAAACTGGTTAGACTTTTGCTCAAACATGCTGCATTGGATGTTATCTATTGAGCTAGATAATTGGATGTTATCTATTGAGGTAGCCTCAATAGATAACATCAACATAATAAATAGCGTCAGGATTATTACTGGAATTATGAGTTATTTTCTTTCTGTTCACCAATTCCCAAAATTATTTTTTGACCAAATATTGCACCTGAAATATACAGTTTCCAGAATCCCCATTGTATTTCAAACAATGGGGCCAATAATATTTTTAATTTTTATTAGAAGGATTTAATATTTGAATTCTTTCGTTTTTTTTCCCTCAGTTATAGTTTGCTTACATTCTTTCCTGGTTTATTTATAGACAAATAAAGGATTATTTTGACGTTGTCTTCAGTTGCTTTTGTTGGCAGTTATGTATGAATAAAATGTGACCACTTTACCTCAATTACACATTTATTAACAAATAAATATCTGGTTTGAAGTTATGGTGGAGTGTAACATCGTGGGTAACATCACAGGACTGTAGAAGATTGGAAAACATGAGTATATAAAAAATAAAACGGCAAAAACTGGTTCAAATTTGGGTTATTTAATGTAGACCATACATTAGTCCAAAACTTTATTTGATCCCGGGTCCAGAAGAGTTGATGGTGCTTTTGTTTTGAAAAGCATGTAACCGGAAACACTTCTAGTTTAAAATGCTAACGATGGAGCGGCTTGCAGAAAGAGCGTGGAGGGTAAATTATCCCTAAAACGTGTTCATAATCGTGCCTTTCATGATAACGTATTTTTAATTTTAGTCATCGGTTTGGCTGATTGGTTTTTCTGAGGCCTAACATTTGTGAATAAATTAGCAAGGTGATTAGCTTTCGATGCTAAGTAAATTCTCCGTAACCTTGACCGTAAGAAACCGTGTGGAATATCAAGAATAGACGGGATAAGCTTCGTAGATCTAGAAATTTACATTTGTTAAGAAGCCTATCGTTTTTAATTTCTTTTTTAAAAATTAAACGCTTGATAGTTTCTAAAAAAAAACAAAAACTCCCGTGTAGCTCCAATGACGGTCACAAGGGGGTGCTGTTTCCCTGTTTTAATTCGAATGCGTTCAGAAAATAAACGACCAATATAAGTTTGAAAGCTGTAGTGGTATTCATATCTGTGTACAGGCTTTGCTCCAAAATAAACGTCAGGTCTTAACGTTATTATTGTCTACAGTAATGGCAAATAACATCAATATAATAAATACAAATATCAGCACATTCATAATAAAAATAAGTTCACTATGTTTCGATAATTTGTGGAATCCCCTTTAGGAGCAATAGAATGAATTAGTCATTAGAGACAGATCAATCCCATCAGATTGGATTCAGATCCAGAGTAATCTGTATTTGCTCTGTCATCTTGCAATACCTCAGCCCTTTAATGTTCATTTTTGTTTTTCTGTTGTAGATTTGCAGATGTTTCTGGGGTTATTGTCCTGTTGCATGACCTGACTTTGACCAGTTTGAACCCTTTGAACAGTTGAACGAATGGCTTCAAAACTAACTCCACAATAGTTAAACAAGAATTTGTTTCTTCCCCCACCATACTTGGTATGAGGAGACCTCTTTATTTGTCTCATCTGTCCAAAATGCAGCGTTACAGAGGTTTTGATTCCTTTAACTTGTCTAAAACATGGTGACGTGTGTTTTTGAGAAAAGAGAACTTCAACATTTAACACACAATCTAAGAAATCTGAAAAGGAGATTTATTTTTTCAATTTTCTGTGGATTTGAGCTTGTCCATATTCATTCTTACTTTTCTCTCCTCTTTGGTACTCCTTATTAAACATACAACTACCAGAAGTAGCCAAGCTCAGTGCTTTATTTGTGCCTGTTCCTGCAGCCACCTCGAGCCTGTGAAGATTACTTCAGTGAGTTCAGGAACTGCAAAAGTTTGAGGAATTGTTTTCACCATTACTACACGTACGGCACAGCCCCATCCTGCCAGCAGTGGAAAGCAGACTACCATAACTGCAAAAAATGGGAAAGTCACAAACTCACTGAAGCTAAGGTGCAACTCCAGGAAATCCAGAAAATAACTTTTTGCTTTTCTAGTTTCATACAGATGTACCTTTGTTTTTTATATTTTAGGAAGCATTACAGGGAAGTGAAAGGAGACGATTGGAAGAGCAGAAAAACTTCACCCCAGTGTGGAAACTGAGGCAGGCACCTCCTGGTGACTGGCACAGACCTCTGGACCAGGAAACCCAGCAAGACTCCTGATCTGAAGAGCCGTCTGCCGCTGCTCTATGAGTCAATGCAATATGATGTAGTTCACTTCATGGACAATCCACTGACACCTGCTGTTTCTAAACTCATTCATAAACAGTTAAAAAATTAATCTTTGGACTCAAAGGAGGGACTAGTTGAAATGTAACTTCATGTAGTTCCCATAATTTAAGAACATATTTAAATTGCAAAAGCTGTGCTTTGTTTATTTAAGAGTAAACATTAAAGCTTTACTTTAATTCAAATGTATAAAATGAAATCAGTTTAGTGTTCAATGCTTCTATAATGTAAGTTTTGTTATCATAGTTAAGCTACTGCTAATTTAGTTCCCTGCTTTATTTCAGGAAGTAAAAAAATCTTATAAAATAAAAAATTCTAAACTTAAAAAATTTTTATCCAAAACTAGAGATCATCATAGTAGAGATGCATATTTTGAAAGGTGGTTTACAGTCCAAACTAGCTGTGCTGTAATGTAGCATCACTGTTTTTCTCTCATTATATATAGATTCAACACATGAAACAATCAGTGCTTTAATTAAACAAAGAACCTTTTATTTTCAACATTGTTGTAGAGGTTTGAATAAAAAAAACAACTCATGAGTAATTATGACAGTAATTGTGATGAGTAAGAATGCCTTCTAGTCAAATCAGCAAAGAAACTATGTGCTAAGTTTCCATCAAGCCAGATTTTACAGACTGATAAAAAGTAGCATCCCAGCCCAATCAATTCTGTTCAAAGTGAAAAAAAAGAAAAAAGCACCACCCACAGACTTTCATTGTGTGAACACTTTAGTAATGTCATTATACTTCCCATCTGGAGCATCATAATTGGGGATTGGAGGTGTGTAGGCAGGGCCTTCATGAGTGAAAGGAAGCAGAAGTGGATCTGGCTTCAGTGCTGCCAGGTAAAGCTCCTCAGACTCCATTTTTAGCTCCTCTAGCGCCTCCTTCTGGGCCTCCAGGGCGAGTTCGATGGCCTCTACTTCAGCCATGTGCTGGTTCTGAAAATACAGAGACAAATGTATGCATAAACATCTCTAACGGTATAGGATGGAAACAAGAGGCTCTTAAAAGTAATCTTAATTTTAGAGGTTTAGGCAAAGAATGGTGCAAGATGAATAATAACCTGTTTGTATCGACTCCACTCTTTCAGAAGAAGTGCTCGACTCTCACTTTCTTCAAATGACAGCGTTGGAGGAATGCGCTCTCTTTTTTATAAAATAAAGAAAAAAACAATTTAAAACTTAAAAAGGGACTGGCAGAAAAAAACAATATATATATATATATATATATATATATATATATATATATATATATATTTTTTTTTTTTTTTTGTGGAGCTTTGAAATGAGCTGTACCTCGTTTTATCCAAACATTTAGTGGGAGTAATGAAGTCCTCTATGGGGATGAGCTCAGGCGGAACCCTCTCCAACTTCTTCAGCTTCTTCTTCAGTCTCTCCCTCAACAACATCTCCCTCCGCGGATCCGCCTTCTTCTTCTTCTTTGGCTCTGCTCTAATGTAACATAAACCCCATCTCTCCATGAGCATTTTTATTTCACCACATGTGCATGTTTTAATAGCAGAAAATTCAGTTTTATTATTCTTTAATATTTTATTGAAAAACAGGTGAAATGTCTGGATTCTTAAGGCATCTAACTGAGAATAACTTGTTCCATGATTACTAATCACATAATGGATTTAAATAAATTTGACCCTCTTGTTTTTTAATTCAACGAGACAAGGATGCTGCTGTACAACTAATGTCTACTTTACATCTTGAAATTTGGACAAAAAAAGAAAAGCAAATACATGGACTCTGGCTCTTTATGGCGTTAGATTTTTTCTGATTTGACTAATGACTACATAGTTTCCAAATAGTCTTAAACAATACTGTTTGTGTGTATACAACATATTTTAAGGCCATCATAGCTTTATAGACACACTACAAGTTTCTTCAGTGCCCTTTATTTCAACATACAATTTATTTGATAGTTCTGCTAATGTACCTAGAAGTGCAGACAGTTTCCACTGCAAAAGCACAAAATATTACCAAATATTTTTTTAATCTCGTTTCTAGAACAAATATCTTAAAGTTGGCAAGACAAAACTAACAAGTTAAATAATGAAATAGTTACATTGTTCACATGGACAGTGATATACTTCAGACAGTTTAATGAATCTAGTGTAGATCAAGTGAAAAACCCCAATTCTTTTTTTTTTTTTCGTTTTAAATCAAGTGATAACTATGTCCTACCTGAGTGGTGCAGATGTCTTCAGTGTGGCCACAGGACAAAACCAGGGACTCTGCACAGCAGGGTTACATTCTCCCAAAAACAAGCTGAAAAATTACACAAGACAACCGCAACACATATTAAAGCACGACACGACTAAACCATGACAGCATATTTTCAGTACTGGTTCACTTCTATTCCTCTTTATTTATGGATTCGGACACACACGGATCACATCATCCTTCTTCTACAAACGCTTACCGTGACGCGGCGGTCTGTCGGGAGAAAAACCCGCCGATGCATCGTGAAACGACCGAAGACATGTCTCCACTGGATACCGTTTCAATTTACACTGCCGATATAAAAAAGAACCATAAACAAAATCTTCACATGTCTCCTCACTTGTGTCCCCTTACAGAACACAGCAGGGACGAGGCGCGGAGAGATGACGTGTTAAGCAAAGTGCGTTTACTGTTTTATTTCCGCATTTTCGAACGTTTTTAAATAGCAGAAAATACATAAAGTGTAAGAATTAGAATGAATTTTTAGGTTTAACTACAATAATCAAGTTATATAATTATTTTTGGCAATCCATGCATTTTTTTGTAAAATTTATAAATAAATTTTGTGTCGAATCCAGCAGTAGGGGTAAAACAAGAAGCGAAGGCATTATCTGGGGTAAAGGTCGCAGTGGACGCTTCTTTATATACCCACCGTGAGCTGATCAGGAGACAGAAATCCAGCTTAAAATTTAAACGGTCAAACTTGTCATTGTTGGACCAACATCATGGCGCTCATCAGAGGTAAACTGACATTTTTGTTCAGCATTTAGACTGAAATAAACCGCTCGTTTGTGCTCCACGTTGCTCCGTGTTAAATGTCGCATTTTCCTGCTTTTTGCGCACTAGAGAATATAATTAGTGACATTATGAAAATGGGGCTTTGTAAAGCAGAACTTTTTATGTCAATGTTTACATGCAAGTGCTGCTGAAAACCTTGCATGAACTCCACGTCATTTGAAGTAGGTTAAAGGTGAGTGGTGTCATGGGGCTTTCTTTATGACAATATTTACTAGTTTTATTTTTTTAAGAGAAGCTTTATAACCTTAGTGAACATAACATTTAGAGAAACTTAGTTTATGCTTGAAATAATAGAAATTATGCTTACTTGTGGTTTGAGCTACTTTTCTATCTCCCTTCTTTGATTGAAAGGTAGATTTTTTTTTCTGTACAACAATAATATACAAAAAGAAAATAGAGCTATGTAACTAGTTGACTTTTTTTGTATTATATCAGCTTTTTGGGAGAAAAAAATATCTACTTTTGGGCGTATTCTCACCAAATTTCGAGCTCCTGTGGCTTTTTAATTAAATTCACAAAAGGTGAATAAACAGAGGAATGATACTACAATCAGCAATGTATGATAATATATATATATATAAATTTGCTGATTTTAGTTTTTTTAACTTCTAGATATAGTGTGTACTATTTTCTAATACGGGTTTTTAAAAAATATTGTTTTTATAATCCCAGTCAAAAACACAATGATTCAAGTCATAACATAACAGTAATTTCTTATTCTTATGCTACTTCAAATCATACATAGATTTGGATTCTGACATTTTTAATAAAACATATTGAGCTATGTTGAATGGCTAAATAAATAATGGACTTGGTCTTGCTTTGGGCTTCGAGGCTATTTTTAGACAGAATGTTTGCATTACGAAATAAAACGTCACCGATAAGAGTCGCTCGTCATTTTAATGTTTATCAAAGGAAACAGAGTGCCCAGTCCAGGTCAAGGCATCATGTGTTTGATGCCACGTATCACTGTGGTATCTCAGTAGTTTTCATGAGCCAGAATTGGAAAAATACTCATCTTCATCATAACTAAATTTTGCTGTTATTCAAAAACAAATATAACACAATTTAAAGTCATAATTACATAGTTGCATAATGTAATACTAAATGAGAAAAATGCATGATGGATGGGAAACTTTAAAGTTATACAAGAATTAAATCTGCTTTTTAATTTTAGATTGTAAATTGGTTCATGCTAAGATAATTTTGAGCTGATATTTATGTTAAACATAATTCCAAAACACATTCCACTAAAACCAGAACATCAGGGAGTTTACTTTATCTTGTTAAAAAATATATATACATTTATGTAGATAAATAAAGCGCCAGCCATCAACCTGATGTTAACATGAAGCACTGTTTTTGTGTTGACATCTGGACTAAGTTTCTTCTTTTGTTATTTTCTAGGAGTTTTCATCGTAGCAGCCAAGCGCACTCCGTTCGGTACGTACGGTGGAGTACTGAAGGATCACAGTGCCACAGATCTGGCGGAGCACGCCGCCAAAGCGGCCCTCGCCGCCGGCGCCGTCGCTCCAGAACTCATAAACAGCATCATCATGGGAAATGTCATGCAGGTACGTCGGCTGCCGCTCATGAGGGGTTTGTGTTCTCATAACGTAACGTTGTGTGTTTCCTCAGAGTTCGGCTGATGCGCCGTACATTGCTCGTCATGTCGGTCTGAGGTGTGGCGTTCCCATCCCAACTCCTGCGCTCACTGTGAACAGACTGTGTGGCTCTGGTTTCCAGTCCATCATCAACGGTGCTCATGTAAGCAAAACACAACAACGAAACATCGACCTGCTTACTCTCCTTCTAACACAAAACAACTCAGCTTTTTGTCTCCTTTACTTATATTCTAAATTATATGCACAGTTCGCACAGGTGATTGAAATCCTTGAAAGTGCTTGAATTTTGTTTAGATGTTTGATTTCTATATAAAACCTTAAAAGTGTTTGACAGTCAAACTGCACAAATTGGTAATAAACTTCAATCTAACGTTTGAATAAAAGCCTAAATTTAAAAAACGGTACATAACGATAATAAGAAGAAACAGAAACTTTTTTTTTCACTGTCGGAAGTTACGTATTCCTAATGACTCACTGACTTATTGATCCATGCAACTGAAATAATAACGTATATTTTTTACATTAAACATTATTAATTTTTTTTGGTTGTTGTTAGATTAGTGTTTTGTTCTCAGACCAGTCAGGTGTAGCGTTTTTTTGGAAAAAATAAAATGTTGTTACATTTTAGTATAAAATACCAGCACAATACATTATGAATAACAGTAAAATAAATGTTATTTAATAGTGATTTAAGACTGTATATTTTTTTAGTTGATTTGTATTGTTTTTATCTCTAAGGTGCAGTGCTAAAATAGTTTGATAACTTTCGTTAAAAATGTCTGGAAAATGTTTGAATTTTACCATGTGAAAAGTTTATAAACCCTGCACATCTAGACTAAATAATCTGAATTTTTGATTTTGAACGAATTACTGCATTTCCTCAAAGGATGTGTCTTTGTTTATCTCTACAAACATCCTTCCCTCTTAGGCGTATTCTTAGAAGTTCAAAATTTCCCACACGTTTTAACCCAAAGTTTCTTCTGTTTGTAGCTTCATAATAAAAACTTTTTTATATTTCTGTGTGTTTGCAGGAGATTTGTCTCAGGGAGTCGGAGGTGTTGTTGTGCGGCGGTTCGGAGAGTATGAGCCAAGCCCCTTACGCCGTCCGTAACATCCGCTTCGGAACAAAGTTTGGGTTTGATCTCAAGGTTATTTTTTTTTTCTTCATATTTTCACTACAAACTTTGTAAGTTTAGTTTTGTCCTATTGCACTAGGAACTAAATTAAAAGTAATTGTGTTTTCTAAACTGTTTTATAAACTTGATTAAAAACACCAGCATCAGAAACAATCCGTTCACTGGTCTGTGCTCCCCTGCTGACAGCTAGAGGACACTCTGTGGGCGGGTCTCACTGACCTCCACATCAAGACCCCGATGGGCATCACAGCAGAAAACCTGGCAGAGAAATACCAGATAACACGAGAGGACTGTGACAACTACGCATATAATACACAACAGAGGTGGAAGGCAGGTGAGCAGGCCGATATTATTCTTTCTTATGGGATATAAATACTTTTCTGTATTTTTCCAGCTGTGGAGACGTCTGATGTTGGGCGTATTTTCAGTACTTAAGCTGCAAATTCTCCTCTTATAGCTCATGAGGGGGGTCACTTCACAGCTGAAATTGCTCCAGTTGAGGTGAAGGCGAAGAAGGGCAAAGCGTCCATGACTCATGATGAACACCCTCGACCTCAGACCACGCTGGAGCAGATGGCCAAGCTGCCTACTGTCTTCAAGAAGGGAGGAACCGTCACCGCCGCCAACGCTTCAGTGAGACACTATTTTATTTAACATATAGACTGAGAAGATCTGCTTGGTTTTGTGTTTTTATTTAAATAAAAGTCGTGTTAAGCTTTGTTGTTGACTTATCTGACACCTTCAGCCGCTAAGGCTTTTCTTTACTTTGACTTTATTCAAAAAAGGGACTGGTCAAGATAAGAAGAGAAAACTTCAGAACAGTTAAAGATTGAGAGAAAAAATACTAAATAAAATATACAAACCGCCAGCAACATCATCACATAAACGTGTGTTATCGTCAGTAACTGTCATACCCACAACAACAAACGTCTGTTTTAAAGAGGACCTGTTTTATAATATTCACATTTTGCATGTATAAAAGTTTTATAAAAGTATAAAAATACTTTTATTTGGGTTTCAATTTCTTTTAAAAATAAAGTGCTTAAAAAAAAACCACCCAGCCGTTTTTGGCAATAAGTTAAATATTTTTTGGTGGCTGGAAAATTAGCAGTTTCAAAAACCTTCTGACCTTCACCAGATACTGTGCTGTTACCTAGCAACCCCAGTGAAGTGCATCCTGTCACCTAGCAACCCAAACTGAACTAAAGGACGTTTGGTCAGCTGGTTTTACCGCTTTATTGACTGTACAATGGCTGCTGAAAAAAGAAAGTGTGTTGTTGTTGACTTATCAACCAGAAACCATTTGCTGCGTTATTGTTGTTGGTTGTGCAGGAGGCTCTACTAATGCTTTTCACAGATTCATGGTTGCATAATTGTATATCCGCAAACATTTTCAAGAGTGAGTGTAAATGTTGAGTTGGGAGGCGTGGCCAGAGGCAACTTATTCAGATTTTAAGAGTCTCTAAAACATCTAATTTTGAGCAGATTAAGATCTCAGTATCTAACATGATGGTGTGCAAAATAAGAAAAGTATCAAACATGTCTTGTAACACCCATAGACTTATCCTAACCCGTTCAATGAAGCAGATCATGTCTGAGCCGAGTCTCTTGTTGGTCTGCAGGGAGTCTCTGACGGAGCCGCTGCTCTGGTGATCTCCAGTGAGGAAGCCTTGAAGGAACATAAACTCACTCCTCTGGCCAGAATCGTGTCCTATCACGTGTCCGGCTGTGACCCGAGCATTATGGGGATTGGTGAGGGATAGTGCGGATATGATTTAAATCAGTTTACATTAATAAAAATAATTGGTGAATTAATTCCAGTTTTTGAAACTAAATAATGTGTTTTCACTTTAGGTCCAGTCCCAGCCATCACAGAAGCTCTTAAAAAGGCCGGCCTGTCTGTCAAGGACATGGATCTTGTTGAGGTTTGTCACAAAGAATAAAGACACCATTTTGACTTTATTCTTCAACTTTATACACACAGTCATAAAGTTAGGGTTTTTAGGATGTAAAAATATGTCATGTGGTTTTAGATAAATGTTGTAAAATCAAATTATTTGATGTTTCTCAATTATTAAAAGTTTATGGATGATGTGTCCAAAAGGGTAGTAATTATTTACTACCCTTTTACAGTTAATTAAATTTTTTAGTTTAGTGTGAAATAATGCCACTGCAAAGAATGGTTCATGTATTTATTTTGTTTTTTACACGTTTACTAAGAGTGTGAATAAATGTGGCTGGTTCCACATGAAGAAGTTTAAAGAGACATTTTGCCTTTGCTGTTTCGATAAACTTCTTATTTGTTTCTCTTCCTCCGTTCAGGTGAATGAAGCTTTTGCTCCTCAGTATCTTTCCGTTGCCAAGGCTCTTGGGCTTGACCCAGAAAAATCGAATGTCAACGGCGGGGCTATCGCCATTGGTCATCCTCTCGGTGCCTCTGGGGCGCGCATCACTACTCACCTGGTGCACGAGCTCAGGTAGACAAATCATTAACTGTAGCTTTAAAAAACAAGATTATTTCTCATAACAAGTTTTGTGTCAAACAGGCGAAGAGGAGGAAAGTATGCCGTCGGCTCTGCTTGTATCGGCGGCGGTCAGGGCATCGCCATCGTCCTGGAAAAGTGCTAACAGACGAAGAAGGTCCTAAAGGATTCCTGTGAAATAAATGCCTAACAGAAACACTCTCTGCTCGCATGAGATCAAATGTAGTTGATGCACAGTCAAAGGCATGTTTAATCATAAAGAACAACGGCTAATTTAACTTTTTTCTCATTCTCTGCCAATTGATTTCTGCAGCATGTGTTTGAGTTTGCCTTAAGAGATCTGTGAAAGTAAACAAATTACTGTAAAATGCTTCTATAGGTTTAGGAGCCCATTTGTGCCTAAAGACAGGGATTTGATCCATAGGCATGCTAACATGTGCAGCTCGATATTGCCTCCCTCCATCACTTCCATTTCCGGGTTTAGTGAGGTGACTAAATTTTTGTACTTCTCTGTCAAAGAATTCCAAATAAAATTGTCCAAAAAAAGAACAGCTGTTTTGTACATTTTACTATCACTTGTTTTTCTTTCTCGTTTGTTGTAAATGTGCATTTAAAATATTGATAAATATTTATTTCTAAATGTAAATTGTTTGAATTCCCCTGTAACTTTAACAGCAATGAGGCAACTTCAGGTAAAGGTAATTTTATTCATATAGCATATTTTCAGCAACATGGCAGTTCAAAGTCCTTAACATGAATTAGAAGAAAATACAAATAAGACAACAAAACCAAAAGAAAGTCAAGATAAAGGTAACAACAAGTGTTGGTTTGCTACGTATTCCACAATTTATAAACTAACAGGAGTTTCTTTAAGTCTTGTGCTAATATTGAAGTATAAATCTTCAGATTATGTGTCTTGGACATGGTCTGCTTTAGTAAATTTTTAAGTGGGTTAATTGCACCCTGGATAAAGTTACTGGCCTAAGACTGAACCAGAACTCTTTATTTGCTCTATTTTGTGCACTGATAAACATACAAACTAAAATATTGACCACATATTTTCCCCCATAATCTTTGAATGACTGAATTAACAACAGCACATATAAGTGCATATATACCTGCAGAAAATTAGCCTGGAGAAGCATCGGTAAAAATAATGAGAAGAAAATTGCAAAGTCAAAATACTCACAAAAAATTTTGCAAAATGTGACGTGTGCCAAGGAAACTCAGGTAATACCAAATTTGGATGTCCATAATTTTAAGTTGGGAATAAGCCTGTATGGTTTTTCTTGGGTGTTATTACTTTTCAATTAGTTGAAAGCAAATATTGTTTAAAATCAACCAATTAAACTGGGTTTTCTTTTCAAAATGTGCATTTGAAATTTAAATTTTGCTTTATTGATCAATAAAGTGATAAAGAAAACCATGAGATTAACTTTGCCATGTTGACGTGCAAGCTGTTTGGGTGCACTAAGCACAAACGTTTTTGTAGCATATTAAGTAATATTTAATCTTTAAAATAAATTGAATAGAAGCTGGCTTCATGTTCTCAAAACAAAGTAAATAAATAATAAGATAATTTCCAATCTGTTGTGTTTTAAGAGTTTACTCATACCTCAAATAGAAACTGGACGTTCTTTGTGAATGTGATGTTTATAAATGTCAATAAAATCAGTTATATTACAAGTTAAATTAAAATGCAGAACAAAAAATATTTAAGTATATCTGTAAATTATGCAGTTAATGCTTTAGAAAAAGTTTCTATAAAAAAAATAAACGCAATAATGAAAAATTTACACAAAAAACAACAATAGTAAACAATTCCCAATTTGGACTACAAAGACCATCACGTGAACGAGGCACGACGCAGCGACGTCAACGTCAGAGGGAGCGTCCTTATAAACGTAACATCCCCGGATGTCGATCTTTTTTTCATAGCTAAGGTAAGACAACCTTGCCTTCGTGTAGCTGTGGGAATTAAAATCTGTTTTCATCCGTGTTATAGAATAAAAACTGCAACCCTGTAATGCCATCCGCTGTAACAGTATACTTAAATGATACCATCGACACCATTATTTCCTCGATTTGTCCATCATGTCATTGTATTTAGGAACGTTTTAGTTCAACGACGGTGCTAGGCCGGCAGCTAGCCTGAATGTTGTCTACAGAGCTCGCCAAACCGCTTGCTTTAAAAAGCGTCTCCGGCCATTCTCCAATAGATTTCGTAACAATTTAATAACAAGAAGTTATGTTTGTTTGCTTTAATCAATAACCTTAAATTCACATGTAAATAAGCATTTAACAAGGTGGCTCTGCTACAGTGCTGCTAACGTGTAGCCATGCTACATGTCATGCCACTGGTTTGCATTGGTGTTGCCTCCGTCCATGAAAATACCATAAATGTATTGTTTTTGTTTGTGTTACGGGGTCAGATGCAGTTTGATTTTAGGTTTATGTTTTAATTGTGTTATTTAGCTCTGAACTACGGATTGAAATCTCTAAGCTAGTTTTGTTACTGATGTTATGGCTTAATTAGTGCTGTAATGCTAATTCATGCTGTAATGCTAATTCATCTGTTTTAACAGAATTTAATGCTCAAGTTTTGGTCAGCTGTTTAAATGTTCCTGCTAAATAGTTGATTCGAATTAACGCTTCCCTGTCTTCTATTTGTATCAGATGGCAGAGGGAGACAAGAAGAAGTCTGCCAAGAAGAAGCACGGGAGCCGGAACCCGGTTCTGGCCCGGGGCATCGGCCGCTACTCCCGTTCTGCTATGTACGCCCGCCGGGCAATGTACAAGAGGAAGACCAAGACCACTGAGACCAAGGTGAGGACCAGTCCACAACAGCAGGAGTCGATATAAAAACAATCTGAATGCACATGATGTCACAGTTTAATCCCAATTTACTTTTTGTTTTAGATTGAGAAAAAGATCAAAGAAAAACCCAAGGCCACAGTTGTGAAAACTGTCGGAGGAGACAAGAATGGAGGAACCCGTGTTGTAAAGCTGCGCAAAATGGTGAGTGATGGGTGAAATGTTTTAAAGTTTGTAAGCTGTTGGCCAAAAATGTAACATTTACACAAATACTTCCAGACGTAAATAGAATCTAATTTCTTTAATTCAAGACAGAATACTGGCGTTTCCTGTTGGTTTTTCTTTAATAATCTTAAAAAGGAATCTCTGGGTGAACAGATTTAGCCCAGAGTATTACATTCTTACAACCAGAATATTTTACTATGTTGTAACTTTTTGCATTGGAGCAATAGTTCCCAAGTAAATATGTGTTTGGTCTTGAGTTCCTCCTGATAAAATTACCTATATACCAAAAATATCAGTAAAAACGTATATGCATTGCATAAATGATGATAAAAGCTGAAATTAAATAAATAAAAGCAACATATTGATAAATAAATCAGCAGAACTACTACTTTACTGGTGGTTTGATCATATTTTTGAACAACAAAATTGGCCTTTCTTGTGAGGGAAATGTTACTGCACAGCAACAGGTAGGGGAGGGATAGCGCTGCTTTTACTGTTCAAAGGAAACTCCATTGGAAGCACTGAAGAACTTTGGCCATCTAATTATTTTTGTTACAACTTCTAAACCTAATGTGTTTAACCGTTTTTGCATTTTTCAAGTATGTAAACACAAAGTTTCTATTTCAGTATGAACGTTTGCTGTTATTTTAGTCTATAACATCAATATCTTTGCCTCCTGCAGCCCCGCTACTACCCCACAGAGGATGTTCCCCATAAACTGAAGAGCCATGGGAAGAAACCCTTCAGCCAGCACAAGAGGAAGCTGCGTGCCTCCATCACACCAGGAACCGTCCTCATCCTGCTCACCGGGCGCCACCGTGGAAAGGTAATGGCTCGTTTGAACAATTATAAATCAAAAAATGGATATTTGTTGTAAAGAAGTGACCGACACAATAAAAGACTGGAGAAATTGACTTAAAAAGGTCAAGTTCATTATCAAAAGGATAATAACAAAAAGTCATTTCTCTTTTTGTGAGATCCACACAAACAGAGACTATTTTGTTTCATGGGTGTCAGAGATTATTTTAAAGGTTACATTTTTCAGCATTTTCAGTGCAACTTCTAAAAAAATCCTTTATCATTATCTTTGGTTTTTGTTTTTTTATGCTTGAATTTGAGCACAAAAGTCACTTTTTACTGTTAGCAGGAAGTTGTAATTTTCTATGATGTGATTGAATGAAAATGTACGTCAATAGGGCTGGATGACATGGACTAAAAAATAAAATCTTTTTAGTTTTTTCGGACCAAATCTGATTTCTGATTTCAATAAATTTTCTGTTTTTTTCCCTTTTTCAAAAAAAAAGAAAATACAAATGATACACATATAGAATAATTCTTTACTACAAGAATTCTTTAAATTCAATTATATATTCTTAATATTACAAAACCAAAGAAGATATTTTACCTGAAGAATGTCTGAAAGTTACAAGAAAGTCATTTTAATGAGAAAAGGTTTGGATAATTAACTGTTTTTTAATTATTTTATTTTTAGATTGCTACTATCATTCTTAAAAAAATTATTTCATTCTTGCGTTAAAAAAAATCTTTGCCTCTTATATTTTGTTGAAGAGTTTACCTGAATTCAAAGTCCAAATGAATTGTCAGACATGGCGGCCTTTCTGACAGTCTGAACTATGAAAACCAAAAATTAAATCATAAAAACCCAAAAATTTGACTAATCAATTTATCGCCCAGCCTTATAAAGCCTTATTAGAAATGTAACTAGTTTTCACAGAAATATTAGCTTTGCCATTAATGTTGCACAAGCATTTTGTGTGTTATGTTTTGCACAGATAAGTAAACAGTGAGAAATTTTGATGCACTAAAATCTTGAGTGCATCAAATGTTTTTACTCTAGAACATTTTGGGGGTTTAGTTGCGCATTTGATGCAACTCTAATCTCACACCCTCAGTGCAACAGAGAGGATTCTCTCCCACTCACCTGCTGTATGGCTAAGTTATGGCAGCGAGCGTACCCACACACACTTTGAGAAGGCAGCTGACCTAAAAACAAACAAAAACCCTTTTGGATGCATCAAATGTCCTTTACTGCGTAGCTCTGCAGCCATCCAGACGTCATGCTAGTTTTCTGCCTGCTCTGCTTCAGGTAAACAGATTGGACGTCCTGGGAGAAATATTTGCAGCACGCGGTGCGTTGTTCTGAAGCAGAATGCCTTCAGCACTTGAGATTAATACTGAAATGATTGTTTTTCAGCGCGTGGTGTTCCTGAAGCAACTCTCAAGTGGTCTCCTGCTTGTCACCGGTAAGGCTGCAGATTGCATAAGCAGTTATTACCCAGCTGGAAAATCTTGTTTCTTTTTATTATTATTTACCAGGGTTTGTATTTTAAAGTCCTTGAATTTCATTTAGATGTTTTCAAGGCCTGGAAAGTGCTTGATTTCTGTATATTCAAGCTGCAGTTTTGTAATTCAATTAAATGTTTGATTAAAAGCCTAAATTTGTTGAATGTCAGTCAAAATCACCAAAATTATTTCTCTTTTTTTAAATGTCAGAAAACTTAGCAACAACATTTGAGATTTTTATTTACTTTCTATTTAAGCATGAAGTGCTCAATTTGAGTGTTTCGATAAAATTAAACATTTAAAACTAGTTTTTATTGAAACAATAAAAACACAATTTGTATTTGTTTCAGTGTAATATTTATTATTCCTAATTACTCAGTGACTCAAGAAAGTGAAGTTGAATTAAATTGACTTATCATTCATGCATAGTGTGTGCGAGACGTTTCAAAACATGACATTTTGTTATATTTTAACTTACTTTGCTCCTGCTGTAAAGTACAAGACATTAATAGCAGTAAAAAAATATTTGCTGTAATTATAAATTGAAACTGCATTTATTAGTTTTTGTATTTTCATTTTCTATCTCCAAAGTTTGGTGCTGGAAAAGTTTAATAGCTAATCCTGAAAAATTCTCGATAAATTCTCAGAACATTTATGAACGGTAGGAATTTTGAACGACTTAATGAGCATTTCCTCAAAGTATATCTTTAAACATCCTTTAACCTTGGTTTGAAAATTGCTCAAGTTTTACTGTGAGAACACAAACCTAGTTTTACTCCAATGCTTTTTGTCTTTTTCAGGCCCTCTTGCCTTGAACAGAGTCCCCCTGCGAAGGGCTCACCAGAAATTTGTTATCGCCACCACCACCAAGATCGACATCTCTGGTATGAAGATCCCCAAAACCCTCAACGACACTTACTTCAAGAAGAAGAGGCTGAGGAGGCCCCGTCACCAGGAGGGGGAGATCTTCGACACGGAGAAAGAGGTAAATTGGTCTCTAAATGCTGCCGTCGTGTTTCCAAGCGACCTGGTTAACCTGTTGTGTAATCTGCAGAAGTACCAGCTGACGGAGCAGAGGAAGGAGGACCAGAAGGCGGTGGATGCTCAGCTGCTGCCCCTCATCAAGAAGGAGCCCCAGCTGAAAGGATACCTGCGCTCCACCTTCGCCCTGACTAATGGCGTTTTCCCACACAAGCTGGTTTTCTAAATATGTAATAAAAACTAACCACCGTCTATTGACTGACTCGTTATTTTTCCTCCGCTTCCATTTGTATCATGGAGTTTTGACGCTTTCTGCTCATTTTCTGGATAGAAAAGTGTTTGTAGACTGAAGGTTTCATTAATTTAATGCTGAAACCTTCAACTAAGACTGGGGAATGAGTCGATAATGTAGTGATGACGTGATCAATATGGTTGATAGAATGTTATGGAGAGATTAATCCCTGAAATATTCTAGACAAATTAAGACATTTCTGAGTTTGATATTGGGGCTTGTTGAGCAAAGGTGGTTTAAGGTTTTGGATGGATTTTTGAAAGCTGTTTATTTTCACCCTCCTGTTACTTTTAAGGTTTCAAAGGTTTTGTCAGAGTTACAATGCTGCCAATCCTGACTCCTTGTGACAAACCTTAAGAATAATAATATAAAATAAATTATGTTTTGTCCGGTTAGTCAAATTAAAAGTATCTTTTGAAAATAACCTGTAAGCAGGTGGGGAATACACTTTACATTAAGCCCACCTTTGTTTTTAAAAAGTGGTTCAATTGGTTTGATATATTCTAATGTAATATTTTCTTTAGCTGTTCATAATTGATTTTTAATGTATTTAATGTTGGCGGTAATGAAAGAAATGATCTTTTGAATGATTAATTTATTGAATGTGTAGAGTTAGTGACTGTCAGAACAGACTGAGAATTTGTGATAGAAAATATTTAGGATACAAAGATTCTTTAACATGCTTAACAACTGATTCCAGTTATTTTTGAGGATATGTCCTAAACAGTCACATTATTAGTGAACTCCATACACTTATGATTAATCATGCGACTGAACATTCAGAGCAACATAAAGACAGTTACGAAGTCGGCTTCTTATCACACGAAGAACAGTTTCAGGATTACGGGACTAATGTCTCAGCGAGGTCTAGAGAAAGTCCTCTGAGTGGATCTTTAAACGCATTGATTACTGCAAGTGTCTTTAAAAGTCTGGCTAACAAATCAGACAACTGCAGCTGATCCAGAACGCTGCTGCTCACGTTCTGACTAAAACCAGGAAGTTGGAGCACATAACCCAGTTCTAGTCCCTACACTGGCTCCCAGTAGCTCAGAGAACACACTTTGAAATATGTTAGTTTATTAATCACTGAATGGCTTAGCATCAAATTATCTAAAAGATCTGCTGATGTTGTATCAACCTTCCAGACTCTCAGGCCTTCCAGTTCTGGTTTGCTCTGCAACCCAGAACCTAACAAGGAGAAGCAGCATTCACAAAGTCCAGAAAATGAACAGCTGAAACACTGAGTTCCTTTATGTCAAGACTGTAAACCCACCTTGCTTTTGACACATAATCAATGAACATTGAACAAAACAAAAAAATCTGATGTGTATCAATGATTTTAATGATGGCATTTGATAAAATGTAATGTCTGTTACTGGTGACTGTATGAGTTTGATGTTTTCATAATGTTGAAATGTGCTATACAATGAAACTTGATTGCCCCCTGCTGCCCTTCAAGGTTTTAGTTGGTACAGAAAATGGTTGATCCACCATAATGAAATGACCAGAGCACGCGTTTGACACAGACCGTTTCACATTTACACTTTAATTAAAAAACCGACATGTCTAATGTAACAAGACAAAAATAAATACAAGTGTTTTATCTCTTTAACATGGCCACGGTTTATATAGTCAAAAACAACAAAGTAGAATGCAGCACAAAAAAAGGCAGCGGCCCCTCGCCAAGGAATGATAAGTGCCTTTTGAAGTCCGTCAGTACTGAATGGTCAACGGAGGTTTGGGGAAATGCAGCCTTCCTTTAACCGGACTTGAACAGCAAAATGGCTACCTGACCCAGGTAGAAGTAAATGAAATGTTTGGTCTCATGAGTAACATAGCTTCCAAAGTTCCTCCCAACAATGCAGTGCCATGTCGGGTTGTATTTCTTGTCAAACTCCTGTAAGGAACAAAAGAGATATTCAGAATGATCAAATGTGCAGGGAATTGTTTTTTATTTAGAAAACAATCCAGTAGTTGTTCTCAAATTAATGGGGAAGTGTTATGTAAAGCTACGTCACTAAATGTATATTTAATTGTGTGCGGAGGAAATTATTGGCAACATGCTTTCAGTTTCCTGTATTATGCTCTTGCTCCTATACATGGATGGAACTTTGGCACTAAATTATTTAACATTATTAATAGCTTAGGATTAAATTACAGTCTTTGAATTTGCAAATATGTGCACCCCAAAACAACAGTGGAGGGATTCCACCTCCCCGGTCCCATGAGTATTATCAATATACTTAAGATGGAAAGGACAAGCTTTGTTAAGTTGTGACATTTATTTATTGACATAAATATGCTTACTTAAATAATTTAACAGGGCCCAAAGAACACAGTCTAAGATATCAGATTGTTTTTGGTAAATAAATAATTTTACGTAGAGACTAACTTTCTCCCAGTGAACTGATAAATAGAATTAAGACAATACAGTAGCTTCTTTAGGCCATTTCTATAGTTAAACATGATGGCAAAAAAAATTGTGCCTCTCTATTATAAATGCCATCTTGAAGATAGAAATGTGAGTTAAAGAAATCTCCAAGGAAAAACAGGTTGCCTCAAGAAAAACCTATATACAACACTGGATGTGCAACAATTTGCATTAGTCATTAGCTTTGCATTTATTTCAGTTTATTTTGGGCTAGAATAGCACCGCAGAAGTAACCTGACTCAAAGAAAAAAAAAAAAAAATCTGATGTTTTCCAAACATGGTATACTTTCTTTTATGAGTTTTGGTGATTTTAATGTAGGCACGCAATACACAACTACTTGAGAACAAACCTTCAACCCCAAGTAAATTAAATGTAACAACAGCAAGGTCTTAATAGACATGCTTGGCAGTCACTAACATTTTGGTTGATTTTTAGGGCAATTGAGAGATCTGCTCAAATTATGCCCTGTTTTTAAACTAAAAGATTGTTTTGGAAAAACTAAATTTTCATCCAGAATAGGCCTAGAAACTTTGAGGATAATGTCTATTTATCTAGCAATCTACTGGATGACTGGATGTTTTTGAAAAAAAATAAAAAATACCTTGCATGGGTTGGGCACTAAAACTGGCTCCAACCCATGGGGCCTACAGCCACCTAAATCCTAAATCCAGGCCTGGTCACAAGGCCAATAACATGACAAAATCTTCAAAAACCTATTCTAATAAATTTGTATATTTAATAAGTTAGAGTTTCATGTGGATTAGATGTTGCATATCAACATCCTTTATTTATATATACCTTTTTAATGTATGCAGCAATGTCTTTCTCAATGTTGTACTTCTCCAGGGCCTGTGTGGCACACTCAACGGCGTCCTGCTGCATGTCCTCCGACATGTCGGCATTCTTGATCACTGGCTTTCTGTCAGACATGGCGTTGCTCTGGGTAACCAAAAACACAGCGGATAATTTATCACCCTCGTGAGGCCATTGACACACACTCACACACAATGTGACTGTAGAGGCTGCCTGCCTGAGGGTGCCAACACCGATCAACAACGGCGTCGGGGGAAATAAAGCAGTGGACACGTCAAGATCATAGAGAGAAAAGACAGAAAATGTCTCTTCAGCGACGACATTATTACATAATAACGGCTACATAATGTTTGATGGAGCCATTTCTACAAGTGTTACATAACTTCCATCAAAAGGCAGCGAGATGAACGTGCGCTCTGCGTAGTTTCTATGGATACTCAAGACATTTAAAATTACCGTCTACATTTTTACACCTATTCTCTGATTAGAGGACCATGCTGAAACTATAACTCCGTCAACTCCTTAAAATGTATTAGCCCCTGAGAAAACTCTCCCCACTTGCTTTTAAATGTGCAGGAAAACATAAAAAATGTTTTAAAATATATTTTATAGTAAGTAATGTATCGTGGGAAGATGTTTTTTTCTCTCTCTCTCTCAATAACTACCTCCGTGTGTCCCATGCAATGATGCTGCTGATTAGCTGAAACCAAGACAACCAACAGTAATTCAATACAATGGGGGAAAAAAACAATTTAAAAAACGCGTTTCCCAGTAAAAATATATTGCACACATAATAAACTGAACAACTCAAATACAGCTCCGTTAATGCACAATTGCATTCACGGATTGCCAACCTACCTTCAACGGAAGCGTATCAAGCGATGAGTAGTTTAAATGGGATAACTGCTCCTGGAGCGACAACTCCCGCGAAGTGGTTGACACAAAAGTGATGTGGGTGTGTGGCGGTAGGATACGGCTGTCTTGACTTCCTCTAATTGGCTGCCGTTAACGCACAAAGCGCTCTTATTGGTCGACCGGTGCGTATCTTTGTGGTGTTTCTGGTAGCATTTTATTTCAACCCATCATGCACCGCGGAACAGCCGTTGTCAGGGCAACGCTTGTATATGGTTGGGGTTAAAGCTAGCGGGCTAATTGCTAAACAGCGAATGGTTTTCTAATGCAGTAAAGAAATCGTGTGATTTTTTTATTTGCTGTTTCCGTAAATCAAAATATTTACGTTGTGTAGTTGAAACCATTTTTTTTCTGAATTCAAAACTATAAAAAGCTATATGGATGCTTTTATGCATCCATATAATTTACTAAAAAAGACGGAAGTCAAGACTTGTAGGCATTAGGATCATCAATGAGAATGGAACAGCAAATATACCAAAATAAAAGTGGAATGGCTCCCAAAGATGAGCTACAAAATTTATTAAAATTCAAAATTACTTTGATCTCAAAGGGAAATGTAATGTTGTTGGAAACTCAACATAAAAGCAGTTATCATGCATTAGAGCCAGATTGAAACATATAGAGTATTAAGAAGGAACTGTGGATAAGCGCAATAATGAGGCTATAACCTTACCAGCACAAGAAAATGCATGATTTGCAAAATTTAAAAAAAAGAAAAGAAAAAAAAGAGGTAGGAATCAAAATTTAGGTCTTAAGAGACCCCGTTATTAAAACTAATAGCAGGTTCTTATGATGATGGTAAGCAAACTGCACAAAAAACCTTTAAAACCTAAGTCAAGCAGCTGGGGGAATGTACAGAAACATCTGGAGCTGGAGGCCATATTCATGGGTGGTGCAGAATACCAGAAGTAAAAATATGTGGGACTTGAAGATCCAGACTGATAGGCACCTCATGTCTAGCCAACTGATCATATGTGATAGTTGACTCAGACAAAAAGACAAATGATATCATTTAGACCAATGACATCCAAAAATCAGTTCTTTTTTGGCAGTTCTGTATTAGTAAAATGTTTCCTTGGTTTCATGGTCATATTCAACTGATAGGGTCAATAGAGGCTGTTGAAGAACTTGGTAAGGTGCTGCAGTTAATTTAGCCGTTTGTGTTATCATTTGGTGCAGCAGTAAGTCTAAATCATCAAGGACTGGAGACGGACAACAGACTACCAAGATGATGTGCAAAATGCCAACACGTTCAGACCCAGATATATTACTGAACAAAATTCATGAAGAAGCAACAGGCAGATAGACTTTAAAATGTAACTGTTTCTTCCAGTTTATTTCAATCTAGTGACAGCAATGCTTCACGTTTCATTTTCTTCATAAAAAACTTCTGACATATTTGCACAAACCTGAAAGTAACCATATTACAAGTATCAGTTTTACTGCCTTCCTGGAAAAAGAACACATTCTGAAATGGTTCAACACTGGATGTTGTCTTTTCCTCATCTCATACAATAGATTAATTAAACCCAACATTCAACAAAATCAAATTTAAATGCTGAGAATACTACTCTCATCTGGTTTGATTACCATATTGCTAACCGTCAATCCAATGGCGCATTATTGTAACATTTTCATTGTCTAAACAACAAACTAAAATATTAATGTAGTACAATAATAAAAATCAAAACCACACACATTCAGGATGAACAAACAAAATGCAACAGACTATCCACATTAAGTGGCTCATGTACGTTTATAACTCCTTTTTTGGTTTACCAAAAACAAAATCTAAAAATGAATCTACAGTTGACATGATTTAAAACCCTAAAAATAAAGCAAAAGCACTTTCATGAGGCAGGAAGGTGAAGTGTTATAAATAAATATTAAGTCCAGAATGTGAAGATCATTTCAATTTAAGCTGGGGAAAATATCCAACTCTTATAATTAAAATTCTTTTCACATTTACTCTTTTTTTTAGGGTCATGAGTAAGTGGAAAACAAACATCGTTTAATCCATGTTGGCAGGATTGCTGTCGATTTCCTTCACTCGCTGCGATCTTTCGGCTCTCTGTATCTGTACTGGATGTATTCAAAGATGTCTCTCTCACTGTCCACCAACAGAGGCTCTCCCGCCATTCCTGCAATCAATCCAATCAGCAAAATCACTTTTGGCTGAAGTTACAAAGTGAAACGGGAATTCATTTAGTTGCAGCTGACAGAGACTCACCAGTGACACCAAGTGGCCTGATGGTGTACTCGTTCAGAGTGAAGCCCTTCTCCAGAGCATGAGTCCTCATGTTCTTATTAAAGATGTCACTTCCAGTGAAATACAGAACTCCACAGTAGTACTGGTCCTTGGGAATTAACCTGGCAAAAATCAAGAAGAATGATTGGATTTAAAAAGAATTTAACTGCAGATTTCAGTTCTAAATAGAAGCTCAAAATAGTTTCTCAAAATATGTCAAAGACAAAGCCAGTGTGTTAAAGACTAAATAACCATTTCCCCTGGTTATTTAGTCTTAATAACCAGACTAAATAACCTGTGTACAATAACTTTGTACACAGGTATTGTACACAGATTTAATCACATTCATATTCGCGCCAATATATGTTTAAATCCGCAGAAAGCAGCTTTGTTGTCCATCACTGGTGTTTGCAGCTGCCTCTTGTACATCAGATGTATGAGTGTACCAGAAATGCATGAATACAAAGGTTTGCTTTGTTTTATGTAAACAAAACAAAAAAAGGTGACTACTTGAGTTAAATTTTGTAACAAGTTCAAATCTAATTAATTAATTGAAATGAATTTCTGACCCTAGTCTAAACAGGTTTCTGAAGACTTCCTGAATGGCCTCCCCAAATCATTAATGTCATTGCTACAAATCATGTGCGGTTTCTCTGCAACTTGTGAAACGAGATTTGGCCTAATAGGGTTGTGGTGTATATATTTGAGCTAGAGATTGGAATTTAGATCTTGTGTAGATTGTAGAAATCCCAGAATGAGTTTTAACTTTAATCCAACCTGAATGCCTTGTTATAAGACCAAAATCACTCTGATGTTCATGTTTATATGCTTCTGACCAGAAATATATCAGATAAATATTCTAAGAGTATTTGACTGAAAAAAAAAGTTTACCTAATATCAATGCGCCTGTGAAGATGTTCTTCCTCGTCATCATCAGTGTCCTGCAGCTGGCAGACTCCCTAAAATACAGAGGAAGTACATTATGGGAACAGTCATGCGCTAAAGGGGATGGGTGGAATTACAACACAAACTTCATTACCAGTCACATTAAGATAGCAGCAGCTATGTGCATTTAGGAAAACAAACACCAGAGGCCTCACCATGAACTTGGTGTCTCCTTTGGACAGAGTGTCGGTCACAAACCCAATGGACTCCAAATGATCGACCACAGCATGAAGAAGCTTTGGCTGGAAACAGAGAAAGTTCAATTAGTTAAAAAAACGATCCACTTCTTCTTACCAACATAGCTGAACATTCCTTTATTTACTTTAAGCGAGCAACAGTATATGTTTAGGTTTTACCTGCTTCTCTGTTTGAGAAGTGTAATTTGGGTGAGTCAATAAAATATCAATATCACCACTCGATGCTGCACCTGAAAATTAGAAATATTATTTTAAAAAGATGAGCTACTCTTAAAAATTAAAGACTGAATATCAGTTTGATGAAAGTACCTCTCCTATAGCTTCCACAGATTGTTCCAATATATTCTGGACCAATTTTCTTTAATTCCCCCAGAATAAGAACCTTAATAAAAAAAAAACAAAAGATTACAGTTAAAAAAATTGCAAATAAAATTATTTTAAAAAGTCATCAGAAATTATCAACAGCATAATCACCTCCATCTTTTCCATTTCAGCTCTTGGGATCCTTTTCTCAAATTCTTCAAAGTACCTAAATGCACCATAAAATATAAATACTATATGATCTATCAAAAGACAACTGAAATAAAATAGAAATAATAAACCTAAAGCATTTTCAGACAAACTTACTTGAGTCCAATCTTTTGGTGGTGATTTAGCTTGTGCTCTACCTTCTTCAAATCTAAAAGGAACATAAAATATAAAAACAGCACTTTAATGTTCCCTGCAAGTTATTCAAAACCTTTCAACACAAAGAGATCTGTAAATTAGTTCTAACATTATTTTGTTGAGTTTAATTATTAAAGATAATAAGTAAACGTTATGTGATCAACGGTAAGTGTGGTACAAACCATCCAGTGTCTTCACCCCCTCTTCAAAAAACTTCCTAGCAGCAGCAGGCCTGAAGGTCAAGACACATAGAATTTTGTTCTAACAAAGGAATATAATTTAATGCACAATAAAAATCAAAAGCAGCAACAACTGAGTTGGTCCCATTTGGTAATATTACCAACATACCCGATTCCAGTGACTCTGGTGAGGAAATTTATGGAAGAGCTGGTGTCGTCATTTCTGATCTAGATGAAAATAAATCAGATTAATCAGTCTGTGTAGTAAAATTTACTTCTTAAGGCAATGTTTTTTTTTTTTTACAGGAAGAGCAGGAAGCACTTAACTCTACTGGTGGAGTTCTGTTACTTCATGACAAAGTAAAATATAAAGCTGAACACACATTTTCTGTTTAGGTCCTTGACATATGCATTCCCTATCACTTCTGCCATAAAGTTAAAATAAAATACAGAGTGGAAGGAGTTGTGTATTTCCTAACACCTGGACTCACCTTTTCAAGTTTTCTAAGTTTTCCAGTTTGCAAGAACTCATCGATCTTTTCAGCTATTTTAGCACCAACTCCATCCTGTTGAAAGGTGAACGTAAACATATCAGGGTGTTAAAAATTTATTTACACAAGCTTTTGAAAAGCAGCACAAACACACTAACAGCTACTCTGACAAATAGCTTATGCTATAAGAATGCTTAAATCTAAAGGCAGTACACATATCTCATCTGTGGACAGATTAATATTAAGACATTAAGGTCAACATAAAACCACAATTGCACATACGAATTTGAATATAATGTAAAAAAAAAGAGTTACCCATTTAAACATAGTAATAAAGAAATATCTTCATAATTTACCTTGTCATCACTAGAGTTTTGCTTCCATTATTCACTTTTTAAATGTTCGCAGTGTTAAAAACAACACAGAAAACAGATTTAGGACATACCAGTTTCTTCGCCTCTTCTCCACTTTTAATCTTGTTAGGATACTTAGCAATAGTGGATGCTGCTTTCCTATCCACAGTACAGAATAAAAACATTATCGAATGGCTAAAAGAAGTATTTATAAAGAAACTTTCAAGTTTTAGTAATATGATATGAACAAGCAAGCTAGCTTACTTGCTTGCTAGCTTAATCTAGTGCCATAAAGTATACAATAAATGTATAATTTTGTCATTATAAAAGTATTTAAAAAAAATATTGTCAGAGTATTCTCTAAATATCTGACCGGAAGTGAGTGAAAGATGAAGCAGAAATAAAACCTTTGGAGCAGATAAATTAAGTCTATCCCAAATAACCACTGAATATGTGGCTTTTACTCGTATCTGCAAATAAAAGCAAAGGTTTTTAGGAACTCACCTGTATGCATTGTACTTATGTATTGCCCTGTTGACATTTTTCTCGTAGTTAGCCAGTTCTGTAACCAGAAGCACGTCCCATTTAATTTTAGAACCACATTGAACGGAAGTAGGGATTTAAATTACAGCCTCTAAAGAAAACTATATTGCAAAGAAACTCCCATGCTTAAAAACAAACAAAAGAAATGTCCACGAAAGCAATTTTATCAGCGAATTACTCTTTTAAAGTGATATGAAGGCAGTTTAAATAGTAACAACACTGCAACTGTCAGGCTAGCTAACTGCTGGCTGAAACGTAACGTCACGTACCGACAAGAAAGTCAGTTATTCCCTCGTTTAGGGACTCCTGTGGAGCTTTCCTCTTGCTCATTGTAAAATCCGAAAACTGCGAGATGTCCTGTGAAAGTCCGGTGACAATATTATCCCGCAGGAGCGAGTACCGCTCTGTGTTTCTAGTTAGCGCCTTGCTAACACTTCAGCCAGCACTCACGCTGAACAATGACCCGAACTACGTAGAGGGGGTTGGAAATGCGTAACACGTCATTAATAACCCCCACGCGACGGAACACTTCCACTTTTCTTATTTAAAATCAAATATCACAATTTTTTATTTCTGACGTTATTTTATAATTGGAAAATACAAAATATTACGTTTGTTTTTGTAAAACAAACGTTTTTGCTTCAAAACAACGGATTAGTACAATGTCTAAAATGTAATATCTCCAGTTGCAGTCAGTTTTTCAGTGAATCTTAAGAGGCCTCTGACTGAAGACGGTTGCTGTATGACAGTCTCATGAGTTTCATAAAATGTTAACAGTTCAATATCCAGCAGCAGAAAGGATAATGACAATAATATGTCCTGGATGACACATTAAGTAGTTAGCAAGCACTGTTAATCCACCTACTTTGCTTTAGCCCCTCCTCCTTAAATCTCTGTCTTGCCATGGTTAGACCAAGGATAGAATATTTGATCAATGACAGAAACTTTTTAAACATCCTCCTTCTTTCTCTGCTTTTTGGTCCTGCTCTACATCCAAAAAGCCTCTTTTTAAACTGGGATTTGTGGGTCATAATCAGCTGCTCCCAGTTGTTAAAACAATACCTTGTCTCAATTACACATCATAACAATTGTATGAAAGTAAAACATTAAGAGTACATGTCTTTCCACCTGCAGAGCATTCAAAACCAGAGAAAATAATTGTCCAGAAAAGCAATACCCCAATTTAAAATATTATGAACAAAAGTCTATACAAACCAAATCAGAACTAACACAAAGCTATTCCAACATGCTGCCGCCATGAGCAACGCAATTCTAGACTTTTATATCAACAGGAACCTGTTCATCACTTTTTGAGGTGACTGTATGAGAAGTACTTTAGGAAAACATTTTAACCGCATTTTTTGTTTTCACTACCGGTTTTCTGATGAGAAAGTACATTTAATAAAACATGGAATGACATGGCATGATCGCAATTAGCAACAACATAAGTCTAATCACAGAAAATATTTTTGTTTTTTATTTCAACTTTACAGGACATTTATAGGGAGCTTTTACAAGTTTACAATTATGTTAGAATGCCAGGTTTTGAAATTAAAGCATAAACCCAGAAATAAATAAGTTTAAAACTTTTTGCACATACAGTGTAACATAATCTCAGTGTAATTCAAGATAAAAACAAAACTAACAAATAATTAATTCTAAAATTAAAGATGATTCAATGAAGTGTTAGTTTGCCTATGCACTGAGGTTGCTGCAAAAATCATTAATAGTCTTTCTAACATTCATTGAATTCGCAGAATAAGTGTCACTTAATGCTGGAGAAAAGTTTTTAAATTATTTATTGTTCGGCTTAATATTTTTGAAAACCTAGGATTTTCGCAGATATGTGTACAATTTTGTGAGACACAGTAGCTCCTAACTCATACACAAGCCAAAGCATGTCATTTAAGAACGAGAAATATTGTGATGTTATCTTAGAGTTACTGATATTAAGCAAATGTAGCAATTTAACATGATAAATTATGTAAAATATATTTTTAACAAAATCCCTCCACAGCAATAAAGTAATCATGTTTTTTTTTTATAAAAGTCAGCTTCTTTACATTAAATAAATTGTAAAAACAAAATGGCAGATTTGCAGGGGAATTTCCTCTTCTTTTAAAGACCTTCTGGCGTGTTAGGAATCAACTTTAACATAAACTCTATCCCTGGAGAAAATCTTAATGGCCTCTTCAATCTCAGAGAGTTTACAGTCAAGCTGAGCCCGACGTGTGCGAACGCTCAGACCATCAGACCTTAGCGGGAAGGTGAGCAGCTCCGACACCAATGAGCCATGAGCTGAGAGAAAAAGAAACAATAAAAATAACAACTTCTCCATGTGAACATTTGTCTACCGGCAGATTTACCCATCCAAAGGAGACCTACTGTCTTTCAGGGACTTCAGTGTCTCCTGTCTCTCACTGTCAGGCAACATCATGTGACCAGGTGGGATCCTAGGATCAGGTGCATTCCTCTTCCTCTCCTCCTCCTCTTTTTGCCACTGTTTCTTTCTTTCCTCAAGACTGCATTAAGTGGTAGTGAGACAATAAAGAAAGGTTTTGGGTCAGTTTCTCCCTTTTATATCAACATATCTATCTAGTTCATCTCTTAATCTCTCCATACTTCCATTTATTTTTTGACTTATTTCTATAATATTAATTCACAACAAAGATAATCTCAAGGCTCATTACAAAATAAACAGTTGAAATTTATAGCAAGAAATAATTAATCCATCAATGAGTTTTAACACAGAACAGAAAACTCAATTTTCACTGCCAGTTGGTAAGAAATTTACCATCCAAGGATGCTCAGTAGACAAAGCATGAAGTGACATTGGAAAAAAACAAATCATAGAAACATTCCCCAAATTTAATTTACAGTATATTTTATTTTTATAATTGGTTACAATTTTATATTATGTTGTGAAAATTTTGTAGTATACCTCATTTGCATTCATTCTGGTTCTAATCAAAATTTAGGAAAGTTAATCCTCCAGATAACTTGCCTACATAATTCTGAGCAACCCTAAAAATGGTAGAACCAAGTTTTCTTACAAGTTTTCTTATAATAATAATAAAAGCACATGTTAGTGGATCCCAAAAGATACTAACAGGTGCTTTGGTTTTGTACAAAAATAAGTTGGACCTGAAATGAACAGCGCTTCAAAGAAAGGGTGAAATGAGTCGTGCCGTAAAGAGAAAGCAATTCATGTAAAAGATATCTGAAAACATTTTATTTAAAACATTTTAATGGTCATAAGGTGAAATATTGCTAAATAATTACATACATACAAACTTATTAGAGGTTATTTGAGATTAAGTTATAAATAAAGTAAAATTTGATGTTAAAATACTCACTATTGAGGTACTTGGCCCTTCACTGCGCTCGGAACAGGCTTATCCCTGAGGTTTGTCAGTGACTGAGACCGACGAAGGGCAGCTTTTCTTGCAGCCCGCGCATTATATTTCACAAAGTCTATGGTCTGACCTTGCACCTGAAAGCATAATTTTAAAAGCAGACATAAATCTACGCTGCCTTTACAACTACTTTTCCTTCGTGAATTATTTTCACAGAATTTTTTTTAATGATTGGCATAAAACAAATACATTGGAAGCAAGACATTTAAACAAATGATCAACTCTATGATTGCATTATAATATACAAAAGCATAATTTTTTTTAGATCCAACCATTAAGTTCAGGTCCTGTGTGGAACTGGAGGAGGCTGGGCGCTGGAAAGTCACAGGCGAAGGTTTTGGTGGAGTGGAGGAGCCACCTCTAGAATGGGCCTTTAAAAACGTTTGACACTGAGGTTTAACAGGTAGGTGAGAAACCTGAGTGAAATAAACACAAGGTTAAAACATGAGGAAATATAAAATGTTCAAACTTCTGTTAGAAGTAGATCTTGTTCTCGCCTCTAACTTAGCCATCACCCTGGAAGGGACGTTCTGGTATTTTGAGGAGGTCCACAGAGCTTTGACTGGGACAGGACCGGCATGAATTCTCTCAGTTTCTTGCTCTTTGCAGCGTCTCTGTATCTCCCGGAGTCGACGCACATTATCCTTACTAAAGTCATGTACTTTCTGCTCTACAAGGAGAAGCAACAACATTTATCCTAATTACATTACAATAGACAAAAAATGTATGTTTAAATCCACAGTTTTTCATCATTAAAACACCAAAAATTGATAAATATAAAAACTACATTAGTTGCTGAAACTTACTCTGTTTGGGAACAGGAGTTATGGATAACCCCTCTAGTCTTAGTAAGTCTCCCACAACTCCTTTCTGTCCACGTTCCAGAATATAAGTGGCATTAGGGCTCACACGGGGCCTGCGGGACGGTGAGCAAGCGGTGTAGCTTTCTGGGTACAACACCGTATCTGGAGTAAGAGGACCCAGTTGAAGGGCCAAGCTCCCTCTCTGGTGTCCTTCTAAACAACCACGAGCTGGAAGAGAAAAAAAAATAGTTTTAATGCCATTATGTACTTGTTACAAAAGGTTTTCTATTCAATAGACACTAAGTCCTCTTTTAATGTTTTTTAAACATTCCATATTACTGCATCTTGTAAACTATTAATCCTGCTAGAAGCTTGTTTGTTTACATTTTGTTAATTTAAACCACAAACTTTCATCAGTTTTTCAGACTAACACAGAACATGAAGTATTTTTGTAAAGTGAAGGGAAAATGATGCACAGTTTTCTACATTTTTCATGCAGAAAAATCTGAAAGATGTAGGGTGTGTTCTGCCCTCTTTACTCGTATACCTCTAAATGAAATCCAAAGCAGCCAGTTGTCAAATGTTTAGTGTTAAAAAACAAAACATGCATCATCTCTCTCCCAATTCACAGTTGAAGACAACTTGATGTTGATCAATAACCTAATCCCAACAAAGTATATTGAAGTATATTGCTAAGTGTTGTGATGAGTCATCCTTCATTCCGACCATGGCAATTTTAAAATCATGTCTTTGTTTAACACAAGTCCTACTGAACATAACTATTAGATGGCATCTTACCCGAAGCAGGTCGTTTGTAGTACTGAGGGAGCAGGGAAGGATCTGGGGGGATTGGCCCAGATATTGTGGAAGGTCCCTCACACATCTGAAAATGAAGAAGCTGCTGAGAAGATATATCAGATATAAACGGTTTCAAATGAGAAACAATCAAAATTGAAAACACAAAAGTACGACTACCAACAGTTATTTTATCAGTATGATTTAAAATAACTTTACTACAAACTGTACAATCGAAATGAAATTATCTGTGTGTTTATTTGCTTCAGCTATTACCAAAGTAGTTACAAATTTGAGATATAGACCAAATCTCACAATAGACGACAAAACTGCATTTTTCCTTTCACATACTAAGAGGTAAAAACATAAATAAAACAAAATAAAAATAACAAAAACATTTGCGTATGAATGTTGCTGTATAAATACTGTTTTCAACGGCTATTAAACGCCAACCACAGCTATTGTTTGCTGTAGTATTTTTGAAGGAAGCTAATCACCACACACTGTCGTCGACTGAACTCCGTATGGATTAAGAGGAGCAGAGACGGATTCTGACGTCCCACAAAACCTGCAAGCGGTCAAACTACATTAAATAAAAGCTTACCTTTTAAATTTGAGTCGTTGTTTATCGGCGAATGGTTTCGTTCACGCGCGCCGATGACGCTTAAATACTTGTTGGCGAATTCTTCACCATGGCAACGGAGCACGCGCAAACAGATCGAGACTGAAGGGCAATGACCGCAGGGAATACAGATATTAGCCGACACCTCGGTAAACAAAGCATGAAAACTCACTGTAGAGCAATTAAAAAGTGTAAAACTGGCCTTGTTACTTGCTCGCTTAATGATTATCTACCCGTGGAGCGGAATGATACGTACTTCTGCTGTAATCTCATTGAGGAGAGGAGCGCTTTAATCCTGAGTACTGTCTTTCAGGCGCTGCAAGGAAGGTTTGCAAAATGAGAGCATGTTAAAACTGATGAGATCTAAACAAATAATTACAATAATGTAAAAATGAATATTACATCAAAGAACAAAGATATTAGAGCAAGACTTTTATGTTTTGTTACTTGTAGAATGGAGTCTGTGACCTGTAATGAAGAATTTATGAAAGTGTAACAGTAGTTCTGTGTCTGAGAATGCAAAAAAATTTACTATTTATTCATATAAATAGTAAATATGCAGATTTGCGCCATTTGTTTGGGATCATTTGGAGCAGAACTATAAGTATAGCATTGTTTTTAAAGCAGGACTCAAAGAATATAATTAGTGTACTTGCACTTAAGAAGGGATCTAACTGTTGTGTTGTGTTTGTGAAAGATTTTTAAAAAAATCTACAATTACAAAACTTCACAATTCAACTTCACAATTACGAGGCACAAATACGTTTGCACCAATAATACTTCCATTGAACATTCACATGCTGGTTGCATATTATTGTTTGAAACAATAAACTTTTGTGCATTTGGAAATTATACTCAAAAAATGTTTGTGGCTGTCTATAATTCTCTTTCCAATATCTTGACATAATTTGTTTTTCCCAAGATCCCACACAAGGAAACTGTATTCTTTAGTTCTTGTTTTAAAATAAACCTACAATTAGCTCCAATTTGGGGCTTTGTGAAAGTGTTTAAAACCACAATAATCTCAGTGTATATGATCTTCTTACATTGATTAAAATGATTTAAAATGATCCAAAATAATTCTTTCTCGTGATTATTGCATTCAGGAAGTAGAAATAACCAGAGGTGGGCAGAGTACCATAAATTGTGTCGAAGTAAAAATACTTATACTTCAACATATTTTTACTCAAGTAAAAGTAAAAAGCAGCTGTCAAAGAAATTACTCAAGTAAGAATACAAAATTATTCGGTAAGTCTACTCAAATACTGAGTAACTGACCAAATTATCATTAATATTTCAAAATTATATAATCATATGGACCAAAATATAAAGTTAAGTGGAAATTTTTGAATTTTAAGAACCAAAATGACAATAATTCATGTAAGTAACAAAAAATAACAAAATCAGGGATAACAATGGGTGGGTAATCAAAACTGAACAAAAACAAACATTTAGTTTGATTTAATGTCAAACATTGGAAAAAAAAGTTCATATGTCAGTTTTTCAGTGTATGTAAATGCCTGCTTTCAACTGTATGCACAATTACAGCCCGTGACCTATACCGCAAGCATTTTTCAGGAGTTTGTATTGCAGACATCAATTAATCAAGCAGTACTAAAATATAATTTGTGGAATAAGAAGAGTGGAAAACATACATATTATCTCATAGTACAGTACAAATTATGTCACATCAGTTAGAATGTCATATATTATACCAGAAATGAATCAGCGACCCTTACAAATGGCCGCTGTATTGGAGAGGTCCAATGTTTATTCCCACTTATAACAGTGCAGCCACTAACCAATGACAGCCCCGCCCTCAACGGGAGGCTCGACTGCGCATGCTCACGGAGTGTCTGTTGGTGCTCTCTCCTTCACTCAGCTACACTGAGCAACGGTGCGAAAGTCTACACACTCCGTTGTAAATTTAAGGTAAGATACAAGAACTTTACAAAAGCTGTAGCTTCTTAAACTTGTCGGGGTGCCTGTTTCTCAGCGTAATCTGTAGTTGTTGACAAAGGTGCCTTGACTGTGAGTGAGAAACGAGTCCCAGAGGGGGGAGTGGGGGACACCGCAGACGCGTTACCAGGTTTTGATACTAGTTTAGGCCTGTGTTTGTTGTAATCAGTTGTAATAAATGCATAAAAATCACTGCAAGCGACAAAATGTTTCAAACACGCTTGTCAAAAAGTGTTTTTATAAGTTTACACATTTTATTAGTTGCATTAATTCGCACCTAGATGCGCTCAAAAATAATAACTGGTGAATAGGTAATGTAGAAGTATTGACTACATATTTTAAAGGGTATTTATAAAATGTCTGTTTCAGTGCACACGGCATACAAGAGATCCCAGTAGGAGACATCATCCCCCTGTGGTGAACATGGTCCCCTGAGGGTCAAAACGACAGGATGTCATACATCTTAAGAAAATTTAGTCATATGGAGTTGGTGAAGAAGCACAAAAACTAGCAAAACAAAGACTTTTATCTATCTGCTACTTAATTAAAAGCCTGCTAAAGGATTTTACTATGTCTGTATATTGCAAATTGCTTCTAAAAATAATGACATATACATTTAACAGTTTTTATGTAAATTTATGCTGTTATTTTTTTTATGTCGCTATCCAAAGTTCTGAAGTCAGGCTTCAGTTCTCTGTCTATTTCAGATAAAATTAACTATTAGAGATGCAACAATCAGGCTTTTTCTGGCCAGTACCGACTTTTGTTTTGTTAGTTGACTTTGGTTTCTTTGAAACCCCTTTTCCCAATTTTGACAAATCCAGATTACTTTAAGTCCAAGGACTATTACATAAACATAAAAACAATCCTCCAGGTTCTAGGAAAGAGACAGATGCGCCAGGAGGTTTTCTGAAACCAGAGAGATCTTGCATGATGTTATTAAATTAAGATATGGGGTAGGGCAGAGAGGCAAATGTTCAATGTTAATCAGAATTATTAAATCAAAGGTTGCAACACCAGTATTTTTAAGATTTTTGGAGCAAAGCATGTATTTTGATGCAATTATGTTGAATTGATCAGTGATCAGAGAAAGGAGACATGTCCATAAATGGATAAAAAAAATTAACCCAGTACTTTTTTTATTGAATTAGACTATCAGCAAACCTCTAACACATTTTTTCTCCTTTTTAGCTGTTTAAGGTCTGCAGGAAAAATATTGGAAACGATGAGAAATATTGGAAACGGTTGCTAGATCTCCAACAGCCATCAAATGAAATCGGTTCCTAACTTGTGACAGCCAAGTTGTTCAGTTCAGTATGGTACAATTTCATAGTTTTGGTGAATTTTATAATTAGCAACACTCCTCTAGGATTTATTTTAACATTCAACCTGCTGATCAGAGCTGATTGAGGTTAATTTTTCTGTCTCCTTAATGCTGATAAAAGGTGATGCTGTGACTATTATTGAGGCCACAGGTAAACACAGAAGGGATGTTTTCACTGCACACAGAAAAATAATAGTCAAGCCAAACACATCCATGTTATGTGGATCCTAAGCTGCTCCACATAACATGGAGCAGCTTAGGCTCAACCTATAATGTGTTTGAGGGACATCTTTGCTGTACTTGGCCTTATCTCTCTGTCTCAGACACAAACACACATTCCTTCAGTATATGCCAAACCACACACTACCTTGGTTATTTAGAGATTAGGCTGGTGTTGAGTAACTGCTCTTTTTACACATTTTAGATTGTTTTTCCCCCGTCTCTCTCCCTCAGCAGATGTTGAATAGGTCACTTATTTCCTTAAAATCAGACTAATAGTTGCATTTTACCCAAGAGCAACAAATGCCTTTTTGGATAAATTTTCTTAGGTTTCAAAGCAACATGTGTCAAAATAAATAGTCTGCTCCCTACAAATAATGTCAACAACCACCATTTTGTGTTTGTGTCACCTTATCTGTCCTTTTGACCTTTCAGTTAATTCTGGGTTGTCAGGTTGTTGCCTAATGAAAGTGACACTGGGAATGACAGGGCCACATTTGCCTGCATCCACAGAGTGGAGGTATAATAGAGATAAACACGTTTATTTTATATGGCTTTATTTTGATAGGTTGATGTTAGATGAGGACACATGTTGACTGCCAGGTCACGTGTTGCAGTGTCATGTTTACTGCGGCTAAACTTAGTGGCCAGACAGAGAAATGAAGGCCGTGAGGAGAAGGGGGGCAGAGATGGACAGTGTGGGAGGAGGAGTGTCTGTCGGCTGAAATGACAATGACTGACAACGGGTTGCATGCTGTCAGCAAGTATGCAGGTCAGCTTGCACATACTGAGGTAGCTGAGGGAGAAATTGGGAGCAACTCAGAAGCCACAAAGCTTTCTGACTCACATCGAAAGAGAATAATGTAACAGTGACCCTGACACCTGAATGATGGGACTGGAGCAAAAACATGACAGAAAGCTTTTTGCATCAGTTTAAATTAAGGTATATACTTTGGTAGAGCCCTATACAATTCATTTATTTTTTTCTGACCTTATTTTATTTCCTTACTAATTAAATTTGATTTTTATTAAATATTTTCAGTTATTAAGATGGAAGAAAAAAAATTGTTTACAGGGAAAATAAGTTATGTTTGAAAGAATATGAAAAGTGACCAAAATAAACATTTTGCATGTTTTTATACTTCTTTTTGGGTCACCTCTGCTCCTAATCTAAATAGTTGTGGTCCAACATTGATGAAATGCTTTTTAAGGCCTGAATTATTGAATAGTTAAACCGATGACAGTAAATCTGACTATTTTAGTTTATAATATGAACATTTACAAAGCGTGAAAAATATTTCTACTCTTTTGTTCTATTAAAAAAATAGTTTGACTAAAGGACATTGCGTACCACAAACATCAGACAGTTGGTTAAATTTATTGTGGTGAAGCATTTCATTTATTTGTGTTTTAAAAACAAAATGCCCCTAAATGATCAGATCTGTTCTGAAGCTTCAAATGTCAACAGTTCACAAATTGATCACAGAAGCGCTGATCTATGCATCTTTAGTAAAAATACTTTACTCACTAGCTTAAACTCTCACTGCTGATTTGCCTTTGATGAAATATTAAAACATGCATGTCCTGTAACAACACTGAAATAGTAAAAAAAAGGCATAAATATGGAGATGTCCTTGTATTTATTTGGTTCTTGTGTGTTATATTAACTATCGAAGAGGATGGACTCCTTTTTGTTGCTTTGTAAAAAGCTACTAGTTTCAGGGTTTTTTTTTTTTACCAGATGATCAATGTGCTTAAATGCTCCAGAAGTGGAATATAGTTTATAAAGAACTGTGCAGAAAGCCCACATGCTATTCTGCTGACCTGTGCATATTGTTACCACAGTTGCCATGAAATATGCATGTATTCAGTCACTGTCCTGTGAGCTGAAGATGTCAGAACTGTGCAGAACTTCTCGCCTTTCTCCTGTTCCTGTTGGTGTTTCCCTCGTCTTGAGGAGACATGGAAGAGAAAGTGGGGATTGTGGTGCTGCAGGAGGAGAAGACAGAAACGGGTGTGCAGGCAGAAAACAAAGATGTCTGTGTGGCATGTGAGCACCACGCACCCAAGGGTCACGGTGAGTGGAGGGGGTGCATGGAGGGAGACAGAAGAAAAGTAATCATCAGGGTCTCTCGATCACTTTGGGGTGATGGCGCTGACTTTGGAGTCACTATTAAAGATTTTCCAGTTTCAGTTGGTCTGTTCCAGGCATTTGATTGGACTAGACCAGTTCCGTCTGGGATACATTGCCTGATGGGCAAAGTCCAACTCTTTTGCAGAAAAGATGATGGGTTTAAGGGTCAGGGCAGGGCAGGGGGCAAAGAAAACGATCAAGTCAAACATTAACCGAGCTTGACTGCGAGTGAAGGCAAAAAAAAAAACTACAAATGCTCGGTCAGAATCACCTTGCCAGAAATGTCTTCTTACCTCTCAAGGTCTTGCATGTATGCTAACTCAGGGGACCCTGATGACAGCGTGAAGCTGCAGCAGCACATAGCTGCTGACTGCAGAATTTAGCTTGTACTACTTAAGTTAGCTCTTCTGCATTCGCTTGGTCGTATGTCTTTGCACATCATACATATTACATCTCCTGCTCTGATGTGTTGCATAACGAAGGATTTTGTTTGTCATGCATTTCGTGAGTGGCAACAAGTTGTCCGTGGTTCTGCATGTCTCAGCAGGAGAAACAATTTCATTAGCTTAATAATGGCTGCTGGATTGTGATGGGATTGTTGCCAAAGAATCAATAGTTTCACATTGATGGGCTGGAGATGTCAGACACACAGAAAGAAACCGGCTGGATGGCGCATGCTGAATGTTTGCTCTGCTTTCTGTTGTTTGATGTATGAATACAAATGATATTTCCAGTGCTTCGTGTTCAGTTCAAACTATTTTGTTTTATTTCAGTCTCAGTTCGATGTGATTGGATTAATTATAGTCCACACATGAGGTGAGGCCTTTGCTAAGATGGGATGCTTGACTTCAGTCTGATTGATCTGCTCCAAATGTGTCATTGTCCTGTTATGACATTTAACTGTTTCCAGTTTAAGACCTTATAGTTCTAATTTTTTTTTTTAATAAAAGACTTACTTGAACGCGTACTTCAAATAAGTATGCATTTGAAAAATAAACATCCACACAAATGTAAAACCTGTTCATCTAATTCTTGGTGATACATTTTATTCAGTCTGTTTGTTGAGTAGTTTGTTTCACCATAAAAAGCAATAATATAAAAGTCAAAATCAATACCTCATGCTAATGATGACTATATGCAAACTAAATTATACTATAACAATATGTAGAATATATCTAATTTTCTTTTGGATTTGCTTCAAAGATCTGATTTATTTCAGTACTTAAAGTGGTTTTGGAAAGAACATGCTCAATGATTCCTATTTTTTTAGTCACATCTAATTTTGAACATTTTATGAAATGTCTTCTGGGCTTGTTGCTACATCTACTGATGTTTTTCCTTATGCTTCAAAGTATTATGATTTTTTTTTAAAGAAACAGCTTACTGTTTCTTAGAAAAAAGAAACAGTAAGCTGTTTTTTACTGTTTATTGAAAAGCTATTCAATTAATAGCTTTTCAAAATTTGCTGCTCAGAATTGCAAGAAAATACAACATTTGTCAGTAAAATGCTTCAAAAATGTTTTGAGATAATGGTAAAGTGGTGAGTGGATCAAGACCATTCTACAGATGAACTGGAGAGGAAAAACTTGGCTTTGTTGAGCAATGGCCTGGAGATGAAAAATTGAGTCATCAAGCCCAAAACTTAACTTCAAATGGAAACTAAACATGTGGAGCATTTTGGTTTAGAAACATTTCTAATCTGCCATTGTGCATTTTTCAGAAAATGCAGCTAAATGTCTATCTGCATGTTTGTGCTGTTAGTTAGAATTTAAATGTAGACTGGGTGTGTTTCCTCAGGAACAATGGTTGTCCCCCCGGTGTACTCAGACCTGGGAAAAGCTGCCAAAGATATCTTCAGCAAAGGCTTTGGTGAGTCACAGTACTGGATTAATGTGGACCTGCTCTGCATTAATGCAGGATTCTGTCTATCTGTCTAAATAATCTACTAATCAATTTTATTTTTATAGCACACTTCAGCAACAAGGCATTTCAAAGTGCTTTACATCATAAAAATACTAAGTAATTGAACAGACATTCAGTAATTGAAGAATTACATTTTGTCAAGTGCTGTCGTTATACATCAGATTGTTGATTGTTTCGTTGATTATGTTTCAAAAGAAACTCTAACCAGCTCGGTTTTTAGTTGAGATTTAAAGGAACTCAGTGTTTCGGCTGTTTTGCAGTTTTTTGGAAGTTTGTTCCAGATTTGTGGTGCATAGATGCTGAATGCTGCTTCTCAACCACAAACCTGTTTGGTTTTGGTTCTGGGATGCAGAGCAGACCAGAACTAGAAGGCCTGAGAGTCTGGAAGGTTGATACAGCAACAGCAGATCTTTAATGAATTGTGATGCTATGTCGTTCAGTGATCCATAAACTAACAACAGAATTTTAAAATCTATTCTCTGAGCTGATGGGAGCCAGTGTAGGGACTATAAAACTGGGTGATTTGCTCTAACTTCCTGGTTTCAGTCAGAACGCCAGCAGCAGCGTTCTGGATCAGCTGCAGCTGGAGTATTGATTTGTTAGCCAGACCTGTAAGACACTGTTGCATAAATCAATGCGATTAAAGATAAACGCATGGATGAGTTTCTCTAGATCTCGCTGAGACATTAGTCCTGTAATCCTGAAAATGTTCTTCAGGTGACAGAAGGCCGACTTTGTGACTGTCTTTATGTGACTGAAGCTTCAGGTCAGAGTCCATCACTACACCCAGTTTTGATCTCTAGTTTTCATCTCTGATTATTCAGGACTCATTTGCTCCATGTTACATATGTTTATTTATTCTGCAACTTTTAGAGCCACGCTGCAGCTACAAAATGTTATTTCTCCAGCATTTCCTTTATTTCTTGCTTTTCTTTGCCAGGCTATGGAGTTGTGAAGCTGGATATCAAGACCAAGTCTATGAATGGGGTTGTAAGTGGTTTTGTATTTATCTTTCAACCATTAGAGCTAAGCATTGAACTTATGCTCTCCCTGTCTTGGCCCTCATTTACTTAAAATATAATACACAGGATTTCTTCTTTCTTTTGTCTCTAAATTGCTGATATAAGATGTAAGTTTGATTTTAGACATTGTGTGTTTTCTTTTAAATCTGTTCTTTCCAAACCATGCAATGCTCTGCAAGAACATTCACATTTGTCACAATACAACCACAAACTTTTTTGTGCTTCATTGAGATTTTCTGTGATAGACCAACACAAATGAGTACAAAATTAAGAATGGGAGGAAAAGTAAATTGAAATCTGATGGGTGCAGTGCAGCGTAGTTAGTTTTTGCCAAACAGTAGCCTGTCACAATAATGCCACAAACATTTGACACGATACAGAGTGGTTAGTTTGAACTTTTATTTATTTGATAAAAGTCTAAAAACTGGTATTTTTTTCTATCTGAGCCTGATGATTAATATGCCGTGAAAGGCAGTCAGTTTTGTGTACAGAAACTTCATAATCCATTTTATTTTTTTATTTATTTTTTTGTTTGGTTATCTTTGATATTTAAAATATCTTCCAGATACAGTGTTAAATATTTCTTTTGAATGAAAATGTATTGATCTTTGAGTTATCATTGTATTAGATGAAAAGAATTATGAACCATATGCTGCTTTTCTTTTATTTCCCAAGTTTGTAATAATCATTTTTTACCTTGTAATTACTTCATGGAAGTAAAATAATAAAAAAGTGCTTTAATTTTCTACATCCTATTTTATCAAAGTATATTTTGATTAAATATCATATAGAACACATCAAAGTTAAAACACATCAAAGTTTGTGCTCATTAAGTGAAAGAACAACTTTAAGCTTCACAGGCATGTAAAGAAACATGCTTTATGTATGTTTCTTCAAACTGTTGCTCTCATTAACTTTTTCCATCTCCATTTTTCTGCTTCTTCTTTGGACTCTTCTGTTAGATGGTAAGACAAGAAGGTCTGTGTGTGTTTCCTCAGACTTGATGAGTATCAGCAGAAGTAGCGCAGATTAGCCAGTGTGTGCACAGCAGTTTTCTTTCCAGCAATTATGGTCTGAGTAGCTGGGTTTCTATTACAAATGTATGCAAAACTTTCTTGATATTCTGCTAATGTGGAAAAAACTAATTTTCACAGTTGCAGTGTCTCCGTTAAATAAGAAACGCAACTAAAATCACACGTAAATAAATTTGTTAATGCAATAACCCTTTAAAAAACATGGTGTGCCATCATTCTGCTTCCACTTCCTGTCGTCCTCTTTGTCTTTTCCTCCAGCAGTGATGCGCAAAACGTTTTTCCATTGGAGTTCTGTGAGATATAATAATTTTGATTCAGCTAGCTCAAATACATTCTATTGACTAATGTTTCCATTAAGTGCGTTACTTTCATAATTTTAATTTGCACCATTAAATAGTCACTGGAAACGCAGACACAGCTGCAGCAGTAGCAAACCGTGTTCCTTCTTAAGTCCACCAGCCTCTCTCTCAGTCCTGCCTTCACTTTTCCTCACCAGTGTTTCTCCAGCTGCCAGTTTTCCTTTTTTACATAATGGGCCATGTACTCTGGACATGGCCCATGGTTTCCCACAGCTGCTTATTTTCTCCTTGTTTACTGTCTCACGCCTCTGTATCAGTCTACTAATCTGTGATTTTTTTTCCCTTTCTCATTTCATTTCCCCTCTTTGTCCCTGCAGGAATTTATCACCTCTGGCAACAGCAACACAGACACAGGGAAGTCAGGAGCCCACCTGGAGTCGAAGTACAATGTGAACAAGCTGGGTCTCAGTTTCAACCAGAAATGGACCTCAGACAACACTTTAACCATGGACGTCACCATGGAGGACCAGGTTGAGCTCAACGTTGTTTTGTGAAACCGCTGCACTCAGAAGTTGAAAGAATAAGCTCACTGGTTGTCTCTTGTGTCTTCAGCTGGTTAAAGGACTAAAGCTCGGATTGGACACATTGTTTGTTCCCAGCACTGGGTAACAACAATATTTTTCATGGCAAAACTACAAAGTTAAATTCAGCTTTACACTTATGCTGACCTGCTGTCTGTTTAGCAAGAAGAGTGGCAAAGTGAAGAGCGGATACAAGCGGAACCACATGAACCTGGGTTGTGACCTGGACTTTGTCAGCGCCGGTCCCACCATCCACGCTGCCGCTGTGATGGGCTTCAACAGCTGGATCGGCGGCTACCAGATGGCCTATGAGATCGCCAGGTCTAAAACGACTAAATACAATTTCGCCTTTGGATACCAGGGCCCTGACTTTGAGGCACACACCCATTTGTGAGTAAGGGTGGGCGATGTAGACTTAGAATTTCACAGCGATATTTTGTAGTACTGTTGTAATTTTGATTTCCAAAATTATCTATTAGTTTCTTTTACGTGACTGTTTGGTTGTGATTGCATGCCACAGCATTCATAGCATCACAAACACAAATGCCGTTTGTGAATTAGGCTTCTTAATTAAAGAAGTGAGACTTAGATAAACAAACTGCACACAGTGGCTACGTTTAAAATGTACCGATACTGTATGGATGAAAAGATAGTAAAGAAAATAATTATTTTGCAGAGCTAATACTGTGAAACTGTATTCTAAACACAGTTAGAGCAGGTTACATATAAACTAAAAGATGTGCATCAAAACACACTCAAAGCTCCATCTGATGTTACTTTAGCACCACTACACATTAAATCTGGTAGACAGTAGGTGAAGCTGCCAAGCCTGTGATTAATAACCAAAATAGCTTTCCATACCTCCTGCTTTCAGGTGATAATTCACATGGGTTTTGATTGTTTCTTTTAGTGCTTTAAAAAATGGCTTTAAAAGTCCTAAAATATAAATACAATGAATTAAGGACTGTACTCTGATGATTCAAAACTTGTTATTTATTATAATTAACACAAAATATTTTTAGCTTCAGTAAATTGTATTACTGAAATATGATCTAAGAAAAACTATTTACCCTAAATGTTTCTGATAAAGGAAAAAGTGGTTTCTGTAATAGAAACACTGTTTTATTTTTTGGTGTGTTTGCTCATACGTTGTGCTTGGGTCTTTTTTGTTTCAGTAATGACGGTACAGAGTTTGGGGCCTCCGTTTACCAGAAGGTGAACATGAACTTGGAGGCAGCAGTGAACCTGGCCTGGACAGTAGGAAGCAACAACACACGCTTTGGGATTGCAACCAAATACCAGCTGGACAACAACGCCTCCTTGTCTGTAAGAAATAACACATTCAGCATATTTTATTTACTGGAGTTAGAAATTGTTGGAGGGGGGCCGGGGCTAAGGTGATGTCATCAATTGAGCATGTGACGAGGGCTGGTCTGTGGTGAGACATAGGAAGTCTGACGAAGCTGTGATTTTGTATGTGGAAGTAGTTTGGCAATACTTCAGATATTTCAAACAAAATCCTAATCAATAATCATCAATATTGACTGATATAAAACATATTTTACATAAGAAATTAACACATTCAGCAGATTCTTATGAAAAAAAAAGTCAAATATAATAAAGGTTAGTATAGGTTCATGGAATATTATAATTTGTTTGCACAAAATGATTCTTGGAAAATGAGATCTTAGGTCAGTTTCACCAATTTTAAGCTCTTTCAGAATGAGCTGCTTTTGGGCGTCCTGTCACTTTAAATCCAAATAAGCTGCTGCTGGAACTCTGCCTGGGTTGCTAGGAGATGGATTGAGCTTTGCATTTCTGAAGCAGCTCATTTTCCAGACTCAAAAAACTTTAACTTATTGCAAAAAAGCAGCTGCTTGATTTTTTTTTTCTTCTTTTAAGCGCATGGACTTTTTCTGAAGTATTAGAGACCCAAATGGAAGCATAAAAATGAGAAAAATATGAATTTAAGAATACCACTAAATGCCTTGAATTGACTTTTTTCCCCCTTCTCTCAGGCAAAAGTCACCAATTCCGGTGTCGTTGGGCTTGGATACACACATACCCTCAGGCCAGGTTCGCCCTCTGACATTTTGAATGCTACTTTCAGCAGAAACAACTCAAAGTTACCTGAAACTCACTCCCGGTGCTCTCCCCATGCAGGAGTGAATCTCACCCTCTCTGCGATGATCGATGGGAAGAACATCAGCTCCGGCTTACACAAAGTCGGCATGGCGTTCGAGGTTGAGGCGTAAACCAGAGAACGGAAATGGGAAAGGAAAAAAAACAAAACAGCCCCAAATGTGACGACACTCAGCAACACGTGAACACATCACCCCTGAGTCCAACACACACACACACACACACACACACACACACACACACACACACACACACACACACACACACACACACACACACACACACACACACACACATGCACAGGTACACCCCCTTTGCCTTAACCCTGATAACCTCCAAGACCTACAGTACTGTAACTGTCACCCAGTCCTAATTTATTTTTACATTTTAGTATATCCATGACTTTCAACACAAACCTATTTTAATAGTATTTTATCAATATGCGGCAAAACAATAAAACAAAAGCGCACTTTTAACTTGAGCATTTGTGTTTCAGATAAGACGAGTTCTGAGGCATCTTTTCATTTTAACTGTCTGGTTGGTTTAGTTATGTTCAGCTGGATTATGGTAGGATTAACACAGGCTGCTTGTTTGGAGTGTTGTGGTTTTGTTCCATGATTTTAAGACTTTTGTGAAAGTTTGTACAAAACAAATGCAATAAAAACTGGAGAGAAAGATAAAACCTCCTTAGCCTGAGAAGCTGATTTTGATTCTTCCAGTAGCAAACTGTAAATCCTCAGCTGCCTAAATGTCTGTTTTTCAGAACTTATCTGGTTAAAAAAAAAACACAAGGGATTGATTGATATTTGGATTTCCGTGTCAACTCGTCCTGTCACGTTTCAGCCTTTGTCACATTTCACAACTGTGCTGTGGAAGTATTGTTAACATGTAGGACCTTAAAGTTATTTTATAGAATGAGTGAAATAAAGAATGTCAAACACCACAATCTTGTTGATGTGTAGTATTTTTATTATTAAGTCTTAGTTAATTTATCAGGCACAGAAGAAGTTGGTCAAGTCAGGGAAATCACCAAGGCTCCATCATTATCACGATCCACAAAGAGTTTTACAAAAACGTTTAAACTTACCTCGTGCAGACGCAAATGGACAACTTCAAGATGGACTTTAACGTTCAGCTGCTCACATTGGAAAGCTTTCTCAGTGAAAGTTTTATGGTCAAATGAGACAAAAATATTGAAAATGATTGCAGAGTGAATGTGAGGCTCCAAACTTAATGTGTCAAACAAGCAAGCATAGAGGCGGAAGCATCATGCTGTGGGGATGTTTTACTACCAGAAGTGCTGCAGCACTGCTTGTAGTGGATGAAATTCTTCTAAATTCATCATCTTCCTCAAAACATGGTATAAAATAAACAAAAAGAGCTTCTGGAAGAAGTCAAAATTATTAAAACTAAATATTTGGAAAAGGCTGAATCTTTCTGATGACCAAGGCTGGAAAAACTAACCCACACACAAAGAGCTGTTAAATGATACACCAAATGTTAATTTGTCAGTATTTGATTTATTTCAGATGGTGTTTATGAATGAAACTGTGACAGAGAGGACACCACTTTAAAGAAATGTGTTACCAAACAATATTCTTTCATTCAAAACATGAAAATGAGTTAAAATTATATCTGAATTGGTTCAACCAAAGTATAAAAATACCTCTTAATTTCTTTTAGTAAACACCTGAAAAAATTATTTGGGATTAGAAGATATTTACAGGGCTAATGGTATAATGTGTAATGTTTCTCTCTGTACAGGAATAATTTGTATTAAAAACAAAGAGTCTGTTAAAAAAATGTAAGAAGACACACCATAGGGTGAATTGTTTTTGTATCAATGTACATAAGAGGAATAAATCCAGCATAGAAATGGATCTCCCCAAGGGATCAATAAAGTCAAGTCTAAGTCTATTTATGCATAAAATTATTTACATTCACCTTAGAGTATAAAAATTAGGATAAAATTGACATTTTCTAAGTGTTGTAGATGTTATAAGACCCTTAAAAAGCTTTTAAAAATCGTCAATCTCATGGTAAATAAGTATTTTACAAAATAAGCCTAGAATGTAAATTTTTAGATCCAATATCCCTGGAAATGTAGGATCCCTCAGATGAATCTCAGTTAAACTCCAGAACGTGTTTCACATCCTGCTGTTGTTACAATCGCCGACCACACGGAGGCAGCAGAGAGTCACGTTCAGGCAAATTCACTTTCAGGAAAGGTCGCTGGAGAAGTTCTGCTCTCCTCGCAGCCAAGTCCATTCCTTCAGCATCTAGGAGAAAAAAAACCCCAAAATAAAAACATTTTCACCACCATTCAAGCAGTACATTAAAGAACAGCAGGCTCAGTTCTTTCAGTATGAGTGGACGAACCTCCATGTTGCCCTCTGACTCCTGGATGGTTTCATGCAGTAAACTCTGAAGGCGACTCTCGAACGTCCTGCTCTCCTCCACTAGAGACTCATCCCTGCAGACACACATGATTCATGGCGTTAATACTCGTATCACAACTTGTCTGTGACTGTATTGCCAGGAAACTGGACTGCATGCAAGCATGAAAAATAAAGAGATGGCCGGAAAAAGGGAGCATTCGACTCCAAACAACGTTTTCTGATGAGTGGACATTCTGAGGGCTTCCTCAGAGAGCTCAATGTTTATCGAAGCCACATAAGGTTAAGGCGTTGCTACTGATTAAATACTCACTGCTGCTGCAAGCTGTTTCTAGGGGTCAACAGAGGAGGCACGGATGAAGGCGTCCGGAGTCCATCAGGGCTCCCGCTAACAGGGCTTCGAACTTTGCTCTGGACAAAACAAGGAAAATGCTTTTTCAAGCTCGCTGCAGCAGGTGCTGTAGCTGAATATTTGTGTCTTGATTGTACATTTGGATAACCAGCCGCTTCTTCCTGCTCTTGTTTTACAGATTGTTTTCTTAAAATTTTAATCATCCAAAATAAATAAGATATTGTGTCGTATATTTCTGTCAAATTAATTGAGTGTCCTTACACAGGCGATTTTCAGCAGGTCCCAAAGTTCCTTCTGTCGTTTCTCCTGCAGACCCATCAGAACTTGTTCGCTCTCTGCCAACTTCTGGACCACTTCCTCCACCTTTGGCAGCAGCTCCATCACACGATGGCGACACATTGCAGTCTTACTGCACACACACACACAAACAAACATTTTAGCAACTGGAGTGGCTGTTGTTGGGATTTATCTGTGCAAAAGGTAACCATTAAAGGTAACGTCTTATGTTCCTTGAACAGGTTAGAACAGGTCTTATGGCAGGGATGCACCAATTGCAGTTTTCTGGTTAATCACAGATTAACACTCTTTAAAAAGCCTGACCTGCCGATTCCGAATTAGGTCAATACCAATTTTCTTAATGTCTGAAATGTTACTAGATAAAGCAAGAAAGTTGCAAAGATGTCGGGTCGATCTATTATTCAATTTTCTCTCACAGGAGAGCAGAAGAGGACAGTGGCTGATTTTTAGACTTTTGCTGAAGCAGGTAAGATCAGCTTCACATGCAAGTATCGACCAATCACTATTTCCTAAAAATTAAGGAAATTGACAATGATAAATTGGCTGGCTGATAAAATCGGTTCACCCCCAGTTTATGAAACATCTTCAGTACATTTTTAGCACAAAATTATTCTGAGATGATCAGATTTTAGTTGCCTCAGTCCTGCCTATTTCTGGCTTTTCACTTTAAATCAAAATAAGCTGCTGCTGGCCACGTCTCTTCTAACTCAACGTTTACACCCATACATGAAAATGACTACAAACAGATGGACAACTATACAACTGTTCATCTTTGAAAAGCAGAAGTGGAGCCTCCTGCACAACTAATAAGAATTCTTCTGTCGTGCATCTGCTTGTGTGTTAAACCCTGAGGTTACTGGATCGGGTATGAGGAAGCATTCTGGTATTACTGGTAGCGAATGCATCATGCACACATGGCTTGGTTTAGTCAAGTAAAATTATAGACAGGCAACAACCTCGTTGAGTCCAGACTGGACTGGCACGGCTCCAGGTGAGCCACCGTAGCGCCCGCGGCCTCAGAGCGCGCTGTGTGAGGAGAAATCTATGATCTCCTTGCCAATGCAAAGAAACAATCGGGCTACTTGTTTGCAGAAATGGTTTTGTGATTTTTTAATTTCTCTTGTTCCTCTGTTTGTTTTGTTTGTCTTGTTAGATCCCCTCAGGGTTCTTGTTTCCACTTGGTTTTACTTGTCTGACTTGTAATCACTCTTCTCTGTATTTATTCTGTGCTGGTTATCCTGACTCTGAGCTGTGGTGCCTCGTTTTGTTTTGTCACACGTCTGGGTTTTGTCTGAGTTAACATCATTAAATCCTTTATTTTTGATTCAGTCCTCCATTCGAATAAACACGGAAGGATGTGGCTTTAGGAAAGATTATTTTTATTGTGATCAGGGCTGGATTTACAAGAATGTGGAGCCCTGGGCTGGACACTGTTTTGGTCCCCTATCCACTCAATCAATCAGGTTAATTTATTGTCACATTTCAGCAGCATCATAAAAACACAAAAATAAAAAGTCATAAAAGCATCATTGAGAAACTCGATACATTTTGTTGAATGCCATCATCAAAATAATCAATACAAATCAAATATGTTGGTGTCTGTTCCAGTGATTATGTTTTGCACTTTTCTGGAAGTTTATTCCAGATTTGTGCTGAATGGAAAAGAAAAATTATTTTGCTGATGCCAATTTCAGTGCATTGATAGGCATTTCTACTCATAATTAGGTATGAACTGATGATACTTGATGAAATAAGTAATAAATCCCTTGGTCAATGGTTTCATGTTGTCCCCCTCCCGAAAAAAATGTAAAGCTTCATAATTTTACTTTCACCCACTCCTTTGAACATGTAAATATACTTTGCTACTGTTCTTCTTTTGATTTGTTTGCTTTTGTTTGAAATGTATTTTGTTTTTATATAACTTTGTATGCAGCATTCATTACAGTCAAACTACTAACAATAACTTTGGAATATTTGACTATGGTTTATATTAATTAAAATCCCTATAAAAACTCATCTGACATGAAGGACAATGTGTGCAAAACATGCATTCATTAAAACACGAAAAGATAAGATGCCAGGAAGTTATTTTTTCACCATAACACCTTAAATATCCTAGAGGAATGTAAGCAAGTTCTTTTGTGTTTACTACAAGTTTGACTACATTATGCTATAACAATAATACATTTGTAATTAATTTCCATTAGTTAGTCTGTTTCTTGGCTGATAAATGCACAGGCAGAGGTCAGATTAGTTACATTACATGTGAATGTTAGTGAAGTACCTGAGGACTGTGTAGAAATCTCTGAGTTTCTTCTCGTAGAACTGAACCGCCTGAACCATCAGACGGGCCGTCTCTGTGCCGTCTCCTGGCATCCGCTGGTCTGAGGAAGGAAAACCAGAACATTGTTTGTTTCCATTTTCAGACACCCAGACAAGTGCTGATGCTTGAGAAAGGCAAAAAAAAACAAAGCCCATACCTCTGGGTTTTTCTCTGAGTTTGCGGAACAACTCCATGGCTTTTCCTTCCCTGAGGATTAAAAAGCAGAAGTGAGTCTGAGCTGAAGGAGAAGCGGGTTTTTTGGCTTTATTTTTATACTCTGGGTCAGACTCACAGCGTGTCCAAAGTCTCTCCGCTCCTCCACGGCTGCCTCTGCACATCCACGATGTCTGGCTGCAGCTTCATCATCTCCTCTTCCAGTTCAGTCACCTGGGCCTTCAAACACACATTTTAATCCTTTGAACAATCCGAACACTCCTCACATAGACAATGAAACACTCCAGCATACCTGCCCACAGCTCAGGGCAGTTTGCTCCATGTCCCTCCAAACGCTCAGAAGTTTCTCAGACGCTTTAAAAGGCAAAAACATACAAGTGATTCCAATGCCACTCAGACAGTTT